CCCAACCCCAACCCCTTTTTTATAAATATTTCATTTGATTTTAATCTCAAAAATAGCTTAAATGTTAATTAATCAATAAAATAAAGTTTGGGAAATTAAATAACTCTTTTTATTGGCTGACTTTAAAAATAAAATAAATTTACAATATTTAAAATTTTTTTTATAATAAAAATTTATTCATAAAACATTTTTATATAATTTTATAATGGTTAACCTTAAAGCTGATCTATGATTTTTAGTGATGAAAAAGTTTTAAATTTAAAGTCTTTTTTATTTAATTATATTAAAAATTTTCAAAAATATATTCTATTTTATAAAATCCACATTCATAATATAACAGAAATATTCAAAATAGATAATATAAAAATTTGTTTAAATAAAAAAGTTCAATTATTATTTTATTAAATTAGACTAAATATATTTAATTTCAAAATTTATTAATTTCTGATGAATTATATTATATTAAGACCATTTTAGATTTGTGGATAAAATATTGTTAACTTTTACACTTTTTACATTAATCAAGCAAAACATGTAAAATAACATAAAAATTTATAATATAAATAATTTTTTTTGTTAAATTTTAAACTATTTCATCTTCTAGGAGGGAAGGGGAGGAAAGTCTTGAAATCAACACCTTAATCAGGAGTGTTATCTAAGATTTCATCAACTTTCTTGATTACCTCTGGGGTAATTTTCTTGTATAACTCAACACACTTTACAGTTTCTTCTAATTATTCGGGTCTAGAACATCCAGTAATAGCAGTTGAAACATCCTTATTAGCGATAACCCAGCACATAGCAAGCTAGGCTTAAGTCATTCCAAGTTCTTTAGCTAAAGATTCAAGGCTTGTGAGAAGTTTAATAAGCTTTTCCTTCTTATCAGCAGCAAAATAACTTTCCCAAACACCCTTAAGGTAAGAATCTTCATTGAAAGTCTCCCATCTAGCTCCAGAAGGAATACCTCCTATATTATATTTACCAGTAAGGATACCACCAGCAAGAGGACTCCAAACAGTGGAACCCATTCTTGTCTTATCAAAGAGACGAGCATAATCAGCCTCAAATTTTTGTCTAACAAACATGTTGTATTAAGGTTATTCAGCTGAGGGTTTAATTAAATTCTTTTCAGCACAAACTTCTCTAAGCTCATAGATTTAAGATGAAGTCCATTCAGAAGTACCCCAATAATGAATATAACCTTCTTATATTAATTCAGTAAAAGCGCGAGCTACTTCTTCGAGAGGAGTTTCATGATCATATCTATGGCAGAATACTATATCAACATAGTCCAATTAAAGTCTCTTAAGAGAGTTCTTAACACCTTCCTTAATGTGCTTTCTATTCAAACCAAGTTAATTGACTCTCTTTTTATCACCCCACATAGTACCCCAGAAGATCTTTGTTGATACAACTAAATCTTCTCTGGGAACATTAAGAGCCTATAATGCTACACCAAATTGCTTTTCACCTTCTCCAAAACCATAGAGCTCAGCAGTATCAAAGAAATTAATCCCCAAATCCCAAGCTTTCTTAACATGTAAATTTGTTCTTTCTTGCCAATCAGGATTATTGCTATTAAGCCAGTTACCGAAGCTGATAACTGAAACCTTTAAACCAGTGTTTCCTAACAATCTGTATTCCATTTTTTCTAGTTATTTATGATAATATTTCAAAATTATTTTTTTTTTAAGTTTTTAATTTAATTAATTTATACAAAATACTTCTTTAAATTTCATCATATTTTAATAGAATTGGAAGTGTAAATTATATTCTGGAATCTTTCCTTTTTCTTTAATTAATTGTCTATGAAAAAATAATAAAAATGTTCAGACTAATAAAAATAAATCATATTTAATCAGAATTAAAACTAAAATTTGTCAAGTAGCAATTTCAATAAACAAACATTATAGGCTTTGATTTTATTATTTAATTTTTAAAAATTCACTATTTATATTATAATTATTCCTAATTTTTTTATTATAATTTTATCTTTATAAGAAAATTATGTAAAATTCAGAAATTAAATCATTTTAATTTAAAAAAAAAATATTTTTACTTTTTATAAATTTTATGATTGGATAAGTTTACACTTGTTAAATATAAATTTTCGAATTAATTTATGTTACATAAAAAGTAAAGAAATTATGTAATAATTAAAATTTTTCTTTAATAAGGCAATTACCTAATTTTGTTTTTATTTTTATTCAAGAATTAAATAAAATATTAGAAAGCTATCAAATTATCTCCATTAAAAGAATTTTTAAAAATAATTTATTGCTACTCTCAAATCATTATTTATATAGTAGGAAATAAATATTTAGTATAATATAAAAAGGTATCTAAATAAGTTTCAGACCCAAACAAAATTATATTTATTTTTTATGAATTTTTTTTAAGCTCATAGTTGATTTTAGTAAATATAAATATCATATATTTGATAAAAAACTCTAAATTTTAATAATCGACAAAGAAATTAGTTTGATTTTATATAGTTTCCAACATAAATATTAAATAAAGCTTAATATAATAAACATTTTAATTATTTGTTTTAATGATTTTTAAATTATTATATTAAATCAATTACTCTTTCTTAAAAAGGAATTATATAATAAAATATGCTCATTATATAATTTTTATATTCAATCTTTTTTATATACTGTTAATAAATAAACATTTAATTATTGATTTTAGTAAATTCAATATATTTTTAATTAAATTAAATTTTTTAAGTTAATCTTTTGATTTCTGTTTTTCTTATTTCAGGCATTTTCTTTTCATAAATATAAATTTATTTTTTAGATAAATTAAAAATTTTATTTAAATTTATCTAATTTTAAACAAATAAAAGTAATTTCCCTATAAATAGATTAAATAATTTTATATTTTTACAATTCATAATTTTTCTGGATTTTAGAAACTTCTCATTATTACTAAAAAAATAAAAATATTTTAAATAATATCATAAAAACAAACTTTAACACCATTTTTTTTCTTAAATAATAAATGAAATTTACTCTATGTCAAATTGTAAATTTGTAAGTTGAGTGCAGTTACTCAAACCTAATCCAATATTTTATGCCCCTTAATCATCAATGTTATTACCCATTTGCAAACAAAATAAATCAATTTATTAACTATTTAAATTTGTTTTAAAACTTAAATAAAAATATAAATTATAATTCAAACTTTTTTTAAAAATATCTTAAATGTTTAATTAAACATGATTTATATTTATAAAAGAGATAATTAAATTGGGGATGATGGAGCTTCTACTATTGTTAGAGCACTTAGTAATTGCAAATTCCTTACTAATCTCAAATTTTAAATTGGGTAAAATTATTTTTATTTTTATTTTTTTATTGATAACTACCAAATTTTAAAGTTGAGATTAGTAAGGAATTCGCAGTTACCAAGTGCTCTACTAATAGCATAAGCTCCATCATCCCCAATTTAATTTTAGCTTTTAAAATTCAAATCATGTTTAAATAAACATTTAAGACATTTTATAAATTTTATGTTTATTTAATACAAATTGAATAAGCTCAATCATCCCCAATTTAATTTTTTCTTTTTTTAATACAAATCATGTTTAATTAAGCATTTAAGACATTTTATAAATTTTGTTTATTTAATTCAAATTTGAGTAAAAAAGCTTAGAAATATTTTGTTTTAAAGTTATAAATGAAATAAATTTACACTATCAAAAATTCTAAATTTGTAAGTAGAGTGCAGTTACTCAAACCCAAACCGATATTTTATGCTCCTTAATCACCGATGTTAAAATTCTTAAATAAAATTATATATAACTAACATAAATTAATATTTTTTTAAGATTTATTCTGAGTGCATTTATATGTGCGAGTATTTCTATTCTATTCTATCACCGATGTTATTGCCGCTTTTCAAACAAAATAAATAAATTTATAAATAGTTATATTTTTTGATAAAAAATCAAAATATAAAATAATTCAAACTTATTTTAGTTATCAATAAAAAAAAAAATATAAAATAATTTTATCAAATATAATAGAAAAGATTAGTAAGGAATTTGCAGTTACCAAGTGCTCTACCAATAGCAGAAGCTCCATCATTCCCAATTTAATTTTCTCTTTTATAAATGCAAATCATGTTTAATTAAATGTTTAAGGCATTTTATAAATTTTAAGTTCATTTAATTCAAATTGAATAAAAAAGTTTGGAAATATTTTTTAAAGTTATAATTGAAATAAATTTACTGTATCATAAATGCTAAATTTGTAAGTAGAGTGCAGTTACTCAAACCCAAACCGATATTTTATGCTCCTTAATTACCAATGTTTTGTGAACTAAAAAAGCTATTTTTTAAAGTTGAAAGTCAATAAAGAAATTATAATTACATTAATTATTAAATAATTTTATAATAAAATTAATATATACCTTTTTAAGATGTATTTCTGAGTGCATTTATATGTGCGAGTTTATCTTATCTTATCTTAAAAAATAATTTCTTAAAAAAAATTGATTATTTTAATTTAATATTTGACATATTTTATTTATACGGTAGACATATTTCAAAATTTAGTGGTTTTATTCTATTCATCTTAAAAATAATTCATATTCTTTTATTTCAATGATTTAATCTTAGTACAATAAAATTCAGGTTAAAATATTAGTTGAAACTGTTAATAGTATTATTTATTATAGATGCGATTTTATAATAATTTAAAAAATGATGAAATTTAAGAGTTTTGATAAATTTCTACTTTTACTCTCTTTTTCAGCTACACTTATGATTTACTTACTTTTTTAATAACTTAGATGATTATATCCTTATAATAAACCTAATGATCCTTATTCATTATCAAATATTTGTAAATATTATATTAACAATCAATTTTAGATTAGTTAATTTGTAGCAAATTTTAATTGATATTGATTTATGATCACAGAAAGTAATAGTCAATTTATAATATTAGGAATTGTACTAAATATTTATTCAATGTTACTCAACTAAATATGATTAAAATGTTTATCTAAAAAATTTAATAAAAGAAGTTTTTTTAATCTCAATATTTTAATATTTTGATGCTTTTTTCTATTATTTTAAAACAAAGTTTATTATTTTATTCAATTAGACTAAAGATATTAATTAATTAATTCCACTATTTATTAGTTATTTGATCAATTATATTATTTTCCAAAATTTTAGATTAATATATAAAATATTTTTAACTCATTACATTGATCAAGCTAAATAAACATAAAAAAACAAAAAAATTTATAATATAAGTAATTTTTTGTTAATTTTTAAGCTATTTCATCTTCTAGGAGGGAAGGGGAGGAAAGTCTTGAAATCAACACCTTAATCAGGAATGTTATCTAAGATTTCATCAACTTTTTTGATTACTTCTGGGGTAATTTTCTTGTATAACTCAACACATTTTACAGTTTCTTCTAATTATTCGGGTCTAGAACATCCAGTAATAGCAGTTGAAACATCTTTATTTGCAATAACCCAGCACATAGCAAGCTAAGCTTAAGTCATTCCAAGCTCTTTAGCTAAAGATTCAAGGCTTGTGAGAAGTTTAATAAGCTTTTCCTTCTTATCAGCAGCAAAATAACTTTCCCAAACGCCCTAAAGGTAAAAATCTTCATTGAAAGCCTCCCATCTAGCTCCAGAAGGAATACCTCCTATATTATATTTACCAGTAAGGATACCACCAGCAAGAGGACTCCAAACTGTAGAGCCCATTCTTGCCTTATCAAAGAGACGAGCATAGTCAACCTCGAATTTTTGTCTAACAAACATGTTGTATTAAGGTTACTCAGCTGATGGTTTAATTAAGCACTTTTCTGCACAAACTTCTCTAAGTTCGTAGATTTAAGATGAAGTCCATTCAGAAGTACCCCAATAATGAATATAACCTTCTTATATTAATTCAGTAAAAGCACGAGCTATTTCTTCGAGAGGAGTTTCATGATCATATCTATGGCAGAATACTATATCAACATAGTCTAATTAAAGTCTCTTAAGAGAGTTCTTAACACCTTCCTTAATGTGTTTTCTATTCAAACCAAGTTAATTGACTCTCTTTTTATCGCCCCACATAGTACCCCAGAAGATCTTTGTTGATATAACTAACTCCTCTCTTGGAACATTAAGAGCCTTTAAGGCTACACCAAATTGCTTTTCACCTTCTCCAAAACCATAGACTTCAGCGGTATCAAAGAAATTAATACCCAAATCCCAAGCTTTCTTAACATGTAAATTTGTTCTTTCTTGCCAATCAGGATTATTGCTATTAAGCCAGTTACCGAAGCTGATAACTGAAACCTTTAAACCAGTGTTTCCTAACAATCTGTATTCCATTTTTTCTAGTTATTTATGAATATGTTTTAAAGTATCTTTATTATAAGTATTTAATTTAATTAATTTATACAAAACATTTAATTAACTTTCATCAATTTATAATAGAGTTGAAGGTGTAAATTATATTCTGGAATCTTTCCTTTTTTTTAATTAATTAATTGAGAAAAAAAAATATAATAGACCAGAGTAATAAAAATAAAGCATATTTAACCAGAATTAAAATTAAAATTTATTAAGTAGTAATTTGAATAAGTAAATAAAATAGAACATTGATTTTATTATTTAGTTTTTAATAAATCACTATTTATATTATAATTATTCTTAATTTTTTAAAATTATACATGTAATTTTGCTTGTTAGGTTTGCACTTGTTAAGATTAATTTTTTTTAAACCTTATTCAAAAATTATTATTATTATTTAATAAGTAAAAAAAAATATCAGAAAGATACCAAATTATATCTATTAAATAATTTTAAAAAATAAATTATTAATAATTAGATTAAAAATTTTTAAAATTAACAAATTAAAGTAAATAAAACTAAATATTTTATTAATTCTTAATTTTAATAGTCTTGATTGTAGTTTATCTAATTATATATTATATGGATAAGATAATAATTGAATGGAACATATATTAAATTAATTTTAATAATATTTTCTTTATTTATAATAAAAATACTGTAAATTGTATTCAAATTTCTAATTAAACATTATTTATTTTGATAAAATTTATATAAATTATTTCGGTGATCCTCTTAAAATAGAATGTACCAAAATAACATGCTTCAATGATTTTTAAATGATATTAAAAACTAAAATTTGATTAATTTAATAAAATTTCTTTTATTTTATTTAAAAACATTTTCATTTGATTTATAAAGCGAATTTAATGCTTTCTTTTTTCTGAAAAATATTTAAAAAGCTATAAAGTTTTTAATTTGCATAAACTTTCAAAATATTTACATAAGTAATTTTCTCAAATTAATTTGAAATTATTTTTATTTCGATAGTTAATTAAGTAATATTTTCTTTTTGATAATTAAATATATATATATATAAATGAAATAATCAAATTAATAAAAGGATTAGGTAGATTTTATCAAAAATTAAATATATTTATTTTGTAAATACTTTTGATTAATATGATGCTGATTTATAAAAGCAATATCTATTTATTTTAGAAATAAACATTTTATTATCGAATGTGATAATTTTAATGTTTTAGAATGCTCTTTTTTAAAAATCATGATTATAAAAAATATTTATTTTTATATTAAAAGTATGAATAAAAAAAACATAAAAAATAAAATTAGTTGATAATAACTATGAAATGATTTCATCTTCTAGGAGGTAATGGAAGGAAGGTTTTAAAGTTGACTCCTTAATCAGGAGTTTTCCAATAATCTCGTTAATCCTCTTAAAAATTTATTTTAAAGTTTATAATAAAATAAAAAAATTAGTGGAGTAATAAAATTAAATATAAAATTAAAAAACACTTAGATACAAATCAAGAAAAATAAAACATCTATTTGAATATATTAAAATAAAAAAATATTTTTTAATGAGTTGATTGATGAGATTTTCATCTTCTTTGAGGTAATGGAGTATAGTATTTAAAGTCAAAACCTTGATTAGGGGCATTGCCTAATATCTCATCTATTCTTTTATTTATTTCTGGAGTAATCTTTTTGTAATGTTCAACACTTTTAACAATTTCTTCTAGTTGTTCTTATTTTGAGCTTGATGTAATTGCAGAAGACACATCTTTATTTGCAATAACCCAGCTCATAGCTAGCTATGATTAGCTCATACCTAATTCTTTTGCTAGATTTTCTAAACTTTAAAGAATTTTGGTCAATCTTTCTCTATTATTAGGATCAAAGTAACTTTTCCAAAGCTTTTATAGGTATTAATCCTCAGAAAAGATTTCCCATCTAGAACCTGAAGGAACACCTCCTTAGTTATATTTTCCAGTAAGGAGGCCACAGTGAAGAGGACTGAAAACTGTAGATCCCATTCTAGTTTTATCAAATAAACGAGCATAATCAGCTTCAAATTTATCTCTTATAAGCATATTGTACTCAGGTTATTCAGCACAGGGTTTAATCAAATTTTTTTCACCACATACTTCTCTCATTTCGTAGATATTTGCAGCACTCCATTCAGAAGTACCCCAATAGTGAACATAACCTTCTTATATTAACTCTGTGAAGGCACGAGCTATTTCTTCTAGGGGAGTTTCATGATCAAATCTATGGCAAAAAACAATATCTATGTAATCTAGCTAGAGTCTTTGAAGTGAATTCTTAATTCCTTCCTTAATATGCTTTCTGTTCAGACCAAGTTAGTTAACTCTAAGTTTATCTCCTTTTTAGGTTCCCCAAAATAATTTTGTGGAAATAACTAATTCTTCTCTTGGAACATTCAAAGCTTTGAGAGCAACACCAAACTGCTTTTCTCCTTCACCATAGCCATACACTTCTGCAGTATCAAAGAAATTAATACCTAGATCCCATGCTTTTTTTACAATCTCAATAGTTCTTTGTTACCAATCAGGATTATCACTGTTTAACCAATTTCCAAGACCTATAGTTGATACTTTTAATCCAGTATTACCAAGTAATCTATATTCCATTTTTTAGATTTTTATTTTTTGATGTGTTTTTTATTTTATTTAATTTTATATTTATTTTATTAATACTATTGAAGCTGCTTTTAAATAAATTTAAATTTCACTAAAATACTCCATTTTTAAATTGGAGTGTTAAGAAAGTATAATTATATAATAAATTAAATAATTTAATAAAATCGAACTTTATATAATTAATAAAAAAGTAAGTATCCTTTCTAGAATAAATTAAGAACATAATTTAATTGATAAAAAATTATATTAGTAATAGTAAATGAATATAAATATTTAAAATTAATAGACGCTTTTTACTATCAAATATAAGAACATTCTACTATGAGTAAGATGGTTTTCTGGAAAAAATGAAATTTTAAATCTAATAAAATAATAAAAGAAATCTTTACCCCAAAAAATTATACTTAATTTTAATAAAAAAGCATTTTAAATTATTATGAAATATGAAGATTTTTTTTCTGAATAATTGCATTTAAAAATAATTTATCAATAGAATGATAACTTATTGTGGATAGAAATTTAGTTTAAATAAAAAGTTTATGTAATTAAAAATACAAAATATTAATATAGTGAAATTTACAATTTTAATTAGTTTTATAACTTAAATTTTTTTTACAATTATTATTTGTAAATTTAAAAAATTGATTCATTCTAAATCATAATACTAAAATAATCAGATTTCATTTTACTTTTTATATAAATTAAAACTTCAGATTACCAAAAACAAGTATTTTTTATTGGAGATTCAACAGTATTTTAATGGATTTAATGAAAGAATTTTACTTAAAAGTATTTTGAATATTTAAATCATACCTTGTTTAATTTCGAGGTATTTCTTTAACAATAAGTAAAAATAAATAGTAATCTAAATATAAAGAGAAAAAATCTTTATTATTTAGTTATCCCTTAAACTTTATAAAACTTATTATGAAGTTTGAGATATTTAAGGAAATAATTTTTTTTTATTTTTTAAATAAAATTACTTGATAACAGTGTTTTTATTATTAATCATTTTGTATTATTTAAATTTTTAATAAAGAAGAGTAATGAATGCATCTCTCTAAATAATTAATTTTTATTAACATATATTTTAATTAAGATAAATAAAAATGTAATGATAAAATGTAGATGAAATTTATGAAATGGAAAATACCATATATAAAAAAAAGTTTTATCATAAATACCAAAAGTTTAGATTTATTTTAATAATATCAATTAATATATAAAATATTTTCATCTTCTTTTAGGTAATGGAGCATAATACTTAAAGTCAAGACCTTAGTCAGGAGAGTTTCCTATTAATTCATCAATTCTTTTGCTAATTTCAGGAGTAATCTTTTTGTATAACTCTACACTCTTAACAATTTCTTCTAATTGCTCTTTTTTTGAGCTTGCTGTAATAGCAGAAGAAACATCTTTATTAGCAATAACCCAGCTCATAGCAAGCTAAGATTAACTCATGCCTAATTCTTAAGCAAGTTTTTCCAAACTTTATAGTATTTGAATGAGTTTATCTTTCTTTTCAGGAGTAAAGAAGTTGTTCCATATTTGTTTGAGGAATTAGTTTTCAGAGAATGTTTACCATCTTGAGCCTTCAGGAATACCACCTTAGTTATACTTACCAGTAAGAATACCACAAAGAAGAGGACTGAATATAGTAGAACCCATTCTTACTTTATCAAAAAGACGAGCATATTCAGCTTCGAATCTATCCCTAACAAACATATTGTATTGAGGTTATTCAGCAGAAGGTTTAATCAAATTCTATTCAGCACATACCTCTCTGAGTTCATAGATATTTGCAGCACTCCATTCAGAAGTACCCCAATAATGGATGTAGCCTTCTTAAATTAATTCAGTGAATGCGCGAGCGACTTCTTCTAGAGGAGTTTCATGATCGAATCTATGGCAAAAAACAATATCAACATAGTCTAATTAAAGTCTTTTAAGGGAGTTCTTAACTCCTTCCTTAATATGCTTTCTATTTAAACCAAGTTAATTAACTCTAACTCTATCATCCCACATAGTTCCCCAGAATATTTTTGTAGAAATTACAAGTTCCTCTCTTGGGATATTCAAAGCTTTGAGTGCAATACCAAACTGCTTTTCTCCTTCACCAAATCCATAGACTTCAGCAGTGTCAAAGAAGTTGATACCCAAGTCCCAAGCTTTTTTCACAATCTCATTAGTTCTTTCTTGCCAATCAGGATTATCACAATTTAACCAATTACCTAGGCCAATAGCAGAAACTTTTAAGCCTGTGTTGCCCAATAACCTATATTCCATTTGTCTAATAAAATTTTTTTTTTGTATATTTATTTATGTATTTATTTATTTATTGTTTAAATTATAAAATTACTAAGTTATCATAGAGCTTTTAAACTAAAAAAGACAAATATTTCAAATTATTTTAATTTCTAAATTTTATTAAGAATCCAAATATAGTTAAAATAAATGGCATCATTGAATTTAGTAAATATCGTTTATGAGTAATTATACTTTCTAGAATAAGCTATTAATTAAACAGATTTACAGAGATATTAAATTCTTATAAAACTAGTTAAAAATTACTTTAACTTAAAAAATAGAAATTTATTAAACCTAAAAATAAAATAAATATTGGCATTTATAATTTTTTTTTTTAAGAAAAAATATTAAATAAGTAAAATAAATAATAAAAACATTAGAAAAATAATTTTAAAAACCTTTATGCATTCTATTTTTCAATTATTTAAAATGTAATCAAACTTTCCAGAATAATTTATTATCAGAATTAAATATATATTATAAGCTATAACAAAAAAAAAAGTCAAAAAATTAAAAGAAATTAATGTAATAAAATTTACAGAACTATCACATATGTATCAAATATAGGGGTGGATCTTAGTATATGAGGAATTACAAAGTATTTAATTTATAATTGATAATTAATCTACCATATAAATAAATAATTTAAATATATTTTGCATAATTTATATAGAAGTATTGTAAAATATTTTCTAAATAAGTTAATGGTGGATAAAATTTAGATGACCTATTAGGCATATCTTTATTTTACTACGCATCTATCAAATCATATTCTATTTTAAGTAATTTTTATTAATTTTAAGAAAGTTAAATAATAGATACAATAACTCAGGTGATATTTAATATTTTTATCAAAATAAACAATTAAGGATTGATTTCTTATTTATCTTAAAAATTTTAATAAAAAGAGGCATTGCTAATCTAATATTAAATTTTCAAAATAATCTGATTTTATTTCATTCTATAATTACCAAATAATTTAAAATGAGTGACAATATTTATTTCCTTTCATTATTAAATACTTTTTGCCTTACTTAAACTTATGTGAAAAAATTTTTAATTTTATTCATTAATATGTTTTTTTGTTATATTTAATATTAAGTCTCAAAATAATTATTTGTTAAAGCTAATTGAATTGATAGAAAATGTTTCCACCTGTTTTTATAAGGTTTTTTTATTTAAAACATTTGGTGACAATAATAATTCTTTTTCATGTAAAAATTAGTAAGTTTTTTGGAAAAATAGTTGCTGAAAAAAATGTGATTTTCAAACAAAAATAAATTTTTATTCAACAATAAAGTTAATTATTTCGTTTGGTATTGCTCCGAATAATTTTATATTATTAGAATACAAGAAGGGTTTTTATTAGATAATTATTAATTAATGCTTTTACTTATTTATTCTAAAGAAAATTATTAGGTAAAAAATAATATTTTCGCAAAGTTCAATCAAATAATTCTTTTAAAATAGCTTTCTTATTTCCATTTTAATCAAAAATTATATCAATCTATTGAAGAAAAAACTTTTCGCCCTAAAAATATTTAGAATTATTAACAATTATTTTTAAGAAAAATTTTTAATTTATTGTTTTAATCTGAATGATTATCCATCATAAAACTTTTTAGAATCAATAAATTTCCATAGAGACAATTATTTTAAGATTTACAGGAAAAATTAATTTGTTAAAATATAGTTAATAAAATATTAAAAGTAAAGAATAAATTATATAAAGATATTTATAAAATCTTAATTATTATAAAATTAGAATTTAATGTTTATTTTTTGAATAGAGCAGTTGATAAAAAGAATTAATTTTATTTTACCTAATTTAACTAAAATTGTGTCCATGTTTGCATATTTCATCAAAAATAATATTTTTTTATGCTTATTTTGAGAAAATGAAACATGCTAGATATTTCAAATATTCATATATATAAATCTTTTACGACTAATTTCTAAGTGAAAGTTAGACAAAAGTTATGTTTATTTACAAATTATAAAAGATAGTTTAAAAATTTTAATACGCAAGGAAAGCAATTTGTTTTTTTGTTTAATATTTTCTAAGATATTTATCTCATTTTTTATTTTTTATTAATTTTATTTTATATTTTTGTTATATTTAAAGTTTTTTTATTCAAGATTTTATTGTAAATTTATTTTAAATTTATATTTTTTTATCCTTATTATTTATTTTATTTTTGTTATTTATATTTGTTATTTTTTGAACGACAACCACATTTCATCTTTAGTAAACTATATATCAATCATCTTAATAAATTAAAAATTATAAATGAATCCTATTTTAAATATTATTATATATTCCTAAAAAATAAATTTGATGAAAAAAAATTTAAAGTCTCGTTTATTGCAGGTTAATGTTTTTGATTTATCCTATTATATGGAGTGAATTTTATAGTTAGAACATTAAGAAGTTGAATCTTTTAAAATCTTAGAAGTTAAATAGATTAAGTAAAAACTGTGGATTATGAGAGAAATATCTATGCGAATATGAATCTATTTGTATGAAAGTTTTTCAGCTCTTTACATATCTTGGTGGAATTTACTCCTTATAGAATTACATATTCAGATAAATCTCTGAGGTTTAAAAACTATTTTATTTTTTTCTTTATTATGTTCTATCTAATATTAAATGACAAGTCCATATTTTTTTTAATTTATTTCACTTTATTTGTTTTTTTTTAATATTATTTATTTAACCGTTAGAAATTAATTTATATGAAAATGTATTGATTGATATATCTTAATGTTTTTTTCTTAATAAATTTACTATTTTTTCATATTTAAAGAAAATAAATAAGATTAAAGTTGATAATCAATTAAACAACTATTTTCCCCACTTAATGTAAAATTTTTTAAAGGCATTTTAATCAAATAAAATTTTAATATTATTATTATGATGATTCAATTATTAGATAAAATCTAATATTTTTTTTATTCAAATTCTTTTAAATTTTATATATTTATTGAAATTAACCCATATTAATACTTTGAAAAGATATTTTTAGATAAAAAAATTATTAAAACCATATAAGCTTGTTTTTTCTTATTGCGTAAAGATAATAATTGGAAATTTAGATATATTTATTTTATAATTGATAGTTAGATAAGAGGATATTTAATCAATCTTTGGTTATAATATTCTTTTATTTAAGTTTAAAATATATATATCTACCTGAATATTATCATAAATATATAATTTTTTATGTATTAAGCTCTACATATAATTCAATTAATAGTATGATTATCAATAAAATTTATTATTGATTATATTATAAAATAAGTGATTGACATTTTATTAAACAATTAATTTTTAAAAGAAATTTGATTTGATTGCTGAAAATAATTCTGTAGAAGCATAATTTTAATGTCATTTAAATAGTATGAATTAAGTCAGTATATATTTTGATATTTTTTGCTTTATTTTTGATTTCATTTCATTTAAATTCTTTTCATTTTTTGTTAATATGCTTTATTTGAATTTACTAATAATATTTCGATTACAAAATAGAACAATTAATTGGTAATGTTATTATAAATAGAATATTAAATTCCTATGTTAAAATATTTTGATTTAATTATATAAATAAAAAATTAATTTATTTTAACATAATTTTAATGATGTTTAAATAATAGCAGGTAAGTTAAAAGTTCTATTATGAAATTTGATAGGATTTATTTTTGGTTTGATTTTATTTTAATTTTATACTAATTTATTCTATATTTATTTTTTATTTCATTTCTAATTATATTTTTAATTTATTCATTATTTATTTATTATTATTTTTATTTTGGATTTATTTCATATTTATTTTTTTCTTTATTTGATTAATTTGTATAATTTTTATTATTTTATTTTTTATATTTTAAATGTTTCTTTTAATTTTATATTTTTTTCAAGTCAGCCAATGATGAGAGAGGATTGCAAGGATTATGAGGTCATTTTCTTAAACTAGTTTAATATAATTCATTCTATAAATGTATTATTCAAATATTTATTTAAGTTATTTTCATATTTGGGTTTTTTTTTTTGATTTTACTACTCAACTATTAAAGTTGGAATCAGGATTATTGGAAAAATCTTCTTTAGAAATGTCAAAAACTAATTCTAGATTATCGAATTGAAGTATACATCTTCTCTATATTCCTACAGATCTATTATGTGAAATAATAAATTCTTTTTTTAGAGATAGATGTCTTCTTTTTTTAAATGTTTAAAAACTTTCATTTTTCTTAGAAGATTTTTACATAATCATTATTTTTTACTTTATTTAAAGTTTTTCTAAATAAATAATTATGATTAATTTTTTGATTATCCAATAAATTAATTAACTAGAAAATATCAGATTCTTATTTCAAAACTTGCTCATAAATTATTAATTTTTCTTCTGAGAGGCTAACACTTTTCAAATTTTCCTTACAAGTCAAAATAAAAAACTAATATTTAGTTTATAAATAGTAAGTATCATTATAATTATTAATTATTCAATATATAAAATAAAATAATTTATTTTGATTAGATAATTAATTCAGAAATCAATAAAACATTAAGAGAATATAATTAATATTCAATTAGCAAAAATATTTATCCATTATTGCTTAAAAAATAAAAATTTTAGAAGAGTGTTCTCTCAAATATAAATCTTTAAAAAATAAAAATTTTCTTTAAAAGTTCTAAAAATGCCATTTAAATCTAAATTAAAAAGATATCTGTTTTTTGTAAATAAAATCAAAAAATGATGATTTTTTATCTCTTTATAATGTTATGAGTGAGTATGTTTAGATGGTATTTAATTATTTTTCGCACTAATAGATTTCATAATTTTTTGAAACTAATAAATTAAGAGAAAAACTAAAAAAGCGAGAGGGGAAAATCATCTAAACACAAAAATATTAATTAATTAAGTTATAATAAATAAATTTTTTAAAAATTTCTTATTTTCAAATAAAAAGAGCCCTTATAAGTTAATATGTTTAAGCAGCAAAAGTTTTTAAAACCCGAGTATCATTCTGGAACAAATCGAATTCCCGTCATAGTTTTTTAATACAAAATTACCCGCTGTTTAACAATAATTAAACTTTTAAGTGAGCAGTTACTTTCCAAATTATGAAAGTACGGAGTTTTCAAAATTTATCATCTCTATTTAAAAATAGTTTGCTTAAAGCAATCACAGGCTCAATGCCAATTCTTATCTCTTGTGATATATATAAAAGTATTTTTTAGTAGATTTTAAGACAAGACACAGATTCAGAGATAAAAGACACAATGAAGGCGAATGGCAGAAAAAGGCGAATTTTTAAATCTTAAAAAGAAAATAAATAAATAAATAAATAAATAAATAAATAATAAATAAATAAATAAGATAAACAAATACATGAATAAATAAATAAACAATAAATAAAATAATACAAATAAAAATAAATTAAATAAATTAAATAAATAAATAAATAAACATAAACAAGAGCCAAAAAAAAACAAATATAATAAATAGATAGATACATCTCATAAAATAGACACATACATAAAATTTTATTAATTATTATTTGCTATTTATTTTCATAAATTTTATTTATTTTGAAAATATTTAATTATTTTTGATAAAATTTAAGGTTTTTTGCATATTTTTATGATTCTTATCATTTTTAAGTTTAAATAAAAAATATTAGTATAAATAGATATTTATAACACATTCATTTTATTTGCAAAATCTATTTATTTTTAAAAGTAAATAAATTTTATTGAAATATAAGATTAAATATTAAGTCTTCAATAAATGTGTATGGGATTAAATTTATACAAAAAAGTACTTTTGAAATGTATTATTCTATATTTGATTCAATTTAGTTAAAATAAAAATATTGGCCTTGTTGAAAGAGATGAATAAGTAAACAAATATTTTTATTTTTTTAATTTTATTTTTTAATAATTAGAATTGAATATTATATACATGCAATATAATAGAACATTAAAATAGCTTTAAAATATTATAATATAATGATATATGATAAGTTTTTGTTAAAAGACTCTCTTAGATTAGTATTTAATATAGATATATATTATTTTTTGGTGTTATTAATTTATTTTCTTAGCTTCAAAAGACTGTTAATTTTAATATTAAAATACACATAACAATTGCATTGAGCATTATTAAAGTACAAATGCACTTTTATGCAAAATTTCCTTTTAAGCTATTATTATTGGCCTTTTTTATATTTTTATATTTATTTTTAAAAAGAATTGATTTAATTCTATTAATAAACTTACTTTCTTTATTTATTATGCACCTTTTTTGATATTTACTTATACTTTCTCTAAATTTGAATCTATTCTATCAAGGATAGTTCCATTTTATATTACAATTTCATTCATTTATCCAAAAATTATTGTTAATTATTTTATAGATTCTGCTACTGCGTTTATACGCTACTCTCTTAAAAGCTAGTAATCTCTTTCATATGAATTCGAAAATTACTGGTTTTATTACTTGAGAAATATATAAATTAATTGAAATAATATTTTTGTTTTTAAATTTTACTTATTATCCAAGCAAGTTATGGTTAGATTAATTTTAAAATTAATACGGATCTACAACATTCATTTTATTGAAGTTACTTTACTTATTATTGAATTGCATAAACTCTTAATACCTTTTTTGAGCGTCTCTTAAAACTAATGTTGAATCTTACAATTATGATGTTAATGAAATTCTCATATTTCTCCTTATTTTTTCATCAATTTATCCCGTATCTTCTGTATTATCATTAGCTATCTAATTTAGCTTTATTTCGAAACCTTTTATCATCTATTTATTTTTATAATAAACACTTTCGCTTAATCAAAATTACGTGCATAACATTGTCTTGCTTAGTTTTTACTCTTTGTTCTTTTAATTGATCTGTTTTGCTAAATTGTATTGAAATACGGTCATTTATTAACTGAACTATTTCATCAACTTTATTTTTTATAAAAAATTATACATTTGAAATAAATTTTTTAGGTCATTATTTGTAAAAGTAAATTATTTGAAATACTCACTTTGTAGCTAAATATCTTAAAGGTCACGCTTTGCAAATTCAAAATTATCAAAGTAGCGAGGAGGAAGGTTCAATGTGGTGTGATGAACTGAGCCATTTACTAAATTAATAAAATGATAGTTGCCTTTAATATTTGCATAAACTATTCTTACTGTTGACATTTTTCTACCTTTATAATAAAAAAGCAATTTTTTTAATGAAATTATTTAATACTTATTTATTACTTTTTGTAGAACTACTTTGCTTGGTTGAATAAAACTGTTTTGTTTTTTGAGATACCCATATATTATCTATTTATCATATTTTATGGGCTATCTCTCTGTTAAAAGTAGCTATTATTATAGTAATAGCTGTTTGTTATTCCTTGCTAATTGTTGATCTTATTCATTTTTTGAGCTATTAATTATATGAACTTGTGAAATTATATCAAATCTGAAATGTGAAATTTTTAGATTTTTGTTTTTTAATTTTTCTTACTATTTATTTAAAGAAATAAGTTTTTTCTTTCAAATTATCAAACAAAAATATTTAATTGCACTGGCAAATCATTCTAATAACTTTTAATCAGAATATATTAGAAGATATTTGCTTAGCTTTATAAATATAATATTTGTGAATTTTTTAATTTATATTCAATTTTAAATTCATCAATTAATTATTATTTAACGATAATTTAAATTAAATGTGTTGCATATCACACATTCAGCATTAAAATAAATCAAATTTATAATATATTTAATTAATTTATTTATAATTTTCTTATTTTAAATTTAGTTTTTAAAAAATAATTTTATTTACTTTTAAAAATTAACTAACTGTAATAAAATTTTTAAATTTAAAAAAAACAGAGCAGTCATTTTATTTTATAAAGTAAATAGTTGAAGATAAATAATAATATGCAATTATATACAAATATTTTAGTAACAGAAAAAATAGTAATAAAAATTTAATAAATAATTTCTTAAATGAGTTTTTTTAATTGATTGATAAGTAAGTAAGTATGTATATATTTATTTATTTGTGTTTTTGATTGCTTAATACGATAAATTGAAATAGCTTTTCAAAAATAATTATATTTCAGTTATTTATTTTAAGCTAATTATTTTGACTTAAGTTTTTTTGTGAAAAAGAAAATTCATTAAAAGTGCTCCATCATTAATGGAATACCAAAGTTTTTCATTGGTTCTCTTTTGTTTCTAATATACTAAAGTAGTTTTTCTTATGTATAAAAATATTTTATGACAGATTTCCCCTTATAAAAAACATCTTAATTCTAAGTATTTTCTTAAATCGATTCTTCATAATCCAACTGCAAAATTAACAACTAAGTCTATGTTTTGTAAAGCTCTTCTGCCATGAGATCATACAATTTATTTTCTTTAAAACCTTAAAAATCAGTTATAAAGACAATAAACTTTTTGTTTTTATTTATAACATTGTCTTAAGTCAGTATTATTTGTTGTTTATATCTTGTAATTTCATTTTCAAAGAAGCTTGCTAGGGCTTTTCTCACTGATAAATGAAATACTTAATTAATGTTTGATTTATTTATGTTTTATTCTTCATTATCTAATCTGTCGAATTTATAAAAATAGTTATCTTAATTAACCTATTATTATCTTAATGAAGATTAATAAGAATGTATTTCTTCAGTTTCTATATATTTTTTGCTCTCTACTCTTTTAAACTATTCTTCCAATATTTTTTTTCTTTTTTAATTGTTTTTCAAAGGTGTGTCTATTTATTCTTCATCTTGCTCTGCTAGGCTTTGAAATTATTTACTTTAAAGAGAATTTGGTATTGATTAGGCAGATAGCAGAAGAGTTCCTTAACTTAACATGTTATTAGAATTTTTTGATTTTCTAATATCTTCATGTTTACTAAAAGAACTTCTGATTATAGGTTTATGTGTATTATTTAAAGTTATAGATCTTAGTTTATTATTATTTTCTTCATTCTAATCTTGGTTTGGATCTATCTAATCAATATCTTTTTAAATTAAATATTATAAGCTGCTTTATTTATACTAAAGGTTCTCATTATTTTGCTATTATAAATTATGATTGTTATCTTAATTCTTTTTATTTAATTATAATTAAAGTAAATTAATTTAAGAGTCTATATGTGGGGAATCTTTATTTTCATATAAATTATTATTATAAGTTGGCAATATTTCTTCATCGTTCATAAATTCATTCCTATTTTATTAAATTCTTAGCTAATCTTAATTATTTTCATATATCTCTGTTTATTATTTTTTAATATTGGATATGTTATTTTATTCGTAAAGACTATCCTTGAAGCTATTATCTTATAATATTTGCTAATCCTCCTCATTTTTTTAAGATTATGCTTATTAGTTAACTAAAATTTGAGGGATTTGCTGACTAAGATTATTTGGTGCAGAACTATTTCTTTTTCTTTATATTTATTAATTTTCTGAGCTTTTGAGAGTAAAAATAGATTTTTAGTTTTGATTTTAAGAAGAAGACTTTAATAAAGATAGAGATAGTGATTTTTTTCTAGAAGATGAAGTTCCTTATTATTCTTTTTCCTTGAAATTTTATCTTTATTCTGTAAAATTTTCATTATTTTCTACATTCTCGCTATTTTCTAAAATAATACTATTTTTAAGAAGCTTATTAGATTCTTGATTTTTTATTTTTATATTAGTATTTGAAACAATCCACTAATTCCTGTTGCTAAATACTTCTGATTAACTTTTTAGAGCTGATAAAGGAGTTATAATTTTGTGTGTGTCCATTAAGTTAGACTCAATAAGATTAATTTCTTTGCTACTCTCCTTTATAGGAGCCATTAGAGTAAAAGGCATGTTAAATTTGTTATAGCTGTACCTTGGAGATTCTATTTCAGTTCCTCCTAAAATCAATCTTTAGCTTCCATGTTTTGGGTGAAATTAAAACATATCAGACTCAGTTGGAACAAATGACTAAGGTGATAGCAATTACAAAATATCTTGATGTGATTTTTCTGTAAAGAGATTTTATTAATCATTTTATGCTGTCTAAAAATTTAAATCATTATTTTCAGTGAAGGTTGGATATGTGTGATTCGTGTTTGAGCGGACTAACGAAGGGTTTATATATTAATTATTTTAATTTGTTTATAAGCTATGATTTGCAATATGTTATTCGTCATTAAATTCATAAGAATAAGAAGATATTTCAACAGAGTCAGCATCTCCAGAAATATAGTTTAATAAAGTGTCAAAATATTCAGATGCAGACTTCACTTATTTCATACATATTGGTGGCATTACTTGTTTGAGAATTAAAGAATTAAAAATAATCAATGAAAATAAATCCTCATCTTTTGCTAGTACTTCTTTTATCAAATGTTGACATGTTTTAGCAGCATCTGAATATGCTGTATTTACAGCTATAATTGAAGCAACTTTAAATGCAATTGTACAGTCAAATCTCTCAATCATGTCATGTAGTTATTTTTCTATGTTAACATGACTATACTAAAAAATTTCATTAAGCAAGACTAAACATTGTTTTCTGTAATATGGTAAATAGTATTTTACGTTTTCTAAAAGCTCTGTTAACAAGTAAGCAGCAGATTAGTATTATTTTTCAAATATTAAAATCTTGGCTTCCTAAATACCTACATAGTAAAGAAGGATATTACAAGGAAGCTAATATTTTGATATCTTTTTCCCATCATTTTCTTCTAAATTTTTATTTATCTTAGATATAAGATGTAGGTTTTTCTTTTTAATTTTTTGCTTTTTGATGAGCATTTAATTTTGTTAGAGATTGCTTGAATGTAATTATTATTAATAAGTTTACTGCTATTGGTTTTATTACTAAACATGGCTAGATATTGATGCTATATCATCATAAACACTGCAATCTTTACATCTAATTAAATGATTTTAAGCTCGCACATTTATATTGTTATTAAATGTATTTGCAACTAAAGAATTTTATGTTATTTTGTTATTAGATGTATCTTAAGTTAAAATATTAAGCGTTCCTTAATGAGATGGAATTACAGATAAATTTGCTACATTTTTTTCATTAATTTTATTCTAAGCTTGAGAAAGTTATTGTAAAGCAAGACTTCTAGGTCTTGTTAAATCGATATGATATTGGTTGACATTTACAGATTGAGTTTTGTTTTTTTTTTGCTAATTTTAGTTTGAAGCTGAATTAGCATGTTTCCTAGTCAACGAAGTATTGCTTCTATGATGATTATAATCGAAAGTATTTTATTATTAAATTAAATTTTCTGGATGCTGAGTTGGTAGAGTTAATGCATGCTTCATAGCTGAATTTAATTATCCAACTGAGTTCACAGAAAGCTAATTGGCTCCAGCAGAATAGGTTACACATAAAGTATTTTATTTTGAAGGAACTTATAACGTATGGCCCTATTAAAAGTGCTTTAAAGAATTCCTTTTACTTTATTAGGTGTAAGATGTTTAATTCCTATTGATTGAAAATGAATTATTTAACTTGTTTTTATTTTATTTTTTTTTAATGCATTTATCATTACTTTAGCGTCTAGATTTTTCAAAATCCAATCCCTGAAAAGATTCCTACTAATATTTAGAGCGTCTTGGTTTTCTCTAAAAATTGCTATGCTCAGAATATAAGCGATCTCTCTCTTAATTAAATTATTCATTGCTGAAGTTAGTATTAAATTACTCACTATTTTCTTAAATATTTTAATTATTTTCTTTCTTATTATTCTTAAATTCAATATTTTCAATTCCAGAATTGTTAAAATGATGGGCATTATAGCTTCGACTTTTATTATATTCATCTTAATTTTAATTATTATTATTATGTAATGGTAATTGCTATTTTTCTTCTTCTTCATCCCCATTTTGTTAAGCTTCTTTGAATGGTTTTTAATTATTTTTTACCTTATTAAGCTAATTATTATTCATATTGCTCAAACGATCAATTTCTATTTAGATGTTATGAGCATTTGAGTATCTCTTTTTAAATAGATTGTCTATTGATATCTCTTCATCCATGTTTTTTGTTGCTTAGTACATAACTTGATTGATATCTATTGTATTTTATTAGCGATTATACTCTTTTGATACGATTGATTTATTATCATTTTTAGTAGGATTTTACTTTTTAAATGAATTGTTAACATTTTCATCAATTAGCTCATTTTCTAAGTGATTATTTAAAAAGCTATTTTCTTTATTTTAAGGATTAATCGATTTTTCCTCTTTGTTTATATTCTTATTCTCATCGTTGTCACATTCATCTTCTTCTTGACTAAAATCTAGCCTAAAATGTCCTCCAAAACGAGGGGAATTACAGGTATTTTTTTTAAGACTATGCTTTTTTGCTAATGATTCAATTTCTAAAGCATCGTTATATGATTTTATAGCCTACTTTTGATAATATATTGATCTTTTGTGATCATTCATTTAGAGATAGCAAAGAGAAAGCTAAGTTGAAAGAAGAATCATTCTTCCATAAGAAATACTCTTTAATTTTTCATTAAAATTTAAGAGATCAAGCAGCATGGTTTCATATTCCTCCCATAATACAGATTAAGATTATCCTTATTTCTAAAGCTGAAAGTTGAGCATGTTAAAAGCTTTTGTGAAATTAAACTTCCTGTCAAAAATAATTTAATTGATTTCATCAGTATTTTTATTATCTTTTTAATGCTCTTCTTCAGGTTATCCTAAAATAGCTTAATTAAATTGCTTTTAGTCCTCCTGTTAATATAAATTTTAATCTTATTAATTGTTTTCTGCTCCACTATTTTAATTTCTAGCGCTGCTATTTGTATTTCTAACTTTTGTAGATAAAGACTGATGTTATTAATTGTTAATATTTTTATTTACTTCAGAAAAAGTATTTAGTCCTCTAACCTCGTTTTGGCTATTACTTTTGCACTTTGATGAAGATATTCTTAATTAATTTTATGATATATTTTCTATAAACTATTCTTATTCAGAACATGATAGTTTTCTTTCTTTGTAAAACCCTAACTCATAATATCCATAAATGATTGAGTGATAATAATTCTCCATAGCCTCACTATAACGCTCGCTTTAAAAATGAATATTTCCCATATTATTGTAACAAATACCAAGAGCTCTGTAATTATGAAATTTTTTAAAAAAACTCACTTATTAATTTAAACGAAGTAGAGATTAGCTCTCTTCAACATTAAATATATCTTGAGTTACATAATGGAGCATTTTAAACATGCTCTTGAAGCTTTCAAACAATATCAATGAATCTAAAGAAACAATTATTTTATCTTCAGGCATTTAAATAGAATCATCAAGTAAATCAAGAGTTACTTGACTTCCTTCTTTTTCTAATTTTTTTAATAATAATATCATATGAGAAATAGGCGTTTCTATCATTATTGCTACTCTTAAACTAATAAAACCACAAACAGCAAAAAACAAAACCAAGGCAACACAAGAGCCGATCCCATATGAAATAAAAAAGATTGACATTTTTTTGTTTAGCTAATCAGAAAATTCTGTCAAATAAGATTTTGGAAGAACATCAATTACTAGAAATAAATCTTAGATATCAAATCCTACCCTATCTTATTAGTTCTTTAGATGCCTTTATTAATTGCCCAATTTTTCTATTATTTTAATGGGACTGAAAACTACAAAAACATCATCTCCATCAGCAGTATCAAATTCAAAATAGTGTATATCATCTAGATCTATATCACCATAACTTATATAACTAACTCTATCTATAAAATCATCATAGAGACTTATATTAACACTTGGAGGAATTAAATCAAATATGTTTTAGTTATTATTCTAATCATGAAATGGAGGATGTTTAGGTTTATTATTTTATTTTGCTGTAATATTGTAAATAGAATTAATATTTTCCTACAAAAATTTAAGAAATCTATCAGAATTCTTTTTACTATGTGGAAAAATATCTTATGCAGCATCTGATAGGTTAGTGACTGTGTTGTTAAATTTCTATAATTAATTATAAACTATTTCTTAACTTCTTGGATCAATCATAATTGTATGTGAATAATCAAACGTTTATTCATCAAAAAAAGAGTATAAATTGGACAATTTAAAATTTAAACAATCAACAGAATAAGGTTTCCATTATTTTTTTCCAGTACTACTTTAAATATTTTATCTTTAACAAAGATTTGTAGCTAAAAAGGGTTTATCTACCTGACTATAAAACATAACTGGAGCAATTGGTGTTATGCCTAATCTTTAAATTGCTTCAACAAACCATATTCTACATCTAGAGTCAAATTTATATTTACCTCCAAGTTAACATCCTTATGGAAGTACATAATTTTAAAATGTGGTATTAGAAGAAGTAGAATATAGTATACCTTCTTCAAAAAAACCTTAATATATGTCTTTTACTGGAATTTATCTACGAAATTGATCCATTCTATTTTAATAATCTAGAATACGCCAAATAAAATCTATATAGCCAGCTCTTTTAACTTATTATTGTCCAGTACTATCTAACTTGTCAAAATCTGAGATATTAGGATGAAGCCTTATTTTTATAGTTAAATAAATTAGTTAAAAATATTAAAAACTATTTATTTAGCTTCTTATTTTTTTGCTAAATTTCTCATATATCTAAATGGCTAATTCTAAATAAAATAATTCTTTATTACCAAACACTAACTTATAGATCGCTTTTTTTATATATATTAAGCAATTCTTATTAACTAGGATCTTGACTATACAATTTTTCTAAAAAAATAGCAGATTATTTATACTTTGGATTTATTTTCACTTAATTTGCAAGCAGTTTAGACTCAAAATTTACAAACATTTACAAATTCATTGAAAAACTTTGAAATATTTGACTGAATTCATAGCTATATGCTGAAATAATATCTTTTGTTTGTTATTGCTAGTCTAAATATAAATTCTAAGTGTATTCATTAATTAGTTTCTATGACACTATATATATAATGACTGCATTTATGAATTGCAGTGTAATCATCAAAAATGTTGGTATACTAAGTATAATAAACATCTCATATTTGAGCTTCATTTACGTCCTTAATTGTTATACACTTATTTTCTATTTTTAAAAGTTTTTGTACTGTCTACAAAACTTTAAAGGTTTAAATTGCTTGCTTAATCAATCCTCCTTATTTATATTAAAGTGCTGTTTATATTCTTCTTATTATTCTTCTTAACTTTTTATGCATTAATTTAATTAGATAAATTTTTACATTCAGATTTAATGATCTTTTAGATTTCTTTATCCAATAAATAAATAAATACATGATGATTTTAGTCAAACTCTATCAAATTATTAAAAACAATTAATAATAATTCTGAATATTAATAGATAATCTTTATCATTTCAGTATGTTTCTGAGAGCTTTTACAATATGTTTATTTTCAAGCTCCATATATTTACTTTTAGAAACACTAAAACCTATATTACTATATAATTTTTCTTTAGATTGATACTACTATCCTTATTCTATTCCTTTATTTGTAAGCACAGAAAAATTCTTCATATTTTCGCAAAATTCACAATTAATTATTACTTAAAATATATGCATTTTTTTATTCTGTTTCCTTTGAATTTAAGATATAACTCTTATTTACAACTAACTATATTTAAAGTAACTATCTAATCTATAAATCATACTAAGCAAATTACAATTAAACTACAGAGACTGAATATTTTCATTTTTTAAAATTAATTCAGTATTTACAAATATAGAATAAAAATAAGATATCTAAGAATTACAGATTATATTAATAGCCTTAATTTTTATTACTTATAAACTTTTTCCTTACAATATTGATTAATATTTAATAGACCAATTAAGATAGATTTAAAATAATAAAAATTTAGAGTGAAATAATGTAAATTAAAAATATTTATATTTAGTATATTAAAAAAAGTAGATTTTTATTTGTTATGAGTGATATGTATCTTCTTAATATTAAACTTAATAATAGTCTCGAACAATTGAAAAATGTCAATTGAATTTATAATTAAAATGTTGATAAAATATTTTTTTTATTTTGCTAATTTATTATAAAAATTTTTATTTCTATAACTAATATACTATTGAATACAATTCTAGTATTATGTTTGATTTATTTAATTAAAAATTCATTATTCTTTCTAAATTTAATCAAACAATATTAATTAATAATTTTTAAATTTCAATTTAATAAAGAAAAAGAATGTTGGTTTTATTAAGCGAATTTTTTATTCTAACCAAAAAATTAATTTTTTGTATTTAAAATTAACGGTTTTGGAAATTTAGAAATATTAATTTGTTTAAGTAATATACCTTTAATTATTGTTTTGCTAAGAAATTGTGTTTTTAGAAAATTCTATGTACATACTTCACCAAATGTTCAATGGAGGATTTAACCGTAATTCCTCGATTCGTATTAAATCTTACATACTCTAGTGCTCTAGTGAGGAATTCATTAAATTTTGACTAAAAATATTTATTCCTCGTACGCGATTCGTATAATCGTATAGAGGAATTACGGTAAGTTGAAAGGTTGATTCAATGGTTAAGTTGAGGAAATGGTATAAGGTAACCTATTTATTGTAGTTAGGGTTTGTTTTTTACAAAAGAAGATCATTATTATAAAACCCATAATTATAATTTTGCTTTTTTTATATTTTCTTAATTACTATTTTTTAATATTGCATAAAAATTATTTTAAAAACTATTGAGTTTGAGTATTTATTTTTAAACATTTTGGATAAATGCTAAACTGACATATAAACTTAAATTTATTTTTTAGTTTTAATTATCTAATAAAATATTAGATTGTCCTCTTTCTAATATGACTACTTGATAAATTTGGTTTTAAATAATTAATTTATTATTATTTTATTTTTTTCAGTTTATTTACTGTGCAAATTTTGATAAGATCACTTAAGTCGAATACTTATTAAACTTTAAATTACTTTTACTCTAGATTTTTTAAAAGTAGATTTTAATTGAATATACTATGAACCATTTAAATATACTTATTATTTTCAATAATTTTTTAAATTTAATTATTAAATTTTTGTTTAACATCTTGTGTAAATAAAAACTATTTAATAAATAATTTTCATTTTTAATTTACTATTTTTAAATATTTAAAATAATTTTTATTAAGTTATTAAACCAAGATGTGATAGCATAAAAAGTGTTGAATAAAATAGTGTTTTTTTCTTAATTTCGATAGTTTCTTTGAAAAATTAATGAAAATATTTTAGAAAAAACTAATTAAGATAGATTATCTGATTTTAAAAAGTAAATTAGTTTGAGCTTTTTGATTTAGTAAAACGAAATGAATTTTTTTAACATAAATATCTATTTAATAAAATATTTGGAATTTAGGATTTATAAGTCATTTAATTTTATGCTTGTTATTTTTTCTAATACTTTTGTGAGATTTTTGATAAGATTTTTTGATATCTTAATTAAAAAACATAATGATAATGAATATATGTGTAAAAAAAAATAATGTTTAGGTATTTTTTAGATTTACAAAGTAGCTTATTCAAAATAGATACTAAATTAAAGAAAGATATTACAAATAAATAAAAATGAATGTTATTAGTTATAAATAATTAATTCATCAAGAATATGCAGCAAATGAATTGAAAGAGTATTTTAAGTAGCTAATTCCATTTTCCCATCTATTTTTAAGAGCTGGAACTGAATAAGCTTCTCTGTTAACGGCTCCATTAGGATCCATACCTTCAGGTACTTGCAAAGGATAACCAAAGTTAGGTTGCATGAAACAAGCAAAAGTATTTCTACTTATTTTTGTACCAATTGCTTTAGGTCCACGAACAACGCAGTGAGGAGTAGCTTCAAGGATACCACCTGTGAGGATTTAGGAGGTTTCGCCAATTTAGAAAGCAAGACAGTCTTGAGGGATTTTTAATCTTTATTAATCAGCAAATCTATTCTTTGCAAAGAGTCCACCTTCGGGATCATAAAAATTATCGACAACTTCACCATTTTCATCAGTATAAATAGCAGAGCAAAGACCAGTCAAAGCTCCGTGGTCATTGTGCCATCCACACCAGTCATCGTCTACTACTTTAGATTCATTAGAAGGGAAATAATGGAGTAATCTAGCAAGATGAGCTTTGCTTCCAGAAACAATATCTTCTAAAGTTCCCTATTTGTATGTAGGTTAGACGCTATGGACATATTCATCAATGTGGTAGGAAAGAAGTGAACCTGTGGAAACAACAATCTTACCCATTTCCTTGAAAGCAAATTCAAGTTCAGGAAGTTCTTCCTTAGGCCAGAAGTTAGGAGCAACAAAAGCACCATCCTTTTTTTATTCTTCACTAATCTCATCAGGAACGTCGCAAACAGGATTAGCGTAAAAAGATCCCTTAGAGAAGTCGAATTTTCCCTTGAATTATTCAACACCATGACTCCAGCCAATAGCATGCATATATTCAGGTTTGACAAGCTTTTGGAGACTTTCCTTAGGTAAGTTAGCAAGCTTAAAGGCAAGAGGAAGTAATTTCTTTCTTGCTTCTACATAACCTGGAACGTTTCTGACTAAGCAAATTCCGACTCCTTCAGGGCCATAAGCATCTTTAATCTTTTCAAAAAGTGGCTTGCTCTTATCAACTAATTCAGCATAGTCGAATTCAACAATCTTAGCAGTCTTAATTTCTTTAGGGGCAGACATTTAAGTAGAAGTGGTGTTATCAGTGCTCATTTTTATTATTTTTATATTTGCTAATTAATTATTGTTATAACAATTTTAATAATATTAAATTTTTTTTATTAAGTATTTATGAAAAATGATGATAATTCCTACTCACTTTTTATAGCAAAGCTCGCTAAAAAAGTAAAAAATTTATTTTTTATGACATCATATGATATCTCCCTAAAAGTCAAATTATCGCAAATTTATAGAACCTTTAATTTAGCTTATCTTTTAGCTTAAGCTGGTCTATTTAGATTGTTTTTTTGTTATTTTTTTTGGAATATAAACATATCTTTTGTTATTTTCTGAACAAAAGCATTTCTTAGTCAAAAAATCATAATTCTGATATAAATTGAAAATTCAAATGTTCATTTATTATTTATTAATTTTAATTTATTAAATTAGTATGTTATTTTTTTAATTCTTAATTTAAGCAAATAAATATGGTTCCTATCTTATCTATTATATTGCAGCAATATAAAAATAATTGTTTTGGATAATCAAAAAAATGATCACCTTTATGGACATATCTTTTATTTGAATAAAAAAGCATATTATATCAGTTTTAATGAATAAAATTGGGAATAAAATTGTCCCCCACCTTAACTTTAATAAATTATCTAGAGCTTCCAAAAGAAATTGATTACTCTTTTACTCTCTAGAGTGGGGGAACAAACCAAACAAATTTATCTAAGCAATTATTTATCATAAATTAATTGTATGTGAATTATATAAATTTAATTTTTATATAAGAAAAGAAGAATAGCCAAAACAAATAAAATTAATGACATATTTAAGATTTTAATAATTTTTAATAATATTAAAAATTTTAAATTAGTATTTTATGAGTATTTCCTTTTAAAATTAAATGACATTTGTAATTAATATTTCAATAAATAGATTTTTTTATATACAAATTAATGGTAAATTTTTTATTTTTTTATTTGATTAAAATCCTCGAAATTTCCATCAAATCATTGAGTAAAAGTGTAATCAAAATTAATTCTTTAGTTATAGGTAATAATTTAAAGTAAATATTTATGAGTGCTTAATAAATTTTCACTAGACTATATTAAAATTACTTTAAAAATATTTATCTTTAATCAAATACCATAAATAAATAAAATATATGTAAGATAGACTCAAAATAAAAAGAGAATCTTTCAACATACTACTAATCCTAAAAAAATTTTTTTATTCCTTAAATTATTTTGATAATTAAATTCATTTTATAACTATTAGAACTAACTTGGTTAAATAAAGTTATAATTCATAATGAAAGGTTTCTGAATCTTGAAAAAAGTTAATATTTATTTCAATTATAATATTTGAACATAAATAAATATTTTTTAACTACATTTAAATTTCAATAATAAGATTAATTCAATTTAAATACTTTAAGAAATGGTAGTACCTTTTTTATTCATTTTAATTTATTATTTATTGAACAAAAATTGATAATTTATTAAATGAAATAATATTAAATTAAGGCTATAAAAATAGTAAATAAAATCTAAATTTTTAAAATAAAATATAAATTTATTTTTATAATCTAAATTAATAATATAATTCATTAATATAAACTTAAAATATTTTTAACAAAATAAAAAATATATATAAAATAATAAATAAGTCATTTTGGTAATTTTTACTATTAATAACTTTAGTTGAATAAATTTAATTATTTTTACTATGGACTGTAGTTACTTAGTAACCTAGAAAAACTTCTAAGATCAGATGATAAATTATGCTTAGAAAGACTTTTTATATTTGATTTATTATTATTTGAATTAAATCTAAAGGTTTTTAATTTAAAAGATTTCTTTGATTATTCTTCAGTTATACTATATAATTATAAAGTTGATAATCTCTTATATTGAAGCAGCTTCTTTACTTTTTTCCAACTAGTTTTATTTTTTGTAAATAATAAATTTGAAAAAAATAAATTAGAAATTAATTTAAAAATATTTTTTTAAAAGAAATTTAAATTTTAATATTTGTATTACTTATTAAAAACTCTAAAAGTATTGTAATCGTCTATATATATCAAGTTGTATAAGCTCCAAAAATTTCTTTTTAAATAAATTTTTATGTTTTATCTTTCATTTTTCCCTTTACCTTTAATAATATACTTCATTAAATTTATAAAGCATTTTAAAATCCTATTCTTATTAAATAGATAAAAATTTCTTCTAATTAAAACTTCTATGAAGCTAAATATAAGAGAACCTATTATTATTGAAAAATTATTTAAATTATTATTGAATTTGTTTAAATAAATGAAAATTACCAAATAATAAACTTAAACCTAAGACTAACAAAATAGAAGATATGACATTTAAGAAGCTGTTATCAAAATTATACAGTTTGAAAATAGATACCCAAAATATCATTAGGGTATTTATACATGATTTTAGCTCTAATTTATTCATTTTATTGTCTTCGTATGGTTTAAAATAAATTTAAAGAGCACAATAAATCGATTGAATAAATGTAATTGAAAGTAGCTATTAAATTGCTTATGAGCTTAAATATGTTGCAATAATTAATGTTATAAATTTATACTGAGTGATTACTAGTTCCCACCACCACCTATTTTTTTTGTATCCTGAGAAAAAGTATCCATATTTTCTCACAATTTTAGAAGAGAATTTGTCTAAAAGCTTACTTTTATTAATGTAAAGTACATAAAGCATAAAGATAGGGTAAACTACTACTATAATAAGTAAAACTGGCAATACCAAGGAAAATATATAGAAATAGTGCTATTAAGTATAGCATTAATAATCCATTTAGCTTTTCATATAGTAAGTACCATCAAATTCTAAACAGAAAATAATTTAAAGACCTGCCTAATAGATATTTTATGAAACAAGATATATGAATATTAACAACGAGCTTACTATTATATTTGAGTTGTCATATACAACTTAATAGTAATAAGAAAAAGAAGGCCTGATCACTTTAATCATATATATGAATATCTAGGATAGTAAATAAATCAATAAACACAGAATGAAGGGTAAAACTATAGAAATATAAATAAATCTAAGATATTGTATAGGAATATCTTAATTTAATAAGCTTAGGCTGCAGTCTAATGAGTAAACAAACATCAAAACTGGCTATGAAGTAAATTCAGAAAATGTAATAAAACTGAAAAATAAATCAGGAAAAGTTATACCCATACTTTATTTAATAGTTGCTATGATTAAGAATTAGTTTATAAATATTTTAGTAATGATCTAAGACTATAATAAGAATGAAGAAATCCCCATATTTAAAATACCTAGAGACATTAGCGCTCTTATTTATGATATTTTACAGTTATTATTGTATGCCTCCAACATTAAAAAAAAGAAATATATTAAAACAGCTATTAAAATAAGAGCTTATTTTAAACTATTCTTTTGAAGCTACGTGCATTTCATGCACTCTATGCTCTTTTTATTAATTGAGTTTACCTAACCATAACTTTCTCCCCACACTCTCCCATAGTTATCGCAAGCCTAACATAAAGCCCCAATATAGCCTTAAGCACAATATCCTTTTGATTCATCTCCATTACATACTTAGCTATCTGCATCACATTAGTAAATAATATCTGAATATTTATTTTTTCTCCTTTTATAAATAAATAAATAAATTTTAGAAATGAAATTTAATTAATTTACCAATAGTTTTATTTCAATATGATTTGATCTAATTAGCATGATTATGCTTTTTGTAAATCGCAATTTTTACATTAAATATTTGAATCTACTGAAGGATTTACAAGAGAATAAGTACCGTTCATGCATTAAACACATTCTTTTAGAGAACAATTTTGACATGAAGAGCTATAGAACTCACCAATTCGACAATTTCTAAAGTTTATATTTATTTTGATATTATTTACATCAATAAATTAATTTGAGTTATTTAAAGTTTTCATTCCATTTAGCTGGAGTATCAAAGTTGCATTTTTAGATGGTATTCCTGTTACTTTAAAACTATTCATAACACATCCTATTTTATTTTAACTGTAATACTTGTAATCAACTGAAGTTGCTCCTTCTATTTTTATTGTTTAATTTTACAAAGAAATTGCATTTTCATATTAGTAAACTTTGCAATTATAATTTGAAATCTCCGATATTAATTCTTAACTTAATTGGCTTGCTACATCTAAATTAAATTGTATTTAAATATTTAAATATGACTAAAAATCATAAAAAATTACCTCTATTTTAGAAGTCAATCTGTTTCACATCAGTTTTTAGCTCATCTAAAAATTGGATAGTAAAATCAAAATTGCTCAATCCACTTCTAAAATTATTAAAGCTGATTTCAGGATATAGCCTTATATCAACATCAAAATCTCTGCTAGGTAAAATTGATGCATATTATGGGTAACTTGTAATATGATTACCAAAAACAATACCAACATTACTTTTACACTGATTATTCTAGTATGTTTTGCAAGAATCTTTAATTAAATTTGTTTATTTCACTAAAAATATTGGTTTTAGGTTTAGGTATCTTATTGCTCCTCCTACTCCAGCTTAATTGGCTGTAAAATTTGAATTTAATAATTATAATTATGAGTTATCTAGTAAAATACTTCCCCCACTCCTATTTATATAAAATATTTTTTATTTAAATTTGTATTGAAAAATAAAATTATATATTACCCTAAAGCTATATTATTTTCAAAATTAGAATTCCCTATATAACTATCAAATCCGCCCGAATTTAGCAAATAAATTGATCCTCCATTATTATTAGCTTTACAATTTAACATATTTGTATTATTAACTCTAAGCAATAAAACTTAGTTCGCGTACAGAAATCCTCCATTTAAATTTGCTGTAGTATTTTAAGATTTAGTTGCATTGAGAAATAAATTTCCTTAGTTTATATAAATGCATCCACCATTTTAAGAATTGCATAAATTAAATGTACACTAATCTATAACTAAGATTGATTGTGATGCAAAAATAGATCCTCCTGAATCTCCGCTTGTATCATTATTAAATTATGTATTTAAAATTTGCAAATTGCTTTGTATAATATAAAGAGAACCGCCTTAATTTGATTGATTTTACTCAAAAGAGGAATCTTATATTGTAAGATTTGAATTATCTAAAATAGTTATTATTGACATCTACTCATTTTAAGATTTAGAAAGATTGTTTTTAATTTTTGAATTAAAAAGATAAACGAAAGAGTTTAAAACTTTTACTGCTTAAGCTATTTTATTATCAGAAATAGTTATATTTTATATTGTGGATGTTGATTCTTGTATTAATAAGAGATTTAAGAATCCTTCATTCATTTATAAAATATTATTTGATATAGTCTATTAGCTGATACTTTAAAATTACAATAATTATACAGTTTAAGTTAGTATAGCTTTATTGGAAATGAATTAACTGTCTTAAATAAATAAATTATCATTATTTATCTCTACCACAGAGTGAGATTTGTACTGTGTGAATGTATTATTAATTATAAATAATTTAGATATTACAGTATTATCTTTCAACAGTTTTTATGTGTTAGAAATCGTTTGATTTATATGGTTTATATAGTTATTATACAATAATAGCATGATATCATTATTATTAATAAAGTTAATTTATAAAATCTAGAATTAGCTTACAATATAACTTTTTATTAAAGGAACAGGTGAGCCATTGTTTTAATCAAAAGATAAATTTAAAAATTTTACAGATTAATAATTTGAGATATATATAGGAGCAGTATCGCTTTGATCATCAATGAATTAAAATTAACTCTTATGGATTATTGAATCTTGAATTAATATTGATGTCAGAGGATTGTTGATATTATCTTAAAAATAAAATAAGCAAGTTTACTAAAAATTAGATTATTGTATGTTGATTTAGTTGAATACCATCTAATTAATTGCAGTAAAATTAAATATTTATATGTAATTTGAGCTTATATATGATTGATTAATTATATAGAGACCTTAAAATAAAACAGAATTTATCTAACTTATCTAAAAAGTGTAAATTATTTAACTATTTAAGTAAATATCTTAGAGCACAAGAGAAGTAATATTTTAAATCTTATAGTATAAAATTGAATTTTATTCACTCATAGGCTTTATTTATAGATTTTACAATTTTATCTATCTATATCCAGAAAAAGAAGAAAAAAATCTATCATCTACTATTATATTTTAGTAATTTTGAATATCATTAGATTGAATATTTATTATTGTATTATTTGAAAATTAAAACGAAGGCAGTGAAAGCATAACTGTTTCTTAACTTACGATTACTTGAAATATTAATGAATTAATTATGCAATAGTTTTATATTTATGCAAACGTACACTAAATTGAAGATAATACTTAAGCTAATTGGCTGATAGGGAAAGACTCTACACATGTATCTTAACCCTAAATAGGTAGCTATAGTTAAGATAAATAATCTGAACTGTAGAGAATCAAGTTAATGAAAGTATTTTCAGGAGTGTCATAGATATTATAGTTTGCTACATTCCCAAGAAAATAGCCAAGAATTTAGAAATCACTTAATTATATAATCAATTAGTTTATAAAATCTATCTTATAGATGTATATTTCATACTAATATAAATCAATAAAATATTATTTATTGATAAATATGATTTAGTTTTAATCTTGAGTATAAATATCTATACTAATATTTTTTGTGTATCTTCCTAGGCCTATAAATGTAAAATTTGATAAATAATTTAGCTAATATACTCCTAAGCAATGCTATAAGATATAATCTAACTCTTCAGATATTTCTAATTTATAAATATATCCTAAACAAGGACTATCTAAGCTTTAAATCAAGTTGAAGTTTTGAATATCATATATATTAAGAGAATATTCTAAAGTTCTCTTTATAAATACCTAATTCAATTACAGAAAAAATGTATTAAAGAAGCAATTAAAATGTAATAAATATTTGAATAAAATAAGAATTATTTTTGAAGTTGATTATGTTTGTAATATTAGATTTAAATTTACTATTAGTAAAATAAACCAAAAAAATAGTTATATAAATTAATAAATTTACATTATTTTTAAAGAGTTTAATGATATGAGCATGAGATCTATATTTACTTTGAGATATTATTTATTAATTTATAATACTTAGCTCTTAAGATAATTCAATTTTAACTAATCCTCCATTTAATGTTGATAATATTATTAAAAACGTACTATTAGACTATTATGTGAAATAATAGTTAGAAATAGCTTCTTCAAATACTTTAATATTAAATTTCTATATAAATTGCGGATTTGTTTAGTTGATATTTAATTAGTAGCAGAAAACTTCACCTTGAGTTGTTGTGATAAAAAATGAGTCATTTTTATTTATTTATTAGAGTTAAATAATTATTGAATTAGGCTATAATTAAATAACTTAATATAGTGAATAATCATAAAGGTATATGATATTAATTTGATTTAAGTAAGAGCATATAAAATAAGATATTAATTGAGTATTTCTTTAACAAGTTATGTTTTTGACATTTATGATGCTCAAAGTGTTAATATTAAAAAATAAAGTTTAATACATTGTTATCAAGGATGCAATATTATTTTAACCCTCTAAAATTTAAAATTAAGCTTATGCTTCATTATATGGATGTTTACTATTCACATAAAAGCCATATATCAGCTAATTAGTTTTAGAATTCCAAAACTATACAATATTCTATCCTTCATAAAAAATAATACCGTTTTCAACATTTAATGTAGTTAAAATACCTATAATATATTTTTAAGATTATTTTAATTTAGAAATTATTAAATTTAATTAATAGAATACAATATTTGCCAAATTATTAAAAAATAATAACTGTTTCTTTATTTATTTTTTAAAAAATTATCAATTTATTGATAGTTAATTAATTTTGATATTCTTTTATACTAAATATTTTATGAATAAAATTTATTTACCTATATCTGCAAAAGACTTAGAGTATGCACTTGCTTTTAAATATTCCATTAAATTATAATAACCTATAGAGTTAGCTTCTTAACTCCCATATATTATCATGTTATGAAAAGTATCTAAGTATATGTAATCAATATATTATGAAGTAACTTAAATTGTTCTCTAAAGTACTAAATCAGGATAAGATACGAAATATATAAAACCATTATAATCAGATGCAAGAATATATTTATTATCATAATCAAGAAAAGCATATGATAAAGGATTAGCTAATTAAATTTGATTCCTTTATAAATTAAATCGTTTAAAAAATTCATTTATTAAAGTAAAAGTTAATCATACATTTTTTGGACTTGAATAATGTTTTGGTAACTCCAAGTTTTTATGAAAAGGTCTTCACTAAATTATTACAAAAAATTATTTTAATTTATGAATTTGATTTGAAAATAAAAATTATTTATTTATTAGCTATTCTTCTAATAAATTAGTTGATATTTAATACCTTGTCTTAGTTTTAATTTTATGGTTTGATTTCGATTAGTAATAAATAACTGTGGAAATACTAAATTTTGTATTGAATAAATTTACCTAACAGTTGTTAAAAGCATATTTTATTCATCAATCAAAGCTTAGTTTATCCAGCTTGAGTGAGCAGGTTAATAAAAAAATATATTACAAAACTAGTCAAATATTCTAAAATCTCCGTTTTGCTTTTTTTTAAAAATTTTATAAATCAAAAATGACTAAAAAAATAAATATACATCCCAAGCAAATAATAAATTGTGAGAATAGTCAAAATTGCCATATATGCCCTCTATTTCGCATTTAAATTATAAAGTTTGATAATCTAAACATTTTGACCACCAACTATACTGTTCGATTTATATATTTATGAAATTAGTATAGCTTAAGTTAATATAATAATTAATTTAAATTTACTCCTAATATCATGATAAGATTTAGTTGAGGATTAAAGACTATTTGGCTAATTAACAAAGTGCTAAGTATAGAATTTAAAACTTTTATTAATTAGAAATTTTTAGTTATATCCCAAGCTATAATAGTACCAGGATGTAAACATGCCGAGAATAGCCTATTTGAATAATTGTCTAAGTAAAAATTAAGAACATTATTACATTAAGTAACATTATGGTTCAGGAGAGTAATATATTCATAGGTTTTTAAATTATAGACAAAAATTTAATTAAATTATTTTGTACTAAACCCTACAAGCAAATAGTTTAAAGAGGGTATGGCAAAAATAATGTAAGCATTTGATAAATCTACACTTTTAGGAAATGGTGGAAGATAATTTTACTAGACATGGTTAAATATAATAACCTCATTTGTTAGAATAAAGGTTAATCCACTCTATTAATCAATATAATAGCTAATTATTGCATTTTAAGTATTTATTTGGCTAATTAAAAATTTGTTATCCATACTTCTTGTATAAACCTAATTTTTTTATAATATTATAACATGAGTAATTATATTTTATTTTATATATTTATTTAGTGATTAAATATACTATAAATCCTCATTTATTAACATTGAATTATGTTTAAGTAGGTTTTTTTAACTAATCAAATAAAAAGTGAAAGTTATCGTAAGTAATAATTAAAAGTAAAATAAATTTTCTTATTATTTTAAAACGAAAGAAATGTTTCATTTACTTTATATGAATTTATAATAATATTTTTTTTTAAATCATATAAAATGATCTAAATAAAATAATACATTTGAGGATGGTTTTAAAAAAGGGTGTCAAATTAATTAATAAGGATTATATGTATATACAATGTAAGATATTCATTAGTTTTTTATTGATTTTAGGATTAATTTAATTCAAACTAAAAAATTCTGTTCTTTATTCTGGTTATCTCAAAAAATCCTCAATTAATAAGAAAGTAGTAATGAATATAAAAGTTTGATACCATAGTAAAACTCATTAAAATTAGTGATTTCATTTTATACAAAAAGTTAAAAGAAATTTTACCTTTCTGTAAGAAGATTGAACTAGTTGATTGTATTATGGATTAAATTAGATTACATTTTAAGAATATTCACTATAAATTATACCTAAAAATAAATTTTAAATATAATCGTAGGATATTATATCTCCGTTTTAGTAAATTATGAAAAAAGTATTTTTATCAGACTATATTTAAACACTATATACTAATTTTTGTTCTATTTATAAATTATATTGGATTTAGCCAGATTAAATATTTACCACATTTATTTGATAATTATTTAATATCAATACTAAAAATCCTTTTTCATAGTCTATATCAAGTTTTAATATAGAATTATTCTAGAAATTAACTATATTTTCTACTAAATTATTGTAATTTTTGATGTACATTTTATTACTTCTATTCAAAATAATTATACCAAATAACTCTAATTAGTATATGCCATTATTATTGCCTGTATTATAGCTAAATTCGCTTTAAATAGAAAATTGAACACCATTAAATTAACAAATCTATATTATATTATATTTAGTTATTTTAATTTAAATTTAATTTTTATAAATTGAATTACTTGTATACTATTATCCGAAACTATTAACAGATTTTGTGATAGATAGTTGAAGAAAAAAGTATTTGCTATTCCACTAAATGTCTTTATAGGAATATTTTATGAATTTATTAAGCTGTTATCATAGATATAATTAAATAAATATAGGCAATACTAAATATTAACCAAAATTTATTTGCTTGATTATATCAAAACTATGTCACCTATTATTGAGTTATTAATCAACTACCCTAAAAAAATAAGAGAATGATCATTATCAGAAGTTAATTTATAAATCACATACTAAGAAGTTTCAGTTATAAAACCTATCAAATAACAATTTACTTGATCTTAAAGCAATTTAAAAGTCTGATTGCTATCAGAAAAGGGAAGAGAAATTGTATCTAATAAATTTCCTTCTCTATATTAGTATATATATATCTTATTGAATTATGATACTATAGTGCTTGGATATTAAATAAGCTTTTTTTAAATAAAATATGTAGCATTATTAATAATAGAAAAATATCAAAAATAGTTTATTTTAAGACTAAATATTTTAATTTGGCATCTTATTGAAATTATGTAATAAATAATTAATAAAAAACAATTTTATTTTACTTTTTGATTGTTTTAAAAATTCAAATTTAAATAAAAATAAATTTTTAATACCTTATTAATTTATTTGTCAATAAAAAATGATTTGGCATATAACTACTAGATAGAAAAATTTTCTTCTAAGCTATCAATCAAAGACCAATAATATAATATTCCAGATGCATTAATCATTATTATTCTTTTTTAAATAATGAAATGGAATAAATTAAATGAAAACTATTAATTAATTATACCTATTTAAGTCAAGATCTATCTCAATTTAACTAAAATAATCATAAGAAGTACTTCCACCACCAAAGTAAGAAGTAGCATAAACGAATTTTTATGTTAATTTATTAATATTAGAAACAGATAAATCAGAAGATAAAATGATATTATCTTGAATTATAAAAGCCTATAACCAATAAAATCCTAAATTTTAATTTTTAAATACAATAGTCTTCTACAGCTAAATAGAATAAGCAAAAATGTAATTATTAGAAATAGAAACAATCTCATTATTTTTACTTATTGAGGCAAACATAAAATCAATTTACTATGCTATAGCAGTTGTGTTTGCATCTCTTTAATCACAATTTATATTCTAAAAATCAGCTCTATAATTTAATTAATTTTATTTGATATCCCAGATTTCAAATAAATTCTAAAAACCTACTATTATTATTTAATCTTCACTTAAACTTGTTAAAACAGTAGATATCTATTTAGTTATACACTATTAGAATTGGATATTTTAGCTTCTAAAAGAGCATATACAGTTATTTCCATTTTATGTTTAAAAAGCTACAGCTACTTAATTTGAAGTTGGATATAATGATTATAAGTTTTAAAATTATTTTAATTCAAACAATAAATAGATACTTTTATTTTCTATATCATAACTAAAAACTTAACCTAAATCATTTGTAAGTAAAAACCTCCTGTTTAATTAATCATTTGTGCAATTAAGGAAAGAAGTATTTTAAGTTAGATTGATACTTTTTATACTTAAACTTATATCTGAATAATCGATCAACGATAACTAATTTATCCATTATAAATTAAAAATAATATTATTATTTATGATAATTTTATATTAAAAATATTATTAAAAATTAATAAAAAAATTAATTATACAATTTTAAACTTTCTGAATCTTTCGAAAATTATTTCAATTAAATAATTTTAAAAAAGTATTTTAAAAATTTCAGAAAAATAATTTGTGATATTTTCTTTATTCTTAGTATTAATTTTGTTTTAATAAATAATCAAAGTAGGGTATGTAAAAATTTTAAAATGCCACTGATAAGTCATTAATAATTTGAAATAAAAAATATATTAATATTTTAATTACTTAAATAATTCATTTTCAAGTAATTTTATGAAAAAAATTTTGCATGAAAATAAATCAAAAATTTATTTTAGTTTTAAAAAATATTTTAATTTTATTTAAACTTGTAAAGGATTTAAAATTAATAGGAAACTTTATATATTTTGCTTAAATAAAAGACACTATCATAATTCGCTTTTGTTGAGTTATTTAAACAACTTATCCTTTAAAAATTTAAATAAAAAATGTTGATTAATAAATTTATTGTCATTTTTTATTTGCATAAGTTTAAAAAGTCTAAAACTTATTTATTTATTTAATTTAAATAATATTATATACTATGCTGTTATCCCAAGTGATTACTAGCCTTTCCTATGAATTTAAACATGACTATTTATTGATTATTATATCAGTTGGAATTTGAATAATCTATACTTAAGCTCCATTTTCTGCGCTCCAAGTTATAATTCTTCCTCTCGAATCTAAAGTATTAATAATTGATACTTTTAAACTAGCTCTATCGTCTTTATCTATTTGATATAATTAAGCAGAGTCATTAGATTCTATTATTTCATACTGTTAATTTTCTTCGAAATTAAATATTCCTACTACAAAAGGATAAAATACAACTGCAGCTATGTCTTCTTAAAATTTCTAAGGATTGGATTTAAGTAAAATCATCTCTTAAACATTATAACTATTTTACTTAGTCACAATTTTCCAATAAGGACAACCAATACCATTTACTTTAATGATAAATTATATCAAAATTATTTTTAATTTCAGTAGAACTATTAAATTCATCTTTATTTCTAAAAACTTATCTTATTGAAGGTAACAAAAACTCTTTTATTAATTGTTTAATTATAAGATAGTGTATTAATTAAGATATATTTTTTAAATTTTTAGCAATTTTAGTTAATTATTATCTTTGAAATTCAGCGATAATTTTTATTTTATATATTGATTATGATTATATTTAGATTAAGATTAATTTTTTATATATTTTGTTTTTATTATTAATTTTAAAGAAAATAAACAGATGAAAATACACTATATATAATAAATACCTTTAAAAATTAGTTTATTCTAATTTTATTAGTTGATACATAAATATCGTTTAAAATTTTCTAATTCTATTTTACAAATTTACTTCGTGAGAAATTTGTTACTTAAATAAAAAGTTATTTTCAAATTTTCTCTTCTAAATTTTAATTATTAAGCATAAATGATTTTATTTCCTCATAATCATTATCTTTTTGGTAATTTTGATTGTCTTTTTGAATTTATTAAAATTCAGATGCAAAAGTTATGTATGATTATTATTGTTATTGTTATTATTGTATCTATTGTTAACTATCCTTCTAATAGCGAAGAATATCTTCTACTTTTTAATTTTAGAACATAAAATGAGATAAAACTTGATTCAACAAGACTTTAATATCAAAACTTGTAGGGTCTTAGTACATTTATTTGTATTTGGCAATAATTGTTGAATATTCTTGCTCAAATATCTCCATATTTTTTGGTTAAGCTAGTAAAAACTTCAAATTGTAAGTGTCTAATCTATAGTTGTACTTATTACAAACCAAAAATATCATATAAAGGTGCTAAATTGGATTAATTACTGTTTAAGAAGACAATTTTTATAAAAAGAAATCAAAATAATGACTGTCATCAGAGTTTGGTTGCAATATTTTTAAAACCATTTAAGAGAATTTTTTATCAGCTTCTATGAATATTTTGTAATTATTATACAAGAACTCCAGGAGTTCTAACTTATGCTCAAACTTGATATTTTTGGATCTATTTATATTTAAATGAAGTATCCATGCAATTGCAGAATATAACTTTGCATATTGACTATTTTGTTTTTCTCCAATTAAGATATTATTTTTGTCAGTTTCTTACTATGATTCACTCAAACCTTAGTCTGTATTTTTGTTATTGATTTTTATGTTTTTAATAAACGTGTGATTTGCTTAAATTTAACTATCTGTGAATTTATCTTGCAGATTTAAAGTGTAAATCATGTAAGAAAAATCTATATATAACTAAAGCCAACTCTTTTATTCTTGTTATCTGGCTGCTATATCTATTTTTTTGACATAAGCATCAATTATTTTTTTTTGCAATAAATTTTACTCCTTTTCAAGTAAAATTTAGTGATAACTAATTTTAGCTCTACTTTCTAATAAAATTTATTCTCCTTCATTGCTCTATAAAATCTAAGAGAATTTTTAAACCAAAGGAGCAAAATTGAATGATGCAATTTTCTCATCCATTTTAGCCTAATAAATTCTAGATAAAAAGAGAATATCATCTAATATAGATACATCAAACTTTGAAGGAATGTATAACTACATTTCAGATATAAATTTCCAAAATTCCTAAGAACCTTTTTCAGCAAAGTAAAATGAAAATAAGCATTTATTAAATGTTTTAAAATCCATGTTGGAAGAGTTATCTATTAAAAGGTTCTCCATTGTTTCCCAAAACTCTTGACTTCCTTGTTTTAAGCTTGCAAAACTCCATAAAATTTAACTAATATCTCTGGCTGGTAATATAGTGCCTCCTTTCTAATTTACATGCTTTTCTGATAAAGATCTTCTCTAAGTCTAATAAATGACTGTTTCTTCAAATACTTACCAAAGCTCTGAATCTCCCTTATTCATTCTGCTAAAACTGTAAATTATGATAATAACATTCTTCCATGTGAATTATTTTAAGTCATCAATGACATGATTTGCAATATTTTTCCATACACTATCATCTCCTATATTTCTCTTGCTCAAAACATAACAACACATAGCTAAATTCCTTTAATCTATATTTTGAATCTAATTAATTAGTATACCTAACATCCTATAAAAAAGAATTATAATTAGTGAATTAAATTTTTAATAATTCTAAAAATCAAATCTATTAATATATTTAAATTATATAAAAATCAAATATTTGGCTATAAAATTTATTATCCGTTTAGATTTATTTATTTGCTTTGACAAATTTTAAGCTCAAAATAATAGATAAATCTAATTTTGTAATGAAAGAAAATTGATTTTATTTGATATATTTGATAAAATTTAAAAGAAAAAAATACATATTCCATAATTGAGGACTTCCTTTATTTAAGATATGAAAGGAGTACATTAGGAGCCCAATATTAGAAGATTGTTATTGCTAAATCATTAATTCATTCTAATTTTTTAAAATGGAAACTTCTAGTTGCTACCAAATCATGTTTATAACTTCTTAATTCTCTTTATGCATGTATCTGCTAGGGCTGGAAAGATAGTTCTTTGCAAATGCATAAGAACACATAATAAGATCAAAAGTGTTCATTCCAGATTGTATTTTTAAAAACTACTTATTCAGCAGTTTCCAATATCTCATGTCATTAATATCCACCTTTGAAAATGAATAAATTAACTATGAGGTATCTTTACAGTTAAGCTTATCTAAGTTATCTAAAACTTTAGTATCTTCAATTGCATTCAAAAACTTCTTTTTATCCTTTTGCTTTGCTAATTATAAGATTACCTTTAATGATTTGGATATCATGGTTTCGTTATTCCTTTTTTTTATTGTTTGAAATAAATCAAGATTTATCTTTTTCAATCACAAAATGTATACTTTTTTATGAATTAAAATTTTAACTAAATATCTGAACGCAAAGCATATCCTAATTTAATTTAATTTAGTTTTATAAAGATTTTTGTTGTTAATTCTTCGAATTGAATTCATTTAATAGATAAATCTTTATTACATTTTTAAAGGTAATTTATTTTTTTAAAATTTATTCAATGCTAGAAAATCAATTATCTTGTAATTTAAAATTTTCAGAGGTTTTAAAAAAAATTCATTTTAATTCAATTATTAGTTTTTTAAATTTTTAAAAATTATTTCAATATCTTCCATTCTCATAATAATATTATTGATCTGTATGAAAAAAATACTGCATACAATTTTAAACATAAATAGTAGAATATTCATCTTATATTAAATTACAAGTTTTTGAAAAAAAAAATAAAAAATAGATAATCAATTTATTTATAGTTTATTAATGTTAACAAAAATATGAAATTTGTAAAAAGAAATTTCTATTTTACAATTTTATTTTTTATAAATTAATTCATTATATAAAATTGCTCTTTTAAATAAGTAAATTGATTTATAATGAAGGTATGTAAAATATTTCTATTAAAATTATTTAATTTTTTTTTTTTCATTTAATGAACTATTATTAATCATTGTTAATAGATAATATTATTAAAATCATGAAGACATTTAAGGTTATATATAAATCATATGTTCGTGTTTCAATAATCCTTTTTTATCACTTTTTAGAGATATCTTTTATTTGAATAAAAAAGCATTTTTTTTATATCAGTTTTTAATGAGAAGTTAGATAAATTTAAAGCAAATACTTCTGAATGAATCATAAAAATTTTCAATTGATAATATTATAATTACTTTCAAAAATATTTATTTTTAATCAAATAGCTCATAGATATATTTAAGATAAACTCAAAATTCAAATAAACATTCTATTAATCTTAAAAAAAAATTTTTATTCTTTAAACTATTTTGATGATTAATTATATTTATTTTATTTTATAACAATTAAAACTAAGTTGGTTAAATAAAGTTATAACTCATAGTTTCATTAGAATCTCTTTGAATTATAACTACAATTAAATTTCAATCATAAGATTAATTTAATTTAAATATACTAAGTATCTTTTTTATTATTAAATTTAATAAAATTTAGATTTATATTAATTAATTGTTTTTTTCTATTAAAATTGGTAATTTAAAAAATGAAATAATGAATGTCATTTAAAAAAATAAAATTTAAACTTATTTTTATCAAAGTATCTAATTCATTAATACAAAAAAAAAAAAATTTTTTAAGATATACAAATATTAATTAATAAGACATTCTGGTAATTTTTACTATTAAAAACAATCTATTTATATTTACTAAGGATTTTGGCTATTTTGTAAATTAGAGAAATTTCTATGATCAGAAAATAAATTTTACTTAGTAAAACTTTTAAAATTTGATTTGTGATTATTTGTATTAAATCTAAAGCTAGTTAATTTAATAGACTTCTTAGATTATTTTTGTTCAGTTATACTCTTTAATTATTAAGTTGAAATTCTCTTATTTTGAAGTAGCTTCTTTACTTTTTTCCAACTATTTTTTTTATTTTTAAATTATAAATTTAAAAAAAAAAAAATTAGAAATTAATAAAAAACCATTTTTCGATATTAAATTTAAATATTTGAATTACTTATTAAAAACTATGTATTTTTAAAACCTACTTATTCAGCAGCTCCCAATATCTCACGTCATTAATATCCACCTGAGAAAAGTAATAAATTAACTATGAGGTATCTTTACAGTTAAGCCTATCTAAGTTATCTTAAACTTTTGTATTTTCAATTGAATTTAAAAAATTCTTTTCATCCTTTTGCTTTTGCTAAGTTTAGGATTATCTTTAATGATTTAGATATCATATATAGTTCTTTATTCCTTTTTGGTAGAAATAAATTAATACTTATCTTTTTCAATCTTAAAATGTATTCTTTTTTATGAATTAAATTTTTAAATAAATATCTGAACATAAAGCATATCCTAATTTAATTTAATTTAATTTAGTTTATAAATATTTTTGCTGTTAATTCTTCTAAGTGAATTTATTTAATAGATAAATCTTTATTACATTTTTAAAGGTAATTTATTTTTTTTAAATTAATTCAATGCTAAATATTATCTTTTCATTTAAAATTTTTAAGTCTTAAAAAAACTCAATTTAATTCATTTATTAGTTATTAAAATTATTTCAATATCTTCCATTCTCATAATAATATTATTGGCCTGTAAGTAAAAATACAGCATAAAATTGTAAAAATAAATAGTTGAATGTTCATCTTAAATTAAATTACAAGTTTTTTTAAAAAAAGTAATACTTCATCAGCTGCTTATTAATTTAAACAAAAAGTATGTAATTAGTAAAAAGAAAATTTTATTTTGCAATTTTTTTTTATAAATTAATTTACGAATTGACATATAATGATAATTTGAAAAACATTTCTAATAAAATCTTAAAATTATTTTTTCATTTAATGGATAACTAATTTTTTTTTGTTAATAGAAAATATTATTAAAATACTAGAGTTATAAATAGATATTATTTTTTTCTCATAAAATTCAAATTTTTATTTTGTGACTTAAAAAATAATTTTAAAAACTAAGAAATTAAGTAAGTGATAATTAGAAGCTCATACAAAAATAAATTTATATATATATTTATTTATTTGACAAAAATTTTATATTGAAATTAATCTAAAAAATTATTAAATTTATATTTTATATGTCTCAATCAACTTCGTCAGAATGAGTATTATTTGATGATTAAGAATTTTAATAATTGTTTTCACTAGGTCCTGCTTAACTACTTTGTTGATACACTTTCATCATAATAGGATTAAATATATTTTCAAGTTCCTTTTATTTATTTTAGTACTCTTCTGGAGAAGCATCTGAGTTTGATTCTATCCATCTTTAAGTTGATTCAACTAGGTTTTAGACTTATCTCTTATCTTCTTAAGATATTTTCTCTCTGATTTTCTCGTCATTTAGTGAGTTTCTTACTGAATAAGTATAATTTTCTAGACTATTTTTAGCATCTATTTTTTTCTTGATTTACTCATCTTATTCTTTATACTACTCAGCTTCTTTTACTAATTTTTCAATTTCATCCTAGCTAAATCTTCCTTTTTAGTTAGTAATAGTAATTTTATTAGATTTGCTTGTAGCTTAGTCTACAGCTGAAACGTTTAAGATACCATTTTCATCAATATCGAATGAAACTTCAATTTTAGGCACTCCTCTAGGAGCAGGAGAAATTCCCTCCAATCCGAACTTGCCAAGAAGGTGGTTATCTTTAGTTAATTATCTTTCACCCTCAAACACTTATATAAGGACACTAGTTTGGTTATCAGCGTATGTTGAGAAAACTTATGATTTTTTTGTTGGGATTGGTGTGTTTCTAGGAATCAAAACTGTCATTACTTAACCAGAAGTCTCTATGCCTAAGGAAAGAGGTGTAACATCTACTAGAATAACGTCTTAAATAGATGATGAGTTAGAACCAGTTAGAATTGCAGCCTATACAGCAGCACCATATGCCACAGCTTCATCTGGATTGATAGAACGATTTGGTTCTTTACCATTAAAGAAATCTTTTATCATTTCTATAACTTTAGGAATACGGCTGGAACCACCTACCAAAACAACTTCGTGGACTTAGCTTTTAGATATTCCTGAATCTTTCAACACCTTTTCAACAGGTGGGATACATTATTAGAATAAGGGTAAGCATAACTCTTCAAATTTTGGACGAGAGATAGAATAATTAAAGTCTTCTGATTCAGCTAAAGCATCTACTTCAATTGTTGCTTGAGCAGAAGAAGACAAAATTCTTTTTGCTCTTTCACATTGAGTTCTGAGTCTTCTCATAGCTCTTGGATTATTCCTAATATCAATAGACTTTCTCTTTTAGAACTCTTATGCACAAAACTCTACTAGCTTGTTATCAAAGTCTTCTCCTCCTAAATGTGTATCACCAGCAGTGGCTTTCACTTCGAAAAAGCCATTATCAATTGTTAAAAGAGATACATCGAAGGTACCTCCACCCAAATCAAAAATTAAAATATTCTTTTCGCCTTATTACTTTTTATCTAATCCGTAAGCAATAGCTGCAGCAGTAGGCTCATTTATGATTCTGAGAACATTTAATCCTGCTATAGCACCAGCATCTTTTGTGGCTTATCTTTATGAATCATTAAAATAAGCAGGAACAGTAATAACTGCATTCTTAACAGGTTAGGAAACGAATGCTTCTGCTGTTTCTTTCATTTTTGTAAGAACCATTGATGATATTTCTTCAGCATGGAATTTTTTTGTTTCTCCTTTAAATTTAACAACAATTAAAGGCTTGTCATCAATACCAGCTTCTACTTTAAATGGCCATAATTTAATGTCTTTTTAAACTATTGGATCACTAAATTTTCTTCCAATCAATCTTTTGGCATCAAATATTGTATTTGTAGGGTTTCTAGCTGTTTAGTTTTTAGCAGCATCTCCTATAAGTCTCTCAGTATCTGTGAAAGCAACATAAGATGGAGTTGTTCTATTTCCTTAGTCATTAGCAATTATTTCTACTCTATCGTTTTAAAAAACACCTACACAAGAATAGGTAGTTCCTAGATCAATACCGACAGCAACTCCTTCAGCTTTTTTGTTTTTAGACATTTTTGTAAATATTTGTTTTATTCTATTTAAGTATTTTGCTTTTTAAGTTTTTTTATTTAATTGATTATAAATATTAAGAGAACTTATAGAGTTGTTTTTAAATAAAATGTTAAATTTCTAATAGAATTTCAATAATTCTAATTAATTTATAATAATTATTTTTAGATTAATCTAGATTTCTAGAATCTTTAATTAAAAAATGTTATAAACAAATAGAATTTTAGATTCTAAAGATTCTACTTTAATTAAGTTTAAAATAGACACAAAATATAAATAATAGATTGAGTTGTTATTATACTATTTTAACTATTTCTTTAACTAAAATAAATTGCATCTTTTGAAATATATTTAAAAAATTATTTTATTTCCCTTACAAGTTTTAAAACTTATTAAATATTTTGTAAGTAAAAAAAAAGGTTGTCGACACTGGGACTTCCCAAGCGGTCCCCCACCTTAGTACTAACCCAGCCTTAAGGCGCTTAACTTCGGAGTTCGAATGGGATCCGGTGTTTTCACCTTAGTATGGCCGACAACAAAATTAAGTAGTTTATATGTCTATTTATATTACAATTAAAAATAATGGAAAATTTAAATTTAATATATTATTGAAATTATATTCATTTATACTATTATAAAATAAAGATTATTAATAAAAAAAGGTTGTCGACACTGGGACTTCCCAAGCGGTCCCCCACCTTAGTACTAACCCAGCCTTAAGGCGCTTAACTTCGGAGTTCGAATGGGATCCGGTGTTTTCACCTTAGTATGGCCGACAACAAAATTAAGTAGTTAAAATGTCTATTTATATTTTAATTCAAATTAAAAGGAGAATTTAATATATATTTGCACTCATTTTTTTTATTCTACTTTAATATAAAGATATATGTAAAAATAAAAAAAAAGGTTGTCGACACTGGGACTTCCCAAGCGGTCCCCCACCTTAGTACTAACCCAGCCTTAAGGCGCTTAACTTCGGAGTTCGAATGGGATCCGGTGTTTTCACCTTAGTATGGCCGACAACAAAATTAAATAGATTATATGTCTATTTATATTTAAATTAAATAAAATGGAAAAATTAGATTTAATTTATTATTGAAATTATATTCATTTATACTATTATAAAATAAAGATTATTAATAAAAAAAGGTTGTCGACACTGGGACTTCCCAAGCGGTCCCCCACCTTAGTACTAACCCAGCCTTAAGGCGCTTAACTTCGGAGTTCGAATGGGATCCGGTGTTTTCACCTTAGTATGGCCGACAACAAAATTAAGTAGATTATATGTCTATTTATATTTCAATTAAAAAAAAATGGAAAATTTAAATTCAATATATTATTGAAATTATATTCATTTATACAATTATAAAATAAAATACATATATAATAATAAAAAAAAGGTTGTCGACACTGGGACTTCCCAAGCGGTCCCCCACCTTAGTACTAACCCAGCCTTAAGGCGCTTAACTTCGGAGTTCGAATGGGATCCGGTGTTTTCACCTTAGTATGGCCGACAACAAAATTAAGTAGTTTATATGTCTATTTATATTTCAATTAAAATTAAAAGGTAATTTAAATTTAATATATTATTGAAATTATATTTGTTTATACTATTATAAAATAAAGATACATATATAATAATAAAAAAAAGGTTGTCGACACTGGGACTTCCCAAGCGGTCCCCCACCTTAGTACTAACCCAGCCTTAAGGCGCTTAACTTCGGAGTTCGAATGGGATCCGGTGTTTTCACCTTAGTATGGCCGACAACAAAATTAATAAAGTTAATCTATATATATTTATATTAGTAAAAAGTATCAATCTTTTGTAAAATATGAAAGAAATTTAAAATTTAAAGCAAGAATAAAATTATTGTTATTATTACTATTATTTTAGACTTAATATTTGATAATAACTGATTATTTTAAAAACAATTCTTTCATAATAGTCCAAGGATTGTAAAATTATTGGAATAATATTGATAGTTGTTTTTTTATTTAAAATATTAAAGAGAATAATAAATATAATTTGCTATATATTTGCTTTTTATTAAATTCTTATTACTAAAAATTTATTATGGAAATAAAATTAGTTTGTAGAAAGTGTTTTCAATATTAAAAATATTTTATTATTATTTGTTACTTTTGGCAATATTTATGAAAACTCTTAAAATGAATTTAACAATAATTAATTTCTTACTAATTTACTTATTTTTATTTTTTGTTAAGTAAAAGGTAAAGATCTTATCACCATTAAATAAATAAAGGATAATAAAGTGCATTCTAATCTTATTATTTACATATTCGCCTAATCATATTTAAATTTAGTTAGATTTATCATATTTTTTTATGTTTGCATTAAAGTTAATATTATTTAATGATAAAATTAATTAAATAAATCAGCATATTAATGATAACATAGCGAGAGATTTATTTAAAATGCATAATAATTTAAATAAATACTAATAAAAAACACTTTAAATATATTCATTACGTATTAAGACTTAATTTTTTAAATATTTAAACATTTTCTGGATTCTTTCTAAAATGTTGCATCATAGATATTAAATTATTCATTGTATTTTTAAAACATGATTTTAAGTTTATGAAAGAAATTATGGCTTAAATTTTTTTAGATTTGCTTTTTTCTTCTACTTTTGCAAGTGAAATCTAGATTTATTACTTAAGGTTTCTTTTTTTAATACCAAAAATAAGTATTTATTTATTTAAACATTTAAATCTTTATATATTTAGCATAAGAATATTAGATATGGAGCAATAACTAATAGAAAACAAAAATAATAAACATAACACAGTCTTTGACGACTTTCTAGAAAATAGGATCAAACATGGATGGGCTCAAATATTAATTGCAAGCAGCTTTTACATCATTTGGCTTTGCGATGGTGGAGAAAGCTTAATAGTAGCATTTGTGCTACCAATCATCAAAAAAGAATGGAGTCTCACTGATTCATAAATGTCGCTTGTTGGATCTTTAATATTTTTAGGATGGGGAATAGGAGGTAAATACTTCAGCTAAAATTAAATTGAGTATTAAATTATACTTTCAAATCATATTAGCAATAGCTTGTGGATAGTTTTCTGACAGATTTGGAAGAAGGAAGACTATGATTTATGGATGCTTTTTTTAATTTGTGTTTGGATTCTTATCAACCTTTTGTACAGGATATATGTAGTTTTTATTGCTTAGAGGGCTTTTTGGATTTGCAAATGGTTTAGTTAACCCCCTTACCTCAACTTATATTTCAGAAATAGTGCCTAAAAGTAATAGAGGTCGCTTTTTTGTTCATGTATTTAATGCCTTTCCTATAGGGGAGATAATAATAGTTATTTTTGCAGCTATTTTCTTTTCATCTCTTGATTCGGGAAATTGGAGAGCTCTACTTTTTATTGGAAGTATTCCTGGCTTGTTGGCCTTTCTTTCATCTATTTACTATCTTATTGAAAGCCCAAGATATTAACTTTGTTGTACAAGCAATACTTCAGAAGAAGTATTTGCAAACCTTAACTACATGGGAAAGCTCAACAATGAATAATTTGAACCAATTACTTAAACTGAAAAGGAATATCTTAAAGAATGGGGCAAATAAAATTATAAAATTTAAGAAAAAAAAATAGGAGATATCAAAGAATTGTTTAGAGGTAAAAACTATTTATTGACTTTAAAATTGATGATGATGTGGTTCAGTTTAAGTTTTGTTTACTATGGCATCGTATTTATTCTCCCTTTAATGATTCTTTAAATGAGAAAAGAAGAAGGCTTTGAAAGTAACGAATCTGAGTCAAAATCGATGGATTTTTTTGGAATTTTTCTAGCATGCTTTGCAGAAATACCCTCAAATATGCTAGCATTCTACACCATTGAGAATCCAAAATTTGGTAGAAAAAATTCTATGATTATTTGTTATGGAATTTGCTCTATTTGCTGTATTCTCTGCTACTTCAATGCATCTCTATCAGGATTTTTCTTTTTCTTAGTAGGATGTGTGAAATTTTTCATAAATTTTAGTTTTTGTACAATATTTCCATTCACAGCTGAGGTTTATATCACAGCTCTTAGAACAACAGGAATAGGCGTTAATAATTCCGTGTGTAGATTTGGTGGAGTAATCATGCCTTGGATCTCTATTTTATTATTGGAAGTAGGAGTTACAGGTCCTTTTATTGCTTTTGCAATTATTAGTGCTTTGAGTGCATTAAGCGCTTACACCATAGAGAAAGACACAACTAATATTAATTTAGACACTTATAATAACGATGAAAATGATTTAGATTAGACCATGATATAAGAAATGAACAAATTATGAAATTTTAAAAATTTAAATATTAAATACTTAACAAATTTATATTTTCTTTAAATGTTTAAAGTAATAACTTATTAAATTTATTCAAACTTCAAAAAGATAGATTAAATTATTAAATATTTTTTATATTATTTATCAAATTTTTTAAGAAGATAAAAATGTGACAAATTACTCCATTTATTTAATTTAACTATATGAAAATAATTATTTTTTATGAATCTTATTCACTTAAATAAAAAAATATTTTGTTAATAATAATAAATTATTTATTTGTTAATTAATATAACAATCCATCCTTTTTAAGCTAATTATCCTAAAGTTATTTTTAAAAAATTTTAAATAGTTTGTGGCATATTTTAATTAATGAAGATTGATATAATTTTATTATTAATTTTAAGTCAATTTTTAAAATTTCAATTTATATAGCTTATTATTTCAGTTATTGTTAATTTATGTTGATCTTGAATCAAAGTAGAATATAAAAACTACATGTTTTCAAAATACTTTAAAATAACGATAAATTTAAAATATTTATTAAAAACATTAAAAGAAATGTATAAATAAGTCAATTAAATAACACATAACATATTAAATAAATCAAAAAAATTTTATGTATAAATTTGTTGAAATAATTTTTAGGTTAAATTCTACATAATTATTTTGAAAATAAATATTTTTTCATTAGTAAATAAATAAAGTTTAATTGCATATGTATTGTAAAAGGCTTCTATTTATATCTTGTGAAGTCTAAATGATGTTAAAATATTATAGCAAAATATCCTAGAACTCTTCATAGTCTATTAGACAATTGACTTAAGATTGAATGTACAAGTAATATGAATATATATAAGTAGTGTCTCTTTCTATAAGCTTTTTAGAATAATAAGCAGTTACGTCCATATTGCCTTTTTTCCAAAAGTAGTAGGCTATTTAATGGTAGCTTTGTTTGCTTTTCTTTTATTTCAAACTTTACTTGATTATTTCTATAAATTTTTCTTCTTCTCCAAGCTTTTCATAAGAAACAGCACAGTTAAAAAGTGATAGGTAACAATCGTGCTAATATTTTAGAGCTTATTTGCAGTATTCTATTGATTTATGGTAATCCTTATTATGAAGCCTTTCAAATTAAGCTATATTTGCTAATATTTTATAAGATTTAGGATTGTTTTAAAGAGCCATTTAAAAATATTCTTATGCTTTTTGCTACTTATTAAGGAGGTAGTTTGTTATAGCCATCTTTCTTAGTAATTCAAAATTATAATTGTTAAAAACATATTACTAAGACTATTAGTCAACATTAAATTAGCTTTTTTATATATCCAATTCCATATCTTCCAGATATTCTTGAGCCTTGCTTTTTAGGCTATTTATTTCGGCAAAACATTAAGCAAGGCTGATCTTAACCCATAAGTTATTTGGTTATTTTTATAAAGCTCTTTCTAATGAATATCTATGTAATTTATTGTTGTTTATCAAAATTGCAAAATAAGATTTCAAATAATCACATCTCCAATAGTTTGGATCTAAGGTATAGCACTCCTCAAACAGAGATAAAATATCTTTGAATACTCCTTTTTTATATTAAATTAGTATTTCTAATAAATCAAGTCTAAGATCAATGTTAAATTGATCTACTTACAATCCTTTTTTGATGGTTGCTAATGAACTCTAAAAATCTTGATTATATTACAATTAAATTTGCCCTAAAATAGTGAGGGAGGTTATATCATTAGGATCCTTTTTAATTTTATCTTAGATTTACTATTCCAATTCAGATATTGAGCATTCTACAAAAATAATTTATTTATTTACAAAAAATGCGTGGGAAACCTATTTACAAAGATTCATTGGAAAATATAAATTAAATTAAATTAATAAGCAAAATATTGGGAATAATCTGATCAATAAAGTATAATATTTATATCAAAACAATTTATTTATTTTTATATATTTAATTAAACATATAATTAGATAATAAACGGTCTTTTTAAAACAAGCTATTAGTATTATATTTATAAATTTACAGAATATAATTTTAAATCCTTAAATTTTCAATGATTTTTTGTAAAAATAATTCATTTAAAATTAAAATTAAATGTTAATTTTATGTATTTATTTATATATTTGATTGATAAATTGATTATTTTATTTAAATAAATCTTTTAAATTGTAAGTTATTTAAAATAAATAAAAAATAATTGGTATTAAAAAACAAATAAAAGAAATATTTAAAATAAAATTATTTTATTAAAAACGACTTTATAGAAAGGTAAAAGAGATTCAATCAATATTTAGCAATTAATTTATGATGAATTCATTTATTATAATTTTTTAAATTAAATTTACTCCAAAATTTAAAACTACTTCTTAAATCTCCATTTATTATTTATTTTTTAAATACTTAGAGTAAATTTATCATTTAAGATTTAACATAATTAAAACTCTTTTTATTTGTAATTTTTATAAAAGCTTTCATCAAAGATAAAAATAATTAGTTTAAAAGAACATGCTTAATTATAGCTTTTCTAATTATTAAAAGAAGATAGTTTAATATAAATTCTCTTCTTTTTTTAAAATACCTGCTAGAATATATTCTAAAATGTTTCTATTGTTTTTCTGATGTATAAAAAAAATATTTTTCTTAATTATTAAAACAATTGTTTTCAAATAAGAGAAAATTTATTTATTTTCTTTATGTAATTTTACTAATTTATGAGTTTTTTGTTTTTTTATTTATTTATTTATATTAATATACAATAATCAAAACATTATTTACTTCTAAGATCATTTTTATAAAAATAAAACAAAATATTTTATAAAATATTAGCTTTAAATTTTTAGTATAAAATATTTTTTCATAATATATTTTTAATTCCAAAAATTAATTAAGAATTAGGGAAAATTTATGGAAATTAATTAAAACTTTAAATTCAAAAGAAGAAAATGCTTTTTTAACTTTATTTTGATTAATAATAAATTGGTGAAATTTTCTATTCTTTTGTTTGAATTCAGTAATTTTTTTTATAAAAATATCAAGATATTTTTAACAATTTTAAATTTTTAATATTATATTTACAAAAAAATTTTGTTAGACAATAATATTATGACGCATTTTCACTTATAAAGAAGAATTTTTGATATTAATTTTCAAAAATTTTTTTTATTAAAATAATCAATAATCAAATAAAAAGATTTATATATATTTTGATTAGTTAGAATAACAAAAGAATTAAGAAGTAATTAATGAGTGGAAAGAGATTAGGGAGATTAATAAAAGAATAAACAATGCTTTTTAACTGTGATATACAAACAGGATTTATGAAGCATTTGTATAAGGGTGAACATATTGTTAACACAGCTCGTTAAATGGTTTAAACAGCTGGAGTAATGAATTTACCTATTTTGGTCACTGAATAGAATGTTAAAGTTTTTGGAAGCACAGTGCCTGAATTATCTAATGATTTTCCAAAGAATCTAATTTAATATTATGAAAAATCCTCCTTTTCAATGATCAATGAGTAAACTGAAGCTTTCTTGAAGTCAAACTCTGAAAGAAAGAGCGTCATCCTTTATGGTGCTGAAGCTCATGTCTGCGTTTAATAAACCTGCTTGGACTTATTAGATAGAGGATATGAGGTAAAAACGATTCAATTATAACATAAAAATACAACAATCTAATTAGAATTAGGCATTTTTTTCATAAAAAATATAATTATTCTAAAAAATAGTATGCACTAAAGTTAATTTTAAAAATTTCTCATTTTTTATACCTGGATAGAATTTAGTTATTGATGAATCTTAAAGCACATCATTCATTTTTTAAAAATCAAATACAAATCTTATTTATATGAATAATAAACATAAAATTTTTTAAAATTGTTAACTTAATAACAGCAACAAATATAATTTTACTTTACCTATTGAATGAAATAAAATAACATTTTAAAATGTTTTAGTTTTAATAAAATTTTTAGAAAATATCTATTTATGTTAAATATTTCATAGTTTATTATTGAATTATTTAATTAATTTATTTATTTATTAATTTTATTTTTTGATACCCTTTTTGATAGGTTCATTTATTGACTGATGGAATTACAAGTATTAACTCCTTAGACAGAACAACTGCTTTTGAAAGAATGAGAGATGCAGGTGCTTTCCTTACAACATTTTAGAGCGTAGTTTTTGAATTGATGAAGAGTCATACTAGCCCTGATTTCAAGAAAATGCTCCCTATTATTAAGCTTAAAACTACTGAGGACAGACTTGGTCACCTTTGAACTATTTTTCAAATTAAATTTATCTTATAAAAATGAATAGCGATTACTTTATATTTTATATTTTTAAATAAAAACTAAAATTTCAATTAAATTAAAAATTTAGTTATTAATTACTAAAAAATAATCTCCTTAATCACTTTCTTTACCTTTAAATTATATATTGAGTATTGTAAAATTTTAAAAATTAAAAAAAAATCTTAGAAAATATCTAATAGAGCTTGAATAGTAATGTTTTTATGAACTTTATCAGAGATAACAGTAATACAAATATTTGTTTATAAATAAATATTTGATTTATAAAAGAAAAATAAATGAAGACATAAAACAATTATTTCAAAAAATTATGGAATTAATTTAATGAATGAAATTAATTTTTATTTGTGTTTGTTTTTTATCTTTAAAAATTTATAAATTATTTCTTAAAATCAAAACAATTAAAGTTTTAAAAAATCAAAGTTAAAATAAAAGTAAAGCATTAAATTTATGAAGTTAGATAGCCTTTAGGAAGTAGCCAATAAAGATTAATTTGACCAAAACATTAATATTTTTTTTAATACAAAGATTTTGTAATCAGGCTCTTTTGAAGAAGATAATTTATAACTTAATCTAAGGTTATTTCACAAAAAAATTTGTTAAGAATGCTATTAATGTGTTTATTATTATTTTTAAATAGTTAAATAAAGGATCTCAATATAAATAGTTTAGTGAGTAAGCTTTTAGAATTCCTCCACCTGTAAAATCTTACAGTTGATTTGAAGTAAAATTTTAATTGAACATAATATATTATAAAAGTATTTTATTTTCTATTATTAAAAGATGTAATTCCAACTGGATTGATGAGTTAAATATTTTTTTAAATATTTTGCCTTAATTTAATAATTTATTATTTTTAAATATTGATCTTAGGTAAATAAAAATTTAATTATAATAATAATTCAGAATTGAAATTAATTTATTTTAGATTAAATATTATAAAAAATTAGAAAAATACACTATTTATTTTTCATATTTTAATACTTAAAAAACAAACTGTTTACCTTATTCAATAAACTATTTAAAAAAGTAATAATAAAATTAGCTAAAAATTATGCAAAGATTTAGGAGTAACTCTACCTGGATGTAAAAATTTAATATGTCTGAATCTCAATTTAAGGTAAAAATAATTAATTATTTTTTAACTGTGATTTTCTTATTTTATAAAAATTATATTAAATAAAGATTTATCAATAAAAACTAAATTTATTTTAAACACCTCTATTTTATTCTTTTTAAAATATTTATTTAAAATAAAAATAAAAATTTTAATACAAAAGCAACAATAGTATTTGCTGTTAAAGTATCTCTTATTTGGCAGTATCTTTTCCCTAAATTAAATACCTTAAAGAGATATACCTTAATTTATCGTAAAATATAATTTTAAATGTATTTAATATGAGGTTACTTATACTAAAAGGTACAATCTGATAGATGATTAAGGTTTGATTCATTTAGGAAATTCTTTAAGAAAAAGTCGAAGTATCATAATATCAAAAATATTTTTGTGGTAGCCAAACTAAAAATAAACTTATTATTTGTATTTAATTAAATATTTATTTAAAAAAAGGGTTAACGAAAATTCAGCAGACGGATATAAATTGTTTTTAAATTAATTGAAGAAATCTTAAAAGCTTGTTAAATATAAAAATTGAAATCTATATATACAAAATTATTTTTAAAATTTATGGACATATCATTCTTTCTATCAGCCTGCCTATCTATCTATTTGTTGTTTTATTTTGATATGAAAGTTATTTTTAAAAATACTTAAATATAACTGCATTCCTTCCTTCCTTCCTTCCTTCCTTTCTTCCTACCTACCTAACTATATATTTGTTGGTTTTAATAGTTTAAATCTTTTATGTTTTATTTCTAAAAAGCTAAATTTAAAATAAATTTTAGATGAAAATTCTTTTTTATTTATAAAATATCGAATAATTTTATCTGTACACTAATATCAACTACAATCAGGTGAACCTGTCAATACATAAAGTATAGAAAGAAAGGAAACGGAAGCAAATAAAAACGTATAGAATGAAAGTAAATGGAAGCAAATAAAGAATAACTATACTCCTTTAAGGTAAAAGGAAAAATTTACTTATAAATAATATATTTATTGTATACATTCCTATTAAAGATATGGATAAAATATAGAATGTAAATTATAAGAAATTATCTTTGATATATATTAGTAATTTTTGCAAGAAAAATTAAAATAAGTATATACATAAACCTAATTAATTATGATAATAAAAATGCAAAGAAAACTCTTAAGAAAATTAATTAAATAAAGATATGATAATTTTGATTGAATTCATTACCAATGAATCTAAATTATATTTAAAATATTTAAATTTTTTTTGATTTAATAAAAATAAATTAATTTTTAAAATGTTTTTTCTATCAAAATTTGCTTTCAGTTTCAAATTCCAAAAGCAATATATTTGATAGTGATTATAGATTTATTTTCTAGTTATTTTTATCTAATAAATTTCAAATATATCGATATTTAATTTTACATTATGTATTAATTATTAAAAAAATAGAAATTAAATTTTTTTTTTATAAGCTCTGTAAAATTTTCAAAATTATCTTAAATGTTTGAAATTTTTTTGACTCTTTCGCTTGCTGCAACTATGTCAGTTACTAATTTAACTTGTTAGATAAATTAAAAATTTTTGTATCGAATATCGCCTTAAAATTTTTATAAGGCAATATCTAAAATAAAGGTAAGTGAATAAATTAAATTCAGTTAAATTAATAATTGTATTATTATCGATTAAGTTTTCGATAAAAAATTTAAAAAGATTTTTATTTAAACAAAAAGAATAGAATTTTTTTTTTTTTTTTTGAAATTAAAAAAATAATACAAATATAAAGTAGTAATATAAATTGCTATTGACAAGATTTATATTCTTTATTATTTTATTATAAAGTTAATCAGTTTATAAAGAATGAGTTGTCATTTTAGAAAATGACTATCACTTCTTCTTCTTGTCAGCCTTCTTGTTAGCTTCTTTACCATCAGCATGTTGCTCTTACTTGGGAGCTTCATCCTTGGTCTTAGCTTGTTCTTGTTTCTTTCCTTGATCTTTCTTTCCACCCATTTTAGTTTTTAGCAGTTGTTTTTTTATTAAGTTTATTTATTTTTTTTTTTATTTTAATTTAATTATTATCTATAAATTTAGTAAATTTGTTGAGTCAATTTAAAGTAAGGAGGCCTATGTTAAATGTAATGATATTTACTCTAAGATAAGATGATTATAAAATTTAGAATAGAGGAAATTTCAAAACACACTAGAGATTTCTTATTATTGACGTATTTAATCAATTATTCATCCAACCAAATAAAATTTTTCTAATTTATAATTTCTTTTTTACTTGATGGATTGATTAATAACCCGTGTTATTATAAAATTATCTGTTTATCTCTGATGTGATTTTTTCTTTCCTTTATCGTACTCAATCCCTTTTTCATTTAAATTATATATAGTAGAGTAAAATTACTTCAAATTTATTTATTCATGTTTACATTTGATGCTCTTTATTTAAAGATAAGCTATTACACAAGCTAATTTCTTGGATGAAATAAGTATATATAAATCCAAATCTTTTCCATTAGAATTTTCAATAGGTCCCCTCAAATATTCAAATGTAGTAAGCTTGTTAAAAATTTAAGAAATGCTTAACTTTAAAAGTATATTTCATGCAATTATGGCGTTTATTCAATTAACACACCAATTCTCTGCAGATCTGCTATCTACTGTAGTTTTGAGCAGAAATTTTACTAACTACTTTAAGATTTTAGGAATATGATGAAAATTCTAGTTATAACATTTAAAAAACATAAAGGTTAAGGAAAATATTCGATGGGAGATAAAGAAAAATTGAGGAAAAACAAGAGAAAAAAATTGAATTATAATAAATTTTTATAAAAATTCCTTCTGTGATCAGAGAGATAGAAAAAAATTATTATAATAAAGTATTAAATTTTGTTCGTATTATCGTCGGGGGAAAAGGTCATTAATTATGAAATAATGAACCAAAATCTGATAAATTTTGAATATTTTTTATTAACAGTGCTTATAATATTAATTTTTTTCTAAATCTTTCAAGAAATTTTATATTTTAGACTGAATATTAGTAAAATCAAGTAGCTATATAAGTTGGTTCTACTTTTTTTCACTATAGAATTACTATTTTGTGTTAGCCATTTTTTTAAGTTATAATATATGCAGTAAAAGTTTTTGATACGAAACAAAATAATGTTTTCAGTTCACAATTACAGTGAAAAAAGGTTGTAGAGGTAAAAAAATTTTGAACTGAATTGGAAATAAATAGATTTAAAATATAAAAATTTAATTTTATGTTGAAAACTTCCTTTTGCTTAAATTCTATTGAAAACCCATCCAAGGCACATAAAAAATAGCTAACAATATTAATCACAAACAACATTGTATATTTACATCTTTTTATAAAAAATATTGTCCCTATAAACTAAATGCAATGTCGCTCAATCTTTGTATAAGCTTTATCTTTTTAAGCAAGCATGTTAAAGTTAGAAAAAACTTTAATTTATTCTTCTTTTTTAAAAAGCAAGGTTAGCAGAAACTATATGTTACTTTAAATGAATGACGTTTAAATATAAGCTTTTTTAAATTCATAGCATGTATTAAAAATAACAGCAATAACCATGGAAGAATTGTTCATTCTAGTGCATTTTATATCACAAAATAAAATGAATTAAATAAGCAGTTATATTAAGGAACAAATATTATTTATTTTTCTTTAATCGCTCAATTTTTTCGAAGAAATAACAACGTATTATTAATAGGCAGATTTTTGAATGTAAAAAAAGCTTTAAAATTCTACCATTAAAAATAATAAATAAATAGTAGTTAATGGTTTAAAAAAAAATAAAATCTATTTCACAACATCCATTTAAAATAATTATTGTGTTTTTTTTCCATAGTATTTTGCAATTAGCATAAAGCCTATTTATCAAAATAAATGAATTGTAGACACATTTCATTTCATTTTATTTAAAAAAAACTTGTATTTTTTTATATTCAAAAAAATAACTAAATAGTAAAGAAAATCAACAAGTTTAGTAAATTATTTTTTGAGCTTCAATAAAAAATGTTGAAAATGAATTACGGATTTTAATAAATAATAGGATTTTTCCATTTTATACTTCATGTTTAATATTCAAAATGACCATTTTCTACTTTTACCTATTCGTTTCTTTGATTAAATATTGAATTTTTTATAAATAATGATTGAATAATATGTTTTTTATCAAACAATGATCATACTCAGGAGGTGAAAAGTAGAAATAGAATGATTTATCAATAAAATTAAAATTTGTTTTTAAAATCAATATAATCTATTACTAAATTAAAATCACATATCTTTTAAATAATGTTTGAATTGTTTTAGTTTCACATTTTTCATAAAGACTTATTTATAATATATTTATTTTTCTAGATTGATAACCATAGAAATTTTTACACGTAAATTTTAAGATTCTGAAATTATAATAGATTCTTATTTATAAAAATTAACTTTTAATCTGATTGTTTCATCTTTTTAAAAGGTTAATAACACAAAATTAAAATATTTTAATGCAGATTCTGCCAAAAAATTTAAAAATATGCTTTTTATAAAGTTTTCAGAGACCTTCTACATAAGAATTTCTACTAATTTTAAGAATAGAAAAGAAAAAAGTTAATTAATTAATAAGATTAGATAGGCATTCACTTATCAAAAAAAATTCTGAGTATTTATATAAGAATTGAATTGAATACATAGATATTAACATTAATACATCATTTTAGACCTAAAAAAAGTAAAAAATTAGTAAAAAAGTGGAGAAATGGTGGAGAATTAGTAGATAATCTGATTATTTATCATATTCAAAAGTTAAGTAGAAATAGCTTAAATTGAAAAATAAAATTAAATATTGACATGTTTTAAAGTACATCATATTTTGTGCTATTTCAAAAAAAATAGCTACTTTGTTAATGACATAATACAATCAGAAATTTAAAATAAAATGAACATTTAATATTTACATCGAAATAATTCTATTTGACTGAAATATTTTTTTCCCATTTTTGTTATCATAATAAAAACTATTTTTTTTTAATTTAAAAAATTAAAATAATAAGTAGCTAAGAAAGATAAGAGTAGATTAAACATAATATTATTAAATATAATTTAATTTATTTTTTCCTCTTTTCTACTTGCATAATGATTTTTATTATAGCCTTGTATTCGAATGGCCAACAACAAAATATGCATTCAAAAATTAATCAAAAATGATAAAAGTTTCAGTTGAAAAGAGTATAATATTCGATTGGAAGGAAAAAATAATAATTGATTATAAATCTTATGATGTCACTTAATTCAAAGATTATTATAATAAAATTTTATTGACTGATATTCTTTGCACTTTCTTTTTATAAAAACTAACTTTAATTTCACTATCAACCAAGCTCTTTTTATTCATTCAAAACGTTAAAAATGTGAAATAAACTTCATTTTCTTTCATTCAAAAATTTTTAATTTTAATGCTAATGCTGTAGCTATCATCTCATCATAAGCATTTAATATACAATTTTATTGTAGCTTTAGTAGTGACCATTCATGGTACATTTTATATTAGTATTCTCCTGATTGATTTACAGCCTTTATTTTACTTCGATATCCCTCTTTTATATTAAAAGAAACGTGAATTCACACATAAATTTTATTTATAATGCGTATTCTTATCAAACAAATAATTCTACTCAAAATTTACAGTAAAATGAAATTATATTGAGCATATACATAGAGTTTAGGAGCAACAAAAATGTTTAGAAAAACAATTATTAAGCAGCCAGATCAAATATTGTAGATATAAACATCTGTTTTGAGATGCATATGATAATCTTAATAAAAGCCACTTTTAAAAGGCCTCTAATATTTTATATTGCTATATTTACTTTCAAAGAAATTTCTGGTTTTTTTCATTTAATTATATGTTGCCATCTTCTATGCCTATTTAGGCCAAAAATTCACTCTGCATTTATTCATTTTAATAAAAATATTTTAATTTTCCAAGTTTATAGCGTTCGTAGTCTTGAAAATTTGTTTCATTTTTAAGTTTACCATTTCAAAATGCTCATAAATATAAAAAAATAGTCTATCTATAACACACATATAAATAAATAAACAATAAAAACATATGTACATATAAATAAAACAAACAAATCTTTAATCTTAATTAATAAAAATGTGAATAATCAGAAGTCTTTCTTAGCCAAGCTTGATATGATCCTTAATTAATCTAGCTAGCGTGTGTGAGTATAATAAATTTCAATTTATTCGATGGAAATATAAATTAATTTGATGTATCTGATCAATCAATTGATAGATAGATTGATTGCTCTCCCTTTATTTGAAAAGTATTGAAAGGTCAGTAGAAACAGACAGACACAGCAATCAATAAACATAAATTAATTGCAAAATAAATTCAAAAGAATAAAACTTAGATAAATAAAAGAAGAAAACACAAATGTTCAACTTTTTAAAACAATTCAACAAGAACCAACTCACTCAATTCACCAGATACGCCATGAGCTCTGGTAAGGGTAAAGGAGCCAAGCCTGCTGGTGAAAAGCCTGCCGCTGAAAAGCCTGCTGCAGCAGCTGATAAAAAGCCTGCTGGTGAAAAGCCCAAGAAGAAGTGATCAATCTGAGTAATAATGAATTCTCTTGTGAGTAAAAGTTATTCAATAAAAGAATCTCTAACTTATTTGAAAGCTTCTTGTTTATAGCATTACTAGCCATTTACTTTTATATTAGTTAATTATTTTTTGTTATGATATGTATATTTCTATTATATGTATTATTCAGGCTTTTTCAATCCAAAAAAAAACCTTTCTAAATTCCTGACTTCTTCATATCATTCTTCTTTTTATTTATTAATATTCTTATTTTATTTAATGATCCATAATTTAATAGACGTTTCTATTCATTCACAACAATTAAATAAACCATTCTTCAATAATTTTCTTTGAAATATTCAAACCAATTCTTTCATAATTCAATTTTATCAAATCGAATGAGTAGAAATTTCTTTCTAATTTCGATATTTCTATTTTAAATAAAATTTATCCCTTGAAGCTTATTTTGAAATAAAATGTTTAAAGGATCTAATTTTTTATACCTTAAAAACATGTGAAATTATTAAATAAAATAAATTTATTTTTAAAAAATTAAAACTTGATAAATTTTAAAATAAATAATTGCTGTATAATAAAAAAGGTATTGATAAAATTTTATCTTATTATTTAAAAGTATTTTATTAGTGATAAAAAGTTTTATAACGAAAGACTTTATTAAATACAAATTTAATTATCTAGATGTAAATAAATTTAATAAAATATTGTAAAAAAAGAATTATTAAATTTTTTCCCTACTTTTTTAAAATAATTAAAATTTTATAATTTAAAATTAATTTTAACTTTATTTTAAAAAATAAATTCATTAATTTGAATTGAATTAAAAATTTTTTTATGTTAGAAAATATGCAAAAATATGATTTTTGTTTTAAAGATAATATTTAGCTACAATGATTTATATAGTATTGAAATATATGTAGTCATATTTTTGAAAAATAAATTTAAGACTAATGTGAAATAATAAATTAATTAATATCCAAACGATCATTTTTAAAAAACAAAAATGAATTCTTAATTTTATACAATTATTTTAAGTAGATTTTAAAGTTTTATAATTTATTTTTTTAATTAAAATTTAAAAAATTTTTAATTATTTATTATTTTTAGACCAATTAAATATGTTTTAAATCCAAAAGGTCAAATTAAGAAAATATTTTCAAAAATGCTACTTTGCTAATTTCAAAAGTGATTTTTTTGAAATTGATGATTATTTTTATGGTTAAAATTAATTAAAAACTTAATTGCAATCTTATTCAGAAATTCCATTTCTATCTACAAAATCTTATTCAAAATCTTCTCTTTTTCTTACATTTCTAGTTGTAGGTTATTATATATCAGAATTGCTCTTACTATATGAAAGTTCTTTATTAGATTCTTGTTTAGAGCTGAAGTTTTAATCTAAATAGCTAAATAATTCATCATCACTATCATAATCACATTTAGGTTCTTCTTGTTTGTTTGAAATTATTTTTTGAACATTACTTTCAAGCTTATTAGAATAAAATTATTCTAAGTCTTCTGAGCTAGAAACATATTCAACATCTCCATTGTCAAAAATAATTTTTTTAATACCTTTTTGGTAGTTTTCAGCCCTTAAAAACTATTTCTATTTCTATGTCAAATTAACTGATGGGTTTTTTTATTTAGACTAAGAATTATAAAGATCAATACTATTAGTTTTAATATCCTGCTTTATACTATTAAAATAATCTTCATCATCATAAAAAAATTCATCAGATTGATATTTATTTATGCTATCAACTTTATTTGTACTGATTTATTCATCAGTTTTTGGTATAATTTTATTATCTTTTGGAGTTTATTTATTAATTTTATTTGCTTGTTATTCCTTTTCAACATTATTTTTTGTTTCGCTTTTTTTCTAAAAGATATTGCTTTACTTTTTACTACTAGAAGAGAATAAAAATTCATTAAAAGTTTCCAAGTCTTAGGGATTTTAATTATTTTTCATAGTATTAAGATTATTATTTTATAATTTTTATATATTATTATTAATACTGTTTGTGCTTAGATTTTATTAAGCTTTTTTTTCAGTAGAGTTTAATTTATCAACCGATAATGTAATTTATTCAATACTTAAATTTTAGTTATCATCATAGATATAATCATCTATTTATTCATGATTTATATTTGAATCTTCAATGCTGCTGATAAGTATATTATATTTATTATCATTACATTGTATCTTACTTTCTTTTTAAGGGATAACATTTTTTTGTATTTTACATTCTTCACTTATTTTAATCTAATATTCATTAATTACAGCTTCGTCATCTTCTATTTAGATTTTTTCATTTATCTCAGCTAAAATAGGAATTTATTTATCATTTTATTCTTTTTGAATACTGGTTTTTTCACTCATTTGATTAAATTTTTCATTATTTTAATTATTATCACTAATAACTGAGTTTTTTTCTATATTATTTTATTTTTCTTTTAAACTTTTTGCTGACTAAGCGGCGATCATTTTAAGAATAAAAAGTTCTTCTTCCTCGTCATCATCACTATTTTCTGATTCAGATTATTAGTTATTATTCACTTAAATATTAAGAGGTTTTAAAACTTATTCAACTTAATTTTAATTGACAGTTGACTCAGCATTGCTAATTTACTCAGAAATCTAAGAACTTTAAATTTTTCTATTTTCTTTTTCTTGTATCAATTATTGTAAAAATTAAGCTTGAGTCATTTATCTTTATTAGGTCATTTATGTCCCATTTGCAGAATCTTCAATATCTTCTTCTATATATTAATTATTATCATCACCCATAATTTAATTTTCATTTTCTGCTTTTTATACTTCGTCTATCTTAAGAGCCTTAGATTCACCGTCAAGAATATTACTTACAATTGCTATTTTTTATTCTATTTTTTTGTAAAGCAAGTCATCAAGTGTTTTTTCTCCAAGAATATAATGACATAGCACACTGTTTTCTTAACCAATTCTGTGGGCTCTGTCTTCTGCTTACTGCATAATTGCAGGTGTCCAATTCATCTAAAATAATTTTATTAAATGAATATTATTTTTTAATAATGAAGTTTTTACTTCTGCAAAAACAATGTTAGAGGAAGCTGTTAATGTCAGACCAGTACTTGCAGCTAACAAAGATAGAATAGCAACTTTTACTTATGGGTCTGTTTAAAATTATTGAACCCTTTCGTGCCTCTCTTTAGGAGCAACTTTACCATCAATCCTAATAAATTTTAGTTATAATTCATTCTAAACAAAATTTTCAAGCTAGTTTAACATTTCATTATGATGAGCAAATACAATAATCTATTTTTTTAAATAAGAACAATAATTTATTTAATAGAAAAACGGAAAAATTCTAAATTATAAGTTAAAGTTTATAGAAAAATTTTGAATACTGATTAGTTTTTATAAAACTTTAACGAAATTTTTTTATAAACTTTTTAATTTTTTAATAAAAAAAATAAGTATTTAAAAGTTGGTGCTGAATAAAAACTGATAAAATAATTAAAGAAGTTATTTACTTTTATATCATTTTCCAATAAATCTTTAATATAGTTTTTTAATTCATGTAACTTGGCTTATCCACTTAATTAGTAGCAAAGTGAAAGAGCAGAAAACATTGATGAAGAGCCATTTTATTCTTCATTGCTTGACTCATTTTATTTTTGAGCTTACTCAAACAGTTATTCTAAAGAGCTTTTGTTTGTTTGATTAAGAATTGCTTATATTTCTGATAAAATTTTTGGGTCAACGTTAACATGAACTTTTTTTCTTCTCTTTGAAGGCAATTACGAGAGCACATCTTATTTCAATCTCCTAATCATAATCGTTTTCTTTAAAATATAGAATAATTCTTTTTCATTAGTGGAACCAGTGTAATCTATTCCTCCTCCAAATCTAGCTGGTTTGGGATCACAATATCTATCTCCAAAACTTTTGAAAGTCTTAAATATATCAGGGCGAATAATAGAAAGAAGAGTAAACATTTCTTTTGGTCTAGCAAATGCAGGAGTACCAGTCAAAAGAATAACATGTTTTATTTTTTAAAGAATTGGTAATAAACTATTCGTCCTTTTAGCTTAAGCGTTCTTTAAGTAATGAGCTTCATCTGCAATTACAATATTAGTTTTAAATCTTTTTATTTTTTCTTCAACTTTTGGAGCCAGATCATATGAGACAATTAAAACCCTAGTCATTATATATATTTCTTCTGCTTATTTTGACAATATCTGAACCTGCATTTCTTTAAGAGGAGGATACGCCCATTTTACAATTTCTTCTTTCCAATTATATTTCTAATTTTAATTTAAAAGTTTTCAGTTTAAAAACCGTAAAAAATTATTTTTAATAAAGTTGCTATTCGCTTAGGTGTATTGCTAAAGAAATAAAAATTTAACTCTATATATTTATGCATTTCTTAATCATTTCTCGATTGTATTTTATTCTTTTAACAGTTATAAAATCAAAGCTTATTTATTTATTGTTATTTCTAAGATTTTTAGTTAAAATTTAAAGATAACTATTGAATTTTTAAAAATAAATATTCAAAGTAAACTTGTTATTTAATTAATTCCATTTATCGTTTTAAGTTATTTAACTTGTATAAATTTTTTAATTAGATCCTTAAAAACTAAAACTAATCAAATTTCAACATAATAAAGTAAATTATTTGATTTGTTTTACTAAATATTTGTATTTAAAAAGAAATTAGAATTTTTAAAAACTCAATAAAAGTGTTTTTTTATTTTTGAAATTATCAAATTTAAATCTTCTTTATAAAATGAAAGGAAATTATTTTTATATTAAATAACTAAAACTATTTTACTTGTTTCAAATCAATTTAATAATAAATTTTTGAAGTAAAATAAAATATTATTTACTAAAGAAGATGGACATATAATAAGTAGCGGCCATGCAGATTTATAACAGCTTGCTAAACAGATAGCCTGAATTGTTTTACCAACACCCTATTTTTATAGTATTAAATATTTTTTTATTTTAATTAAAATTTTATTCACCATTTCATCAGCTATGAGAACTCTACCGTTATTTTTTAACCCAAATTACACACCTTGCTTTTGAAAATTATACAGATTGGTAACTGTTTTTTGTGGTAGCTCATTTTCTATTTTTTTCTTAAATATATTTTTACAATAGCTAATTGCCTAATTAAAATTTTTTTGCTTAATTATACATTTATGTCTTCTGGATTATATAGTATTTCATATTATTTTTTATCTGTTTGGAATGTCAATTTTTCATTTATTGACTTTATTGCACTATTTACAAAATCTGGTATTCCTTAAATTTCAACACCTGTCTTTTCTATCTTTTATATTAGTTAAATTGCATATTAAAATTGTTTGTATTTGTATTTTGTCATTTTATTTTTCATAATTTTTAGAAGTAAATATCAAGAATTACATTTTATTTTATAAGATTATATTATGAATATTAACATCTCCATCCCTTTCTGTCATTATCCCAAGAACCTCCTAATTTCTGCATTTAAAATGAAAATTTGATGTTAGGATTGCTGAAAATAATTATTGAATACTTTTATGATATCTTTTCTCTATTCTGTAAAGCTTGTATACGAACCAGAGATAAGTATTGTATTATCTTAAACAAGCTGAATAGTTATTTGTTTTTTCTAGTTGTTTTAAATAAAAATAAGAATATTTTTCATACTATAATATTTGTTTTACATCAACATTATTATTGTTATTATTATAGTTATAATTGCTACTATTTTATCGATTGAAATTCCCATAGCCACCTTTCTAGAATTCTTTTTATAATTTTATTTAAATGTATTTTTATTAGGTAGATTGCTTTAATAAAATGATTTTAATTGCTAGTTAATTAATTACATTAAAAATACATTTTAAAAATGTTAATAATTTGCTTCTTTTCTTGCTAAAACTATTTATTAAATTGCACCAAGTAGACTTTTTAATTATTTTTGTATATAATTTCTAAATAAAGTGAAATTTTAATTAAATCTATTGAAATTAATTAAGTTAGTCTGTTTCTGATATAATCACAATTATAAATGTTTAGCTGGAAATATTTGTTTAATTTTACTTTCGGCGCTAAAAGCCTATATATAATACTAAACAAAATCAATATTTTTATCACCCAGCATATAAAAAGATATTTGGCTAAAAATCATTATTCTAACAGCTTTTTAAATTAATTTTTTACTTAAAATTAAATTTTAATAAAATTATTTCATTTCATTCAAAATTTGTAAAAAATAAACTTATTGATTTTGTTTAAATATATTTGTATTTCACTTAAATAATTTATTTGTTTATTTATTTTATTTTATTCTTAAAGTACTTAAAAAATATTCAAAATTAATCTTTTAAAACCACAAAATTAATTTAAATTCTGAATATTTCTTAAGTATTTATTCCAATTCATTTTTAATTAAATTCATTTTATTCATAATAAATATTTTAATTATAAAAAATCAAAAAAGTTTAACCACATTTATAAAGCGCATTTTATCAGTGAAATTAACCTATTATTAATAAATATTTTATTCTTTAATTTAGTTAGAAAATTAGATTAAAATAAGGTTTAGCTAAAGAAGTAGATTATTTAATAATTTAATTAAAAATATAATCAACATAAAGAATTTTACTAAATATTGTAAGTAATTATTGTAAATTAAAATTCTTTTAATTATTGATTTATTTTCTTTAAATTTTAATTTTTTTATTTTCCATAAAATTTCTACAAAATTATTTTCTTATGGGTCATTGAAAAAAAATGTAAATTTTTAAATATTAAATAACTTGTCAATTAAGGCTAATTTTTTTGTTAATAAATAAATAAAGCTAGATAAAACCAGCAGCTAAAGTTAGAATACCAATACACAATTATTGAAATAAAGCTAGGGTCATTTTTATTCCATAGAGTGTAAAAGGTTAGCTTCGTTAGTCTTATTCAAGTTCATTTTCACAATCAGATATACTACTTAGAAGTTTGTTTAAATAATCGTTTATGTTTTCATCATTAACTTCTTAGTTTTTTAAATTCAAAGCATTTTTTATTTTTAACAAACTTTTTTTAAGCACAAAATTTGTTGGTGTAAAATTTTAATCCTAAAAATAAACATCTTTCATTCTCATTATATCTAAAAACAATACTTTATGGTCTCCAAGAGTTAGTTTGAATTAATCAAAGCACTCATTAAGCATACTACCTAAATATAATATACTCATTAAGATAGAAAAAGTAACAATTAGCTCAAATAAGCAGATTACAGGATAGATATCATCAAGCTTATAAACTTTTAAAATCCAAAGCATCAAAATAATTGATGTTATAAAAATTTATAGAAAATAAATTGTTAAATAAGCTTAAATTCTTAAAATATATTATTTCCCATAATCTAAGCATATTCTTCTTAAAATCGACCAACCTGTTAAATTACATGATAATTCTTGATATTAATATATTTTCTAAATTATTTAAGAATCATTTAATTTCAAAATTAAAAAGCTAAAAAAAATTCTATTAAAGTAAAACTATCAATTTTAATTTTGTTTTAAAATACCTTTCAAAGAATATGGGTTTATGATATCTATTGTAGGTAGGATTTTTTTTTCATTTAAATGGAGCTTTTTTACTTAGAGCATCAATTTACATTAAGTTAGAGTGTAATCTTTAAGTCTCATATCTCGAATATAGAAAAAGAGAAAAACAAATGAAAAGAAATATCCAAAAAAGTTATTAATTGACATAGAAGTTATCTGAACAATTTCCATAGGTTTAAATTCAAAATTTTATCTTTATATATATCTATATACTATTGGAAGCAATGTTCTCATTATAGATAGCACCATAGAGTATAAAATTTATATTTTTCTTCCATTTTCTTTTGTAAAACTACGAATAATATAGCCATAAATAGAATACCCAAAAAAATACTAAGTTTATTGAAGAGGAAAAATACACAAAGGTTAATATTTAGAAGAAGTATAAAAGTGGTGCTTTGCAATATTATCATTTAACTATGCTATCTCCTCCTAAGATTGAGTTGAAGGTTCAACAAAGAAGCTATATTTATTTTAAAAAGAATATTTTAGATAAAAATGAAATACTTTAATTTCTCACAAATCAATACAGACCAGCTCATAAAGTAATTTCAATCGAATTGTTTAAGTCTAAATAAAAATAACTTTTTCAAAAATTCATAACTTGGTCTTAATATATGAGAAATTATAGTATTATTATTTTTACGATATGTAAAACATAGAGGGATCTAATTCACCTCTTTAAAGAGCATTATAAGTTTCTTTATATAAAGTTCTGTCATCTTAGTCTACCCAGCTAGCAAGATAAAAATCTGCAACCAAAAATTCCTATGTCAAGATATAATCTCGATAAAGCTTAATCTTGTCTGGATTGAAAGTAGCATATCTATTTTGTTTATAATATAAGTATCTTGCTTGATTAATTAATTCTTAAAAATGAATTTTACTTGCAAGCAATAACGTAGCATCTTAATACCATAATAATGATAGTAAAAATTATTTCTACTAAATATATATTCTAAGAAGATTAAAGAAAATAAAGAAATATTGTCATGATGTTGAATTTGTAGAAGAGAAATTGAGTATAAAAAGAGGATGTGTTACCCCAAAACATCAAATTTCTAAATAGAATTCTTCTCTTCCAGTATATCAAATTAATAATTGGTCCTACCATAAAATAAAATAGTAAATGATACCAAAATATCTCAAAAAACACTTAATTATCCCAATCAACATGATGATCTCTGAGTCTATAAAAAGTTTCAGGATTGATAAATTTATTTCTTTTTTCTACTTTTTTTTGAGAATCTTCTCCAAAGTACTCATCTTCGAATATATTAGCTGTAGTTGATTGTTTCAATAAAGTTGCCTTTTTATCCTCTAAATCATTTTGGTTCTTTTATTGAGGATCTAATTGTTATTATTCATTTTCTAGCTTTTTAATTTCTTAATTAGATTATTCAAATGTGGCATCATTTTATTTAAAATTTGGCTCAAGGATTAGTCCTTTAAGTTGCTCATTTAATTATTTCCTATCTTATTTTGATATTTATTTCATTTATTCTACATCTTTTATATTCTCTTCAAAGTATAAATTTGATCCTATGTCATCGGAAATTAAAACCATTTCCTTTTCAGCATTTGAATCCTCATCTCCTTAAAGATAATTAATCTATTTTTTTAGATTTTATTTCATAAACCTATTTTCTTTAAGTTTATAAAAATGGTTTTCGCGAATTGTTTTTTGATATAGATTAGTTACCAAAATTACTTTTAGGGCTTTCTAAAATAAAAATTGATTTCTAATGTGTTTAAACACTATCTTATTCCATTAAATTGGTTCAAAATTTGTATATAAAGTAAATTATTTAATTTTTTTTTTTTCAATTAACTGATAGTATTGAATAATTTAATTAAAAGAAAATTAATAAATGTATTTTTCTAGTAATTGATACATAAGATTTTTATTAAATTCACTCATATTTTTATAAGCAAAAACAGTAACGTTAAAAATTACTCATCAAAATTAATTTTTAGATATTTAAAATAATATTAGAGATTCAAGCATAGATTAATAAATAAGTAATATAATGAATATATTAGGGTAAAAAAGGTGTTTTAACAAAGGAATTTAGGTGCGTAATGAGATTATATATTTTACTTTTATCAATGCAATTTTTTTTTTCATTATTGGTGAAAAAGATAAATTTTCAAAGAAGTAAAATAGAAATTCAGAAATTTATTCTACTTAACAATCAATTTATACTTAAACCTAAAGTTAATTTTATATAAAAAAAATTATAAATTAATTTTATACATCATTAAATAAATTATTATTAATTATAATTTTTGATAAAATATTATTCATTTTTCAAATATTCTTTTAATAAAAATTTTAAATTGTTAAACAAATTAAAAGAACTTTTTTGTATTACATTTATTATAAATGTACCATTATGTAAATTTTTAATTTATCAGCTAAATAAATTTGACCATAAAAAAAGATAAAGTTTTGAAAATTAAAGAAATAACAATAATAATTGTTAATTTATTTTGTAAAAAAATAATTTAAAATATTATGTGAACTTTGAAATAATATGATAAATTATGTTTTATATAAAGTTTTTATTTAGTTTTCTTTAAATCTAATTAAATAATTTTTGATAAATAAAATATTTAAAGTAGTAGGCTTGAGATTAAATCTGATAAACTAGACCTCCTTCTAAACAGTATTAGAATATTTTTTTATTTTATTTCTTTATTCAAATAAGCATTCATCTTTTTGAGAGTATTTTTAAATATAATAAATTTAAAAATAGCTAATTAGGTAAAAAAGGAAAATAAAATAAATTATAAAAAAAGTTAATAAAATTATTAATTATTTTGATAAAAATTATCAAAAATATAATTTTGAAATTTAAATTTGAGAAAAGCTAGTTGTTTTAAATAACAAATATTATGAAAGAACATAGTATTATCTTTTTATAAACAATATTTTGTTATATTTAAATTTAAGGAAAATTACTTTAACTAACAAACAACAATAAATAAAATTAAAACATTTTACAAAACATGCAAATAATTTTTTTTTTTGACATTTGTTTAAACTGATTTTAAAATTATTTTTTTCAAGTATATTAATTAAATTTCAAAAAAGGCTTATGAAAAATTTAAATTAAAAAATAGAAAGATACTTCTATTGAATTCTTATAAATTAAAAAATAGTTTATTGAAAATTAATCACATTAATTCATTAAATAACTGAAAAGCATACAGCAAAGTATTGTTCTTTCGTTATTTTGGGAATAATTATTGTAATAGGTAATTTTTTACAAGCTTTTAAATTTATAATATTTTTTATTTCATAAAATCTAAAATTTATAATTCTTAAAAAGATAAAAATAATAAATACATTTTAGTTTTTAAATGATAATTAAAAACAATCTTATAATAAAATTTAAAATATCTTAAGCAATATTTAAATGAGCAAGTTACTGAAATGAAATAAAAGAAGAAGTAGAAGAAGCAAACAAGCAAAGCATACATGAAAAATTAGAATAGAGTAGAGAAAACCAAGAAGAAAAACAATAATTAGGAAGTTGAATAGATGGGGTATATGAAAATGTAATAATAATTAATTAACTAATAATTATTATTATTAGATGATATGATAATTAGAAGGAGGAAAAGTTAGATAGTTATACAAATTTATTATTTTTTAATTATATCTTTTAGGTGGAAACAAATAATTAAAATAACGCATATAAATAGAAAAATAATTCAATAGGATAGTTAGAAGCTAGCGTGGAAAATTTAATATAATTTGAAGATTTGAAAGTAAACTGGTCCTTTTTTATTTAAAAGCAATATTTTATCAGAATTAAATCAATTAATTTGCAAAAAGAAAGCGTCGCTTAACTCTGTTATTCTTATTAGCTTAATAGAAAATAGCTAACAAGAGAAATGTTTAAAAAAGCTGAATGCTTTTTCTTTAATTTGTAAACTGGAATAGTGTTTTAGTTTACGTCAAAGTAATATTTTTTCTATTCAGAGATCACATTTATTGACTGATTCCTCCTTTTTGTTATAAAACTTAAATTTTTTCTAATAATTTAAAATTTGAAAAAGGTTGAAATGACATTTTTATATTATTAGGTTTCTTAAAGAAAATTTTAAATAAACCTGGAAATGAAAATGAATTTTATTTTTAAATGCATTTTAAGTAAAAATATATTTCTGTCTATTTAACATGTCTTTTTGAAGAATGATTTAAATTTAGGAAAAAAATATTTGTTTTATATAGAGATATTTTAATAAAAATAAATGGACACATTTTTGTCATATAAAATGAAGTGGAAAAAAAATTTTTATTCTAAATGTACCAAAGTCAAAGTATAGCATAAATGAAATCATATAATTAGTATTTTAGTGAATGACCAAAGTTAAATGGAAAAACAAAAGAGAGATTTTAGAAAAGATATTTATTTAAATTAAGTGTAATAAACAAAGAGAATATGCCAAAATATTATTATTTAGGCAATTTATTATAAATCCTATAGAATGATAAAGTTATGTATCTTAAAATATGTTTGTTTATTACTTTATATATTTTACTTAACTTACACTGACTGACTCATAGCTCTTTCTTATGTATTTTATAATATGAAAAGTTGTATATAATTTATTTATGTAATATAGATAGATGATGGATGGTTTTTTTATCCAAAAATAAATACCACAAACTACTTTATTACACTGCTTATCATAAGATGTAATGAGGGTAAAAAGTTTATTCTGATATTATCATTATTATTATAAAGTGTAATCGACTTGATAGTCATGATATTTAAACTAAAACAAAATCAAAAAGAATTTAAACAATTTTAAATAATTCATATTCAAATATGCATTAATGTTTTAATGAATTTTGAAAAGTCAAGCGTTATTTCTATTCATGCTTTATATGTAAAGTAAAATTAGTTGAAATCTATTTTATGAGGCATTTTTTCTTCTATTACAAAGTAGTTTTTTTTTGAATTAGAATATGAAAGTCACACAAATTCAAGCAAAAAACACATCGCATATGGTTTTTTGACAAACTAAGCTAAGAGTCACTCTGAATTTGTGTTTTGTGTGAAAAAACTTTATTTTGTATATAATACTTAATTCAGGCTATGGAGTATCTTAGATTTCAAAAGAATTATATTAATATGAGAGCAGATTTTGTCTTTTTTACTAGATATTTTTTTTGATAAATTTATTAAAGCGTTTGTTTTTTATTTAAAATTGTGCATTCAAAGTAAGATTTTAATAACTTTTTTTATGTTAATGAAAACACTTTTTTATTTATTTATTTATTTTTCGTATTTAATTAAGATATAATAAACGCCACCTTTGAATTTCAAGCCAAAATCTTAATTACAATATTTTTGTTATAAATTAAACAAAAGTTAAAAGCCTATTTCAATCTCTAGCTTATTGAGCAGTAATAGAATAAATATTTTAAATTTTTAGAAAATATTTAAAAGCCAAATATTTGTAATGAGTGTATTAACCCAACCTATTTCAATTCCCAAGTTAAAGTGCAATTAGTCTCATTATCTGACTCAATTTAAATTTAAAATTAACTTTCATAATTCAAATTATTTAGTTTGTATTTCATTCGAGCTTTAACGCTGGGCCATATTTAAATTTTGAAATAACTGATAAAAATGTTAGATTTTTATTTTTGAAATTTATCACTACTAGCTGTTTATGAATTAAACACTATTATCTACTTTAAGCATTATAAATGAGGCTAATTTATTGAAAATAAAACATAAAAATATCTTTTAATGGGTAATGATTGATTACAATTAACGAGTGTCCTAAGCAAATAAAAGCTTGAATGAAAATGTTAAGTTAGTTACTATAAATCATTCTAAATAAAAAAGCTGTTTTTTCAACGTAATATATTAACAGTTTGGTTAGAAATTAAGTTATTTATAAATAGGTTTTGTTTTTAATATAAGGAAAAATATAATTTTTCAAATCATTCAAATATGTTTCAAAATCCAAATTTTTTGTTCATAATTAATAATTTTATTTAAAATTTATCTTTTTATTTCATTACTGTAATTAGTTTATCATGAAAATGTTTTTTTATTACTTAAAAAAATAAATTTTCAAAGAGTCAACTTTTCATTCAGTAAAAAAATATAAAGAAATCAAATCAAATTTTTTAATAATTTTGTTTATAATTTTATGTAAAGTCCTATTGAAATTCAAAAAAAATGATATTCTCCTCAAATAACTTGATTTCATATGAAAAATATTGTGAAAAAAATAAAATTGAACTTAATTGAAAATAATTTAAGTAAGTACAAAACACTAAAGGTTATACATATACGATTGCAAATATTGTATATTTATGGAGGTATTATAATATAGAATAGATTAGTTAATGTGATAGATTTTTTATTAAGAGTTTGATTAATTATTTATAATAGAAGAAATAGGATTTTTTTATGATTAGCTCTATATTAATTTATATGATGAGATTCTTAATTTAATGAATTAATATAGATCTATAGAATCTATAATGGTTTAATTAATTAATTGTTAGTTAGTCTTAGAAGTATTTAAATTTTTGAGAAGTTTGAATATTTTAAATATTAAATAAATTAGATGGTTAGAATGCTTTATATAGATTTTTAGAAATTGTTAATTAATTTAGTAACTCTATTTACAATAAGGTTATATTTACTTAAGTATTTTGTTTATTTTTATTTATTTGATTCAAAATATTTTGTTTAATTCAAAATTTTATTTTTGCTTTTTTTTTTGGTTTTGAAGCCTCAAAGATTTGAGCATGATATTTATTCAGTATAAATATGGTTATTGAAGTCTTCATAATTTATTTAGTTATTTTAACTATCCTACAATTATTCTTATTTATTTTAGTTGTCCTCTTCCATTTTATTCATCAAGCAATGACCATTATTAATGTTAGTCTCTGTTTTTCTCTTGCTGTAGTACTTAAAATTTGAAAGCTTTACTTTGTTTTCAGTACAACATAACTTGAAGAAGTCAATAGCAATAAAATGAGCTTACTTGTCCTAGACACGACTTGATTTCAACCAAGATTCTGCATAGAAAGTCAAGAAAAACTCAAAGGCACCTCCATATAATGGATGATCGATTATTTTTGTCACTGAGTGATTATTGTGGTTAAGTGAGTCAAAGAAAATTTTCATTTGTTTATATGAATTTTTTGAGTCTTGGGTGATACCAAATGAAGAGAGAATATCTGAATTGTCTTTTTCAAGCATGAACTTCTTAAAAGCTTTAATTATGTTTTTGTTGATATTTATTTTACTTATTTTCTAGTATGTTTAAATGATGCGACGATTTTCGCTTTCTGCATCAGACAAAGCATTTCCAATTTGGTTTTTTTAGCTATTGCTAATATTGTTGAATGAATAAATGCGAGGTTAGGCAGCAATAGGAGTTTGAGATTAGAAACTTTAAGGTGAGCAAAGAGATGTTGGTGTTTGGCTAGAAAAGTTCATCTATTCGAGTTGAGGGATTTGTTATAACTAATTATCACAAAAACTCTCCTCGATGTAATTTAAGCTATTAATTTTAACAGAGTTTTCTTTTTTATTTTTGTTTGGGTAAAATGCATTTTGAGATTGACCAGAAGAGGTACAAACTTGCTACATAGAAATGCAAGTTTATGAATAAACTTCGTAAGAGTTCTGTATTGAGGTACAGCTTTTAATTTAGGTTTTAGTTTCATCATAGCAACTTGAATCTTCACAAGTGCTAATCAAATCTTGCTTGTTTGAGTAGTTAATTTATTTTTATGAATGCGAGTTTATCATATTTGGTACTATTTATTGATTTTCAAATTAAATTTAATATTACTACTGAGGCTATTAGTAAATTATCTCATTTTGATTGTTATAATAGATTTCTTCTTATAAGTTGTTTTAATTTAAAAATAATTAATAGTTATTCTCTTCTACTTAATTCTCTTAAATACCAGTTTCTGCGTCGAAGTACTTAACTTCGTTTTCAAGGATGGGTTATTATTGTTATTAAGATTATTACTAGTCTCCAGAGTATAATCTGTATGTGAGTTAACAATTTTAAATATTAGATTGCATTTTAGGTTTATTCTATTAAATGTATTTGTTAATCAAGAAATTGAAGGTTAGTATTTGGTTACTAAAATTTGTTTTATGATAAAGTTAGTATGGGGTTAATATTCAAATAGGTTATGTTAGTACAAGTGTCAAATTTTCTGAAGGAAACTAGCCAATTAAGTATGTTTGTAGTAGTTAGTTAGATAGCAAATTGTTGGCCTCCTTAAATAAAAGCAAAGAGTTTATATGATAATATGTGTTTTATTTAATTTTTTTGATTTTTTTGATTTTTTTTGCCTTATTAAATTTTATGTTTTTAGGAAGGAATTAACAGATTTAAACTAAATAACTGATATTACATTACGAGTTTAGAATTTTATCAGATTTAAAATATTAAAAAAAATCTAAATTCATTTAAATATAATTGTATAGAAAACATAAAAAATCTTAATTAAAGAAATTTTCCAAATTAAAACTCGCTTATAATTGCTTATGATTGATTGATTTATGTAATTCAGATTAATTTTCCCCTATTTTAAAATTTAAGTTCAAAGGGTAAGTTAATTTTTGTTAAAAAATTTGAGTTATAAAATTAATAAATATAGTGAGTTCATTCATAAATGCAAAAAGCAGACTGGATAAATATTGTTCAGTAAATAAAAAATGACATTTTATATATTTTTGTAAGAAAATTCTTATTAAAGGATTATTTAACTATTATCGATTATAATGAAAAGATCTCTATTATAAAACAAGCAATAGTGCCACTTAATTTTATTATTATCAGATTTTTCCATTTCTTTCTTTGATTAATCCTTAGTATTTTTTGAATCCCTGAATCAATTCTCCTTAAAATTTATAATTTGTAACCTTAAATCTTTCCTTCCTCATATATATTTTACATTAGCTATAATACATCCATCACAGTATCAGCAAATCTCAAATATTTTGTGAATAAAATTTAATATTATTTTAACAATTATTAATTTTTTATCAGCTGATTCATTTAAAATATCTTTGTATCCTCAACTTTTAATGTGAATATTTAGTTAAAAAATTTTTTTATTCCTCTCTATCAGATTGATAAAAGAATTTATATATCAAAGATATTCAAGATTTTTTTTTGCATCAAATACTTATTATGTTACTTTTGTTCTTTTAGATATTTAATTTAACCAAAAAATGATTTCTAAGAATCATAATTTTAGCATATAAAATCTTCTACAAATAAATATCTACAAAAAGCATATTAATATATATTATTATTAATGGAAGTAATATATAAAAATATAAATCATTCCTTGTTCTTACATTATAAAAAACACTATTAAATAATAATAATTTATTTATAGTAATTCATTGGGTAGGCAGTAGTGGCATCACTTTGCAATTTTTATATATAATAAGTTATCATATTTCAACTTATTAACTAATAATGATATCTTTCAAAAAAAAAAGAAATATAAAGAAGTAACTTACCTACCCGCTCAACAAAACAGAAAAAAGAAATAAACGAAATTTGTGTATTTTTATTAAAACTTCAATTAATTTCATTACATTAAAAATGTACTTCCTTAGTTTGTTAGTTAGAGAAGTAAATCAAAAAAAATAAAAAATTATACCCTATAGCCATTTGCTAATATTTATTTCTTATTTATTAGCTAAATATTTATTAATTTAAGAAGTAATTCAATAGAAATTTGAAAGGCGGGTAAATAAATTTAATTTACAATTGAGTCAAATCAATTTTATCTTTTGAATGTAAATTGCTTGTTACATATTTAAATTTTGCGTTTTTTGAGAGTAGCTAATCTACAATTAGCTTGAATATAAGTTTCTAACTAATAAAATTATTGAATAAATAATCCATTTTTATAATTCTTCAGAAATATTATTCTATTTCTTTATCCCTCCTTTCATATTTTTTAGCTTTCCTTTATATTTCATTTACTCTCTCCTTTCATCTTTTTACAATTATTGTTAAATAAAAAAAAACACAAAAAATTATGTTTAGGATAGTGTGTAATAATAGACTATAATATATTACTTTAACATAAAATAGTATGCACAATTGTCTTAACTTTAATTTAACAAAATATCTTGAACTAATTTTTTAATTTTCAATAAAAGAAATAGGTATTCATCTATTAATCCCAAAACATCCTATTTTTTTACTCAAAAAATAAAATTAACTTCTATATTCATAAAATTTCAACATGGTATATCACAGTTTCTTTACACAAATATTTTTAGATTTTTATCTCTGAATTAAGTAAGCATTAAATAACTTTTTTCTAACTAATTTATTTTTAATCCTATATTATTTTATATAAAATTCTTATTATAATTATAAATCAATCAAACCAACTAATTCCATCAAAAAAAAGCTAAAATAAATTAAAAATTATGATGAAACGGTTTAAAAATAATATTCTTTACTTTTTTATAAATTGGTAGAATTTGGATAAAATATAATTAATCTATATCAACATCAAACGTATCTTACATATTATTATTTAATCATTTAAGTTTATCTTCTTAGTAATCTCAGTCAATCAAAACGATATTTATTTTTTCTATTTAAATAATTATTTAATATATTCTTACCACAAATGATATCATTTATATATGATAAAACTGCTATCATATTTAGGTGAAGTAACTTAAATAGTTTTAGAGTAAAATATGTTTGATGTTTATTTTACTTCAATTTGTAATATAATTAGTAAGTCTAAAAATAAATATTTACATATAAATTTTATAAAATTTTCATAAAATATAAGGAAGCTCATTCATTAGTTTGTTTATTTTTATTGGTTAAGTTAATTAATTTACAAAGAAATATTAATTTTTTATTACATTTTGTATGAAAAATTAGATAGTTTGTGTTAATTCTAAATTAATTTGTAATCAATTTTTATTAAACCATAATTAACAAATAAATTTGATCTTATAATGAGTTAATTAATATCGTAATAGCTTCATGCTAAAGATAAAGTTATCAAAATTAGATACAAGGAAATTAAAATTAGGGTATTAATGAATAATTTTATTAAGTCATACTGAGTAGCTTTTAATATAATCCATTTTTAGGATTTAAGCTCAACAAATTCAAAATTTACAAAATAATATTTTAAGAATATATAATCAAACAAAAAAAATCCTAAATTCATAAAGAAAATCAAGTATTAGCATAGTTCTTTAATATATAATTTACTAATAATTTATTATATTGAGCTACTCAAAATATAGCAAACAAAAAATCTTTGGAATTATCAGTGTATGGTTAAATAAAAAATAATTCTATACTACAATTTACTTTAAAGATAGGGTTTTTTCAAAGATCATTAATGGATTAATTAAGTAAAAAAATGAATGAGTAATCATACTAATATTTTTAATTTTATTTTTCATAGCTATTTGAATCAATCATTAAAAGTATAGAAAAATACTAACAGTTTGATTCAAAAAAGCTTACAATTATTAAATTATATATATACATATTGATAGAAACATTACAAACACCAAACAGATCTTTAAAATATTAAAATCAAGTTATGACTCATTCATAATTAATAGCCCTGTTATATTGACATAATATAAATAGATGATGCATTTAAAGGTCCTTCCTTGTATTAGTTTTAAATGAATATATTATTATCTTTTTTAATCTAAAATTTTTCTATTTTAAAAATAATAAAATAAATTTTGTTTGATAAAAAAGAGCTATTTTTATTTTAACTAAAACTAAAATTTTTAAATATTTAATTTTAAATACAGTAATTCTTCTCAATTAAATAGCAAAAATATAGCTTAAAATTTTATTGATTGAAATAAAAAAATTAAGTTTTAAGTCAAAAATTTTTAAAAGATCTTATTTATAATTAAAGAGTATTTATCTTAAAAATATGTAATAAAAAATACAAATAATTTATGATATTAAATTTTATAAATTTAGAATAAAATTATTTTAAAATAGTTTATTTTTTTTATTTTTTTTAATAGAACTTATAATTTTTAATTAAATACTTCTAAAATTAACTCAATCAAATTATTGAACTAATTTAATGAGAACTGACATTTATTTTTCAATTTTTTGAATGAATTTCTGAGAATAATTTTAATTTCCAATTATTTGAGTGATAACACTTTTAAGTATATAGCCAATTTCTTCATAGTAAAATGAAGGGATTCCAAAAACCTTCGAATAAGCAAGGCAGTCGTAGATTGAAACAAAAGTAGGAAAATTTTTGTCAACAATTACATCAAAAATAAAGTTTATAATAGTTATTGCAAATATTTTCATATTTTCTTCTTTTCCAAGTATATTTTGGTTTAATAATGTTTGGTTTAAACTACATGCTTTTATTACACTTTAATATAAATATTGCAAGGTTTTATTCAAAGGTAAATTTTTAAGCTAAGGGTTTGAACTTTATTAGAAGCTCTCAAGCAATTACTCGTTAAATGAAATTTTTAGACCTAATTAGATCTTAATTAATCTAAGCTTTTTCTTTATTTCCAAAAGATAATCAGGAGGACATACATAAAAGTCTAATTGATTTAAGATGATTTGTCTTATCTGAGTAAATGTTGTTTGAGAAATAACTTTTTCGTATTTTTCATTCTTGACAATATCAAATAAACTAGTATCCAAAGAACCAAAAAATAGGTTTTAAATGAATTTCATTAAATACATTTCAATCTATACGTTGCTTTAGAGTGCTTAATTTTGAGCCTATTAAGAAAAAAAGAACTGCTAATTTACAATATACCCACTTTATACTTAAGATGAATCTTTTTAAGAGTGCAAAACAAGCAGATATTATAGACATTGACGATTAACTGTAGAGAAAAAATTTTGGTAATCATTATCTTTTTCTTACAACCTAATAAAAAAATCAGGTTTTTTAGTGGCTATGTACCTCATTCTTTCTATAAAATCAAAAAAGTTTGCCATGCTGAGTTTAGAAAATTTAAAATTCTTAGTAAATATCTTGTAAATAGACAGCTTAGCACACATTATGTCAGCATAAGTCCAATTCAAATTTGAGAATTCTTCTTTGATAAATTATTCATACTAAGAGAAAGTTTTTGTTGTGAATGCCAAAGCAAGCAATTTTTCAAATTAATCATTATTTTACATAAAAGAAAAATGTTAAAGAACTTGCTAAGAAACTTGGTCTTACTCTAATTCTTCCTTTATAATAATTATGATGTCTTATATTGTGTATCTCTCCAACTCATCATAAATTCTCCATTAAAATATTTATTCTTCCAAATTTTAGAATTAAGAAATAAAGTTCTTTTTATCATTTTCAAAGATAGTCTTTTCCTTTTCCATGAAATCAAAAAGTAATTTTTAGATTTCTTTAAATTTCCAATAGTTAATGCCAATAACCTATAAATTAAATGTTATTTAATATATTTATTTATAAAAATAAAATAGATAAAAGTGTAAGCAAGTATTAAGGTGTAGGTAAAACTAATTAAACATTGAAATATTATTTTATGATAAAAAAGATATTTTTGAAATAATTCACTATCACCTTTATTATTTATTTAATAAGCTTAAATACTGTGAATTCTTTTTACTAAGATTGGTTACGGTTATTAAATTAGAATTTAATTTCGTAAATGTTTTTTTAAAAAAAATTATATCTATCAACCCAAAAATGTTTTATTTAATGATCATTGGTGGTATTGAAATTTTAAATCTTAGTTAGTTAGTATTGTATTTTTTATATTTAAATAAATATTGGATGAAGCATTTTATTAAATTATCAAAAATTTGTTTAGTTTGAATTAAATCCAAAAATAGCATAAATTATTTTTTACTGAATCAATAAATTGAAAAAAAACAAAATGCATACCTTAAATTGCTATTTGATAGATAATTTGATATCTTCGATATCTTCTCTCAGCGGAGCTCCAGAAGTTAGATAAATAAATTCTTTCAGTGGAGAATCATTAAATCTTACATACATATTTTGAATAAACTAAAATTTGTTTTATTTTTATATTTCTTAATAAGAGGACTAAAGTCTTTCAAGAAAGGCATCAAGTTAATTAACTCCTCCAAAACATGCGTCTATTATTGGGATATTAGCAGAGGAGTCTTTGGAATGAGTAGGAGGTGAATTTATAATTGACTAAGGTTTAGTAGTCTTACCACTGATGGCATTACTTGAACTAATGCTGCTTTCTTTTCTTGTTTTTTATTTTAATAAAAATCTACTACTAATTCTTGAATCGTTCTATCTATTTTATCTCTCTGTTAATGGAGAAAGGATGGGACTAGATTTTATTTATGGGTAGTAGAAATCTTATTTTTGAACATATCTAGTCATGTTTTGGTTAGGTAAGTTTGAAAGAGACTCCATTTTTAAATTTAATGAACTCTTAAATTATTAATCCTTATAGTTGTTTGTAAATGAAGAGTCTTTCTATCCATTTAAATCTTCTACTTTAATTAAAGGGTATTTATTAGAACTTAGAAAGCATCTATTAATGATATTTTTCATTGATTGAGTTGGTGCTTTTCTACTTCTGTTAACACTGGTATAGGTTTATCCACAAGTTACCGAGTTAGATTCCTCTTTATTATTCATTGATTCTCTGTATAGTTTTGATTATGATACATAATCATCTAGGTAGTTAAGAGAAGATTAGTGGAAAAATATTTTTTTCTATTATTTTTATGGAGAGGCTTTGAATGTTTGAATTTAATAATCAGAATTATTTGTATTCGATTTAGTTTTATCTAAAAGAAAATCTATATTTTATAAAGAATTAATCCTATGAGGATCATTAGCATTTAAGTCAGTAACATTTAGGCTTTCATCAAAAGAGTTTCCAATAATGTTTAAAGATTATGGCATTTAATGCTTTTATACCTTATCTAAAACATTAATACAGCTATTTTAACGAGAAGTTCTTAAAGTCTGAATGGGTTTATTGTTAAAATGAGTCTGCTAAGATGACCTAGCAGAATCTAAATTTTTTAAAATGCTATGATTTTTTGTCGATTCGCTTTCAAGTTATTTATTGAAATATTAGTTTTTATTTTGTAAATGCAAATTAAAAGTTTAATTCTTTGATTTGCTATCAGCAGGTTAGCACTGTGGCAAAATAGGAAGACTTTAATATGCAATTGAGCAATCTTCTATATTCTACTTTAAATTTTTTTTCTAAGTTTCCATGCCTGTTTTAGAAGGAGAAAATGTTAGCTATTAGCTTTACTGAAGCAATTATTAGGTGCTTTGATTGTTTTTTATTGTAGATTGTTTGATTTTTTCAGATATTTAAACCAAAGAAGGCTGATCAAAAGTGAGCTTTTTATGGTTTCTAGATCTGTTTGTCTTTAAAGGTGAACTACTTAAGCAAAGTATATCTTAATGAGAATCTTTATTTGAATCCTATTATTTTATAATAGCTTAAGAGCTAGAATTTCCATTAATCTTTTTAAAACCTTCATTTTATTGTTCTACAAATGTTTTGTTAATCTTAAAGAGCCTGCTAAATTATTAATTTATATTAGCTTGCTCAGTTACTGATCCAGCATTATTTGTACTAATTTAGTCTTTATTTTCAAGTTCTTATTGTATCAAATTAGCATTAATACTGCTTTAATTCTAATTTTAAATAGCATCAAATTCAAATTAAAATTATTTTTTAGGCAGATACTGCTAAGAACTAGAGTTTATTTCTGATCTTTAAGTTAAGTTGGTTAAACTCATACGATTTTTATTTACTTTTTAAGGTGAATAAAACTCCTACTTTTTCTTCAATTATTTCTATGATTGTAATTATTCAGATTTTGGTAAAAAGTATTCATTATTAAGAGTACAATACTTCTAGTTTTTTTGAGCTTATTTAATCATTTCGTTAACTAAGTTTCTATTTAAATGAACTGATGCCCAATTTATTTTACTTTACTTGTTTAATTATTAATGCTATATTTTTATATTATTTTATTATATTTGGTTCATTTCTCTACAAAATTATTAAATCTTTTTTTACTTTTTATTAATTTTTTTCTTATTATATACATATAACTAGAATGATTTTTACTTTTTGATTCAGTGACTTAATGCCTTAAAAATCTCTTAAGTTCGTTCTATATGAATAATAATCATTGTAAAGTAAATAAAAGTGATAAACAAAATAAGATTTTTGTAGGAGTTATTTTGAGGATTTGTAAATTTCAATTACTATCATCCGCACCTTAATTTTTTGATAATCTAGTGTTTTAGCCATATTTCACTAAGACTTCTTTATTTACTCATAATTTTATTCATATTTTTTATAAATATTTTCTCTACATTTATTTGTAAATATTTCTTCATTAATTGCTTTCAAACATCTCGTTTATCTGAGAATTGAAGATAACTTATATCTATCCTAAAGAAACTTAACTAAATTATTTATCTTTGTTTAATTAAATTTTTAAGAATTATATACACTTTTAAGTAAGTCTACCATTAAAAATAAAAAGACCTAAGAAGGTAATTAATTAAAAAGATTAGTTTTTGTTAAATTTATAGTAAAAAGATATTTAAGTTAAATAATTTTGTATTTTTGATTGTAATCTTATTTTGGAAACAGAATTTTATGATTAAGTATTGGGTAAAAATTTAAAAAAGTGATATCATCAAAGACAAAAATATCTAAATTATATTATAAAATCACAATTATTGAAGCTAAAGATTTAAACAAAAAACAAACAAATAAATAAATAAATCTAATTAATACCAAATATTAAATTACTTTTTATTTGTTCAATTTTATTGTTGAGGTTAATTTTATTAATTTTGCAATTATTATTATTAATTTTATTATGGGACAAGCCTTTGAATAATTATTGCTTAGTTTTAATTGAAAAGAGGCGGAAGTGTTTATGGAATTTGTGAATTAATTTATTAATTCTATTATTAATTGGCTTGATTATTTTGCTACTGATTGTTCTGTTGTTAATTTTATTACTAGCTTTGTTACTAATTTTGATGCTGATTTTATTACTGCAATTGCATTTATTAATGCTAAAAAATAATTTGCTATAAACTAGAATTTAGCACTTATTAAATTTGCGGAGGTAAAACGATCTGATGAACTTATTGCTAATGTTACTACTGTTAATTAAATGGCTATTATAGAGGCTATTACTATTATTATTAATTATTTAAGTTCTAATTATTTTAATTATTTGCTTAACTGGCTTGAGCTTGCTATTACTACTATTATTATTGCTATTATTGTTATTACATTTGTTGTTAGGGTTGTTATTGTTATTATTACTATTACTAACCTTAGCGGCGGTTATTGATAGCTTAGTTAAATCTAGAAAAGATATTCTAAAACATCTGCTATAAGATGATAAATAAAAATATTATAAAGCTAATATAAAGAGCGTATTCAGAAGAATCCTCATTATCTACTTAAATAGGTTCATCATATCTTATTATATATTTTGCTAGATCACCATTCTCTAAAACAAGTTGTACTGCCTAATACTGATCGCTAATTTAAAATAAAAATAGTAACTTAACTTGAATTAAATTATTAATCTTACTCTTAATTCTTGTTTTCAATAATCTCTATATCTTTTACCATCAATTCATTATCATCATCAAAGTAAAAATCGGCTCTATACACATCTTTTTAGAGTTTTAATATTATTATTTAAGATATCTATTTTAATAATTATTTTACTTGCTGAATTCTTGGTGTGCAGGTCTTTAATGCTGATCATAAATACCTTAGAATGCATAGCAACATTTTAAGCTAGGATGTAAATATATTCAGTTGAATGACTGTAAAGAATTTTAGATATTCTTGAATTATCTCTTTCAAAGCTTTCGATTTTGAAAAACTGGTTATCACTACTTCTTACATGAGGTCTATATATTTTATTATTAATTGAAATTTTTATCATTTATAATAAAATTTTACCTTAATTAAGTAATAAAAATGTATTTATTCAAGAAGCTAGCAACAATAATATTTTTATATCTGTCATAAAATAGTGAAAAATATTTATATAGATTCAATGAGAAGATATCCACCTTTCTAACTTCGAATTCCATTTATTTTGTGATGGCTTGAAAAACTTGTTCCCATTCATAAAGAGTTTCTTCTCTGTATGATTCAAGTTTATGTCTGATATATGGTTCATAATATTCCCACACTTAGCATGTATCATTTGACTAATCAACTATATAGGGTTATTTCTTTTTTTTCAAGCAAAACACATCTCCTTTATAAAGCATTGACTCATCTTATCCACTTAATTATTTGAATAAAAATTAGAATTATACTATTTTTATAAGTGAATTCTACTAAAAAATAAATTAATAAATGTTTTTTTATTTGATTTTTATGAATAAAGTTTTTAATATTTTCAATTTTTACATTGCATAACTTACTAGTAAAGTGTTAAGACATTAAGGATCATATGAAATATATAGGAAATTTAATGAAAGTGTTTATGAAAACAATCTTTATGGATTTTTTATCATGTGCAGTGAAGTGATGTTTCTCCATTTATTATGAACCCTTATTAAATAAAAAATGATTATCTAATTTTTGATTCCATAATTTTTTTTTTTTTACAGTATCCTTGAGCGAAACAATACATAATCCTCTTTATTAGCATAAACTATGACATTATTGTGCTATGCTACTGTGCTAATATCAGACTAAGGTTCAACAATAACTTCTTAATAATAATCAGGATGATTACTCTCAACTCTTTTGAGATCTATCAAACCAATAGACTTATCATAAAGCTAGCCAAAATTAATACCTTTTAAAGATATACCAATATAATTGCCACCACTTTAGTAACTTGTAATAATTTTAGTCCCAAATTTCAAACTGATGCTATGCTCAATAGGATTTTGAAGTATATTTTTCGAAGCATGATTGTCTAAAATAGAGTCTTTTATTTTAAATAGATCCAAACCTTTTAGTTTAAAATATAAAAATGTAATTTCTTTATTTTTGAAGTATTTAAAATATTTCAATAGCAAAAAATGAAGCAAAATTTTTAGAGAAATAGATTCTTCTAAAAAATTTAGATGGAGTGTAAATATTATTTTTTTTTTAATTTATCTGAGTTTGTTACTTGAGTATTTAGAAGATGATTGAGGGTTAATCATAAAATCGTTTCTAATTGATACTATCCCAAATGAGTTTTATTTCTTGCCAAATATGTGTTCTTCTAAAAAATAAGTTTTAGTAATATTGCTGATTGATTTTCTCAATTTGCTTCTGATTTAATTCTATTATTCTATTTATTTCTAGTATATATCTACATTTTTTTCTATCTAATCTTCTAAATGCTTATCATTAGAATTAGCATCATGTTTATCATCCTCTCTACAAGATTAATCAGGTTTTAAAGGTGAATCTAACACTTGCTCATAAAAATTCATCATACCATTATAAAAATAGTTTGGCTACTCTTTTCCTTTAGTCTTCTTTATTTTTGTCTTATATTACACCTGCTCATTACTTAAGGTATCTAATTCAATGTCTTTCATTGATACATAAGTAATTAATTCTGTAGGCATCTAAACATAAGATTCAAATCCTGCTAAGTTTTCAATTATACTATACATGGTTACTATACATAATGTAAATAGCCCCATGATTAAAACAACGATGCAATTATTCATTTGTTCCTAAATTATTTAGTAAATCTTCCTTTTTTATCCTAAAAGTTATTTATCTATCTATCTTTTTATTCAATTTCTTTGCTTAATCCAAAAATCACACAAACAAAATTTTTTCTTCTTTAAAAAGCTCTATAAACTTCCAAAATTGATTAATTATTTAAAAAAAGTAAATGAATTATATATCTTATTGACATATTACTATTAAAATTAAGTAAAAATGATTTACTTCTTAATTATTTTAAATTTACTAAAACTGAATTCTAAAAGTAATTAGTGTATGTAAAACCTAAACTTCATTTTTTTAAACCTAAAAATGGAATATGATAGATTAGTTTTAGTTAATGAAGATATTATATTTAATATATTCCAAAAACTAATAAATATTTAAGAAATTCATTCCAAAAAAATTTTTATTAAAGATAGTTGTTTGCAAACAATTGTCAAAGAATAAACTTTTTATTTCTAAAAATAGTAAAGCTTATTGTAAAATAAATTTTATATCAATAAATACATAATATCTATCCATAATATTTTATATAGACTCATATTATATCCATATAACTTAAATTATCTAGAGTTAATTATTTGAAATGGTATTATAAATAAAATTATTTTAAACAAATCACAAATATGTAAAAAATAAGGTATATTATGAAAATTCTTATAAATCAATTGTAAAAAAATTGATAATATAAAATTTACAACAAAAATCTAATTTGAAATAATATTGATTCAAAATATAAAATTTAAATATGATCTTAAAATTTCAGTAATCTGATAAAATCGATAACTTCATCAATTTCATTATTTTAAAGAGTTTTCTTTTTAATGCATAGTAGCCTCCTAAAATAGAATTTTCACTATTTAAAAAAAAATAATATTATATGATGAATTAGAATTAATTATTATAACATTTTTATTATCTACAAATAAATTTAAAATAATAAAAAATTAAATTTAGAAAAGTTATTAAATCAATTAAATTATTTACCTAAGATCTAGCTCTAAAATTTTGAATTAGCATTTAGATAATTAATTTGCAAGATAGAGAGCAGCTTATTCATTAATATTATTCTCTCTAAGTAAAAAAAAGTAAAGTTTGTTAAATAAATTATTAAGTCATAAATTGAAAGTTTATATTTAGGATATAAAAATATTTTGTTTCAAAAATATTACTTCAGAGATAGAGATAAACTTAAAATTTTTGAAGAGCTTTCTAACAGTGGAAATAAGCTTAACATTCCCTAATCTCCAAATTTATTACCACTTAAAATGTTAAAAATATATATTTATAAAATTAAAAATTAATATTTAAACGAATAATTAAATTATAAATATTATGTTTATTATATGATACTAAATTAATTTAAAATTTAATGAATTTTATTATTATTACTTAAGATTGAGGCTTAAAATGATTATATTTGTTAAATTTCGTAAGCTATTAGAAATATAAAATACTTATTGCGCAGTTAAACCAATTTCACTTTTTAAAAAAAATATATTTATTCAACTTTCTTGATCTTAAAAAAAATTGTAATAGAAAAATATATTTTATTTTTCAAGTTAGATAGTTCTAAAATTTAAATAATACTTTAAATTTAGCTTTAAATTTGTTAATTTATCACAATTTAGGATTTCTTTACAGAAAAAGCTAATCCTATCATCAGCATATGTAGTCCCACTATTATTCAACCAATTAAATATAAAAATTTAACTATTACAAAAACTATTATACCTCTTTAAAGTAATATTTAGATGCTATAGATTAGAGCATGATTTCAATCCTCTAACAATATCATTTTGTGATTATCTAACAATTAAATTAAATTTTATTAATCATTCTTAATCTAATTTAAAATTCCGTATTTAAAAATCAAATAATTGAATTTAAATAAACATTTACGGTTTGAATAAATGAAACTCACAATTTTACAGATTTATAAAATTCGTTTATTCAAAATTGATTCCTGAACATTCTCTAATTAATATTAATATTTTAAATTATAATTAATAAAATAAAAGAGTTTATAATTAGTTTAATTGTATTAATTTAAATTTTCAAAAGCTTTTACGACAAATGAAGATTTAATAGTTTTAACATCTAAAATCCTATCTACTCTTTAGATATACTTATCATTTCGTTAGAAGTTGAACCATTTATTAATTAATTATTGCTACTAAAAAAATAATTTAATAAGTTAGTAATCTAATAAATAAAATTTAATTAGTTTTTAAATTTAAATTACTTAGAAAATATGTTATTTAGAATAACGCTTTCAAGCATTCGACATTTGCTTAATTCATTTAGCATAAAAGAAGTCTCTCTTACATCAATTTTATTATAACTACAATAAGTTATTATTATTTTATGTAATTAATTAAATAATTTAATTTCTTAAATTATTTTTACCTTAATTCTATTATTAAATTTTGAAGATTGTTGCATTTACTGAACTAAACACCTAATTCTTAAGATCCAATAGGACCAATATTGTTACTACTTTTAATTAAATAAAGATAAAAATTGTATGATATTATATATTATCTTTAATTAAATATTAACTCAATAGTTTTCAACTTTTAGTTAAATATTTTAAAAGATTTTTAATAAAGTTCAAAGCATTTATATGTATTTTATTTTTTTAATATAAATCTTTACGTTATGCGAATCTCCAAAAATTTAAGATTTTTGCATTTTCCAAATCCGACTGCTAAACCTGAGGCTCCTCTATCCCCTATTTAATTATGACTTTTTATATAAAATAAAATTAATATGTTTGATTATTTAAATTAAAAATAATTTTTGGTGTAGATTAAAAAGGAATTTTCACCAAAATTTGTTTTTATTATTAAAAAATTGAAGGTTACCAAAGATAAAGGAATATTATTTCTAAGTTTTAGCAATTTCCAATTCCAGTACCAATACCACAAGCTCCTTCTTCTCCAATTTTAAATCTTGAATTAAAATTTATATAATTTATCTAGATTTTAATAATTAAACAACAAAAACTATTTGTTTATTAATATCATATCTGATTCATTAGTTTAAAATTAAAATTTCGTTTGTATTTTTTAAAACAAAATAAATACTTGGAAAACACTGTGATAGATAAATTTGTGAGATTTTTGCAACCTCCAATTCCAATTCCTAAATCTGATGCTCCTTTTTGACTTATAAAATTCATCCTTTTATTATTAAATTAAATTAACAAATAAATTTTTAAAATTTCATATTAAAACTTTGCTTATCTATGAAGCTATAAAATGAAAAAAACTAATTACCCAATAATTTAAATAATTAATTATTTTAAGTTTTTGCATTTTTTAATAGCACTTCCTAGATCTGATGCTTATTTATTTCCAAGTTTGGTATCTCTTAAATATTAATATTTAAAAATTAGATACTGAATTCTATTAAATTAGAAATTACTTAAAATAAAACTCGACATCTGTTTTCTTGAGAAGATCAGAAGATATGAACTAATTTTAAATCATGTTAATTATTTTAATTCTAAGAAGTAAATTACTTTAATCAAGCTTTTATATTATTCAATTTCTTTCATCTTCCTTTTATATAAATTATATAATTTTTGTAGAGTTAATTTATCAGGTATAATTCATTTATACAAGTACTAAAGGATGTAAAATTCATTTAAGTATTTTCTTTTCTATATTTTAATTCTAAAATTATTCTGGTAAGAGTATATAAGCTCAATAATATAAATCTTTTGAATCTAAAACTTTTATAGCCATCAGAAAAGTTTTAAATATAGAAAAATTTTCTGATCGTACCAAATTATTGATTTAATTTATTTAAAAAAGAAAAAAATGTATTTAGCAAATAATCTTATTAAATTAATTAAAATGTTGATTTTAATTCTTATAAAATAAAATAGTTTTTATTTAAAAAAAATTATATAGAAAACCATAAAAAAAAAAAGAAACGAGGATATAACATAAATCTTATTAATTAAATATTTTATTTAGTATAAAAATTTTTATAGTTCAAAACAAAAACCAATTAAATTAATTTTTGCATTTTGCATTTTGCATAATTTTGCAAAATTTCAGAAAATACCTTAAATTAAAAATATTATTTTTATAAATTAAAAGGAAACATTTTTAGAATATAAGTTAATTAGATATAAAATCATATTCATTGAGTCTTTGTTTGCTAATTATTTTTTTTATTAATTACATATAAAATCATATTCATTGAATCTTTGTTTGTTAATTATTTTTTTTATTAATTATAGATATAATCAAATAATAAAATAATCTTTTATAATTTTTTTGTTAGAATACAACTAATTTACAAAGCTAGATATATTTTTGCTTCTTTTATTTAATCAAAATTCAGCTTATCAGATTAAAAAAAAGTTTACTTAGATATTTTAGTGTAATATAGACATATCTAAAGAGGGAATCTTATTATAGAAGGTGCTTATATAAATGTAGGAAGAAGATAGAAATAATAGTCATTATTCAGTAGAATCTATCGCTTAAAATAACTAAGCTAACAATGTACCACCTACTGAAGGAACTGAATACATAAAAAAAAAATTTAGAAGGGAACTTTATTTTGTTTCAATTGTGCTCTCATTAATACTTCTAGGAACGTTTTTAGCAGTTTTTATCTATTATTTAAAGAATAAAATGCTATAAGGTAATGGTGTATTAGTTCCTAATAAGTATTTTATCAAATAAGTTAGTGGTGATACATAATCAGTTACGCTTTATGCATAATATGATGGTGAAAATGTTGGTAATTATCCTAACATTTATCCAAATATTATGGTAAAGATATCTCTTCAAAATTTAAATAACGTTGAATCTTAAAGTAGTATTAGCTACCTACAAATTAATATTTAATAAGATAAAGGTTTAAATTTGAAATCATCCTAGCAAAGCGGCACTAAATAAACGAAAGATAACTAGCTAATTTTAGAAGATATAGACTTGGGTCCTTTTGATTTAGAGTTTTCTTCTCAAGGAAGTAAGCTAGCATTTATAATATTAAGAAAAAGCACAAATGAAAAAATATTTGACACAGTGGATTTTAACATAATTATTTCATAGTATTACTCAACTATTGGTACCATAATTCCTGCTGGTAATTTTTATGGGTTAGGAGAGAGAAGGACAACCAATTTTTCGTAATAATTTAAAATTGATTAAATTAATAAAGAAAAATTAACAAAATCTTTTATAAAAATTCTATAAAAAATACATATTTTATAAATATCAATAAAAATTTATTTATAAAATTAGTTTTTAGTAAATATTTAAAGATGTTGATGCTAATTGCGCATACGGGCCATGTAATAAATATAAGTTTTGGAATAGATATATATAGATCAATTAGCAGGCTTTTGATGATGGAATGGGTAATGGTTATCTTTCTGGCTACTAACCTCTATATTTGATTTAAGAGGAATCGAATAACTATTCCCTATTTTACATTGATGACTCTTTTTCTGGATTGGAAGTTGATTATTATTCTTAGGTTCCAAATACTAATAATTTAGAAGGATTAGTTTTCTAGAGTTATACCAATAAAATTAATTTCAAAATATTTTTGGGTGATACTAATCCTTAATCAGTAATTAAACAATATCATACATTCATCGGAAAATTCAATTTAATACCATTTTGGGCATTAGGATATCATCATAGTAAAATATTCTTACCACCTTTCACTAAAAACATTAAAAAATTCCTTGACTATGTTTAAAAATTGAAAATACCTATTGATTCTATCTGGACTAATTTTGAGATTAGCTATGAAGGAAATTATTTTAAAATATTAAATCAAGAAATTGTTGATTAGTTAAATTAGATGAGAACAGAATATCATATTAAGTGGATTCCACAAATACCAAGTGAAATACCTAATATTGAAAGCTGTAAATAGTATGTGATTGATGGAGTTAACTTTAATACTTTTATAATTTCAAATAAAACAAAAACACCATATTAAGCAGAAGGTCTGTTTGGAAAAGCATTATTTATAGATTATAACCATGTAAACTCTAGTGATTTAATATATCAAGCCTTATAAGATCTTAATAGTTAAATATCTTTTGATGGACTCTGGTTAAGTTAAAATGAACCTTCAACTCTAAAAACTGGAGAGTTCATAAATGAACATTAGCTAAACAAAAGCAATGGTGAATTTGATATAATAAACAAATTTTCAGATATTTAATTTAACTAAAACCTGCTTAACACTGATGCTTTGCATTATAATAAACCTGATTCAAAATATTTCTACAAACCAGGTAAATAAAGACAGTTCACTAATTTTTTAGAAATTTTATTTTTATATAATAACAGAAAGTGGAGATTATTTGTACGAGAGAGATTTGCATAGCTCTAATGGATTTATGCAATCTTAGACTATTTATAAAATAATGAAATAAGAGATGAACAAGTAATAGCCATTTATAGTATCAAGCTCAAATAGACCAGGATCTGGTATGAGCATAGCTCACTCTACAGGGATAGCACTTAATAGTTGGGGCATTCTATAAAGTTCATTCATTGAAATTTTTAATTTTTAGTTATTTGGTATACCATTTACTGGAAATAACATCTGTCCTTTGTAAACTTTAAATGAAAATGATTTTCCAGGAGCTAGTGAGTTGTGTACAAGATGGTATTAAGCAGCCTCTGTGTTTCCTTTCATGCATTCAGTGCAAGCTTTCACTGAAAATGATCCATTTTATTTCAAAGATTATCCATATTTATAAAATTCTGTAAAAGAGAGTCTTAATCTGAGATATAGTTTACTCAAGCATTATTATTCACTGTATGTTTTTTAGAAAGGTTTAGGAATGGTTTTCATGCCTGTGACATTTGTATTTCCAGAAATCGCAACATAAGATTATATATTAATTAACTCAAACAATACAGCTATGATAGGAGAATCACTTTACGTCTTTACTGTAATTAAAATTCCTTTGTTAACTTTAGAATTAATTATATCTCATATAATTTAAAAATGAATTAAAATTAACAATTTAATTAATTAAATTCTTACTAAATTTAAAGATTATATTTTCATTTAATATAAGTTTACTTTTTTTACATAGGTTATGACTTAAGGAGATTAATAAACTAATACAACCTTAGTGAATTTAGGTGTCCCACCTCAGTTATGGGTTAATTTATTAGATCCTTAAATTTAGTATAAAGGCCCTTTTTCCACCAAGTATGACTTCCCATTTTAAGGATCTCCTTTAATATTTTTAAGAGAAGGACATTTATTGTTGCAATAGAGTACTAGCTCTCATAGAGCATCTCTGCTTGACTATACTTTTATTATGAAAACAGTATTAACAGTAGTTAATTAGAGTAATTTAAACATTTAATATAACTCTTATGGAAGAACTTTAGCTGTTTTAGATTACAACGATAGTTAAGCATTAGATAAGTGCAATCAACAGGGCTGTGAACTAAAAATAGACATGAATGTAAATAGTACAAACAATAAAGAATTAGATATTACAATAAATTTCTCTTCTGACGACAGTTAATATTTTGAGGAAGGAATTATAATTAAATAAGTTCAAATTTCAGGTGTTGTCAAATATAATGATATTCTTTTACAGTATTGCAAATCTAGTGAAATATAGTAGCAACCATTTGATTACATTACTGTGGAAAAATAGCTAGCTCCTGAAAATTATTTTATAGTGAATTAAAGATAGTCAACCTTTAATTTAAAAATTACAATTTGATGAATGAAGTCAAAATAAATAAACTTTATATTTATTATAATTGAATTGAAAATTTCTGGATGAAATTTTGAAAATTCAAAATAAAAAAGAAAATCTAATTTACATGAATATTTAAAAATTTTTGAATTTTTACCGCTGCTTCTAATAATCAAATTACAAATTGGGAAAACTGATTAAATATTCTGATTAAATTAGAAAACGTATTTATTTGATAAAAAAACTATATAAAAAATTTGATTAAATTCTAAAAAATTTTAGGTTAATTTTTATTAATAATTATATATATAAATTCATATATTTATTACAGTAAGAAATTAGATAATAAAAAATATTATTTTTTCCATGATTTATTAAAAAAATTAAAAAATTAAATCATTTAGTCTTCATTTTGTTTCTTTATTAATTCACTAATTAATTTTTTTATTTTATATTCGCTCTTTTTTTCTATTTTATATTCATTATAAAAATCTGATATTAATTTTCTTTTAGAAATTTAATAAAGACACTTCTTGAACATACAAACATACATACACATATTAATTTGAAAATTAAAAAAAAAAACTTGTGAATAAGGTCTTAAAATTAGTTATGATTAATTTATTCGGGGAATTAATGCTAGAATTCTATTGGCTTTAAAATTTCTACAAGCTTGATAGAAATTTCTTTGTTCTAACTGATTCGCTTATCTTTCAGCCATTAAATTTTCTAAAGCAGCCTGATTTGCTGGTGAATTTTTTTATTTTTGTTTATATTGCTTTTTTGACTGAAAAATTATATGTTTTAAATTAGACTTTAAATATAAAAGTTTAAAAAATTCAACCATTTCATTATAATTAACATTTTTCTGATTTCCATTCAAGGTTATTTATTTTATTAATTTACAGATGATTAACAAATGAAGCTTTTCTTGTTATTATTTTTTCTCCTACTTATTTTTTCAAGTTTATTTCGTTTTATTGCTGAAATTATATTCTAAATACAAAAATATTTATGAGGGAGTTTATTTTTTTGCTATTTTATGTATTTATTTCGTAGAAATTGTAAAATTTAGTTAAAACCCATTTTTAGGTACTATAGCTATATTTTAAGTGATAAAATCTTATACTATTACCAAAAAGGAAAAACAATAGTATTGAAAGATAGAAAAAAATAGAAAAATAGATATATAAAATATATCCAATAAAAACTTAAAACATATGACATGCTATAGGCATGGTAACTGCGATCTACCGAAGTTTGCTTAAAAGAGATTTTTAGAAATAAATTAGCTTTTGAAAAGAGAGATGTTTAAGATTTGGATAGTTAATACGTAATTGAGGTTTTCAAATTTCCGAAAAATTATGTATTTTTAGCTAACTGTGTAATTTAGTTCATAAAAATTTCTCTATTAATAGTATTATAGTCTATATAGTGTAAAATCAAAAAGTTATCCATTTTTAATTAACTAAATAAATCATTGGCCCAAATAAACGTCATATAATTTAAAAAATAAACCGGTCACTTTAAATCCAATTAAAGAATTACCAATTATTTGCTTAATATTTTTTTAGAAATAATATTAGAAAAACAAACAATAGGCAAACAAACAAGCAACTAACTCTAGAGATAATTTAAGTGCTCTCTCCCTCTATTACTAGCCATCAACCAGACTTAACATTTCGCACTCATTTCAGCTACATTTTAAAAACTATTAAGCATGTCAATCTTAGAAGAATAATTTAACTTTAACTGCCAATCTACTAATTTGAGACTAAATTATTGGTACATTTTTGTCTTTTTTACTTCACTCCTTATATTTTTCATAAACTCTACTAGCAGAGTTAATAAATTTTTTTAAAATAGGCATTAGAAGGTCAATCCTCTCGCCCTTAGTTTTACCCTTTAAAAGTGTTAACAATTAGTGAATCTCAATATTGACTTAAGGTAAAAATTAGTTTAAAAATTATGTAAAACTGAGAGCATTTGCATATAAATCTTAAATTTCTACTTATTTAAAATATAAAAAACAGTAAATGAATCAATTATAAATAAGTAGAAATTGTTTTAAGTGCTTGAAAAAATAAAAATTAATCGTTTAAACATAATTTTATTATTAATTAATTAAGCCGCAATATGCTTGGAGATGAAGGTTTAATCAATTTCTCAACATTTTTGGAGCATATGACTAATCTTCAAAGTATTTATGTAGACCTTAGTTTCAACTCAATAACTGAGGTAGGAATGAAAAATCTTGCCACAAATTTATCTAAATGTAAGTCTCTCAGAAGAGTTATCATTAACTTCTAGTAATTTTTTAAATAATTCTAAGAAACTTTATTTAAACGTTTGTAAAACTTATAAAAAGATATAATGGCCTTAACGAAGCAAGCATTATGGCACTAGCCTAAGGAATGAAGCAATGTAGAAATATCAACAAAATTAACTTGAATTTTAAGTAACTATATTAATCTTACATTTCATTTTACTAAATCATAATAATTTACTAAAGGAATAACAGAATACGTCTAGATTCACATCAAAAATTGTCTAGAGAGTTTCAAAAGTACTGCAAGAGACTTGTATGCTTTAAAATTTCTTTTTGAAAATAAATAACAAATAATCAAGTCTCATTCTCTAATATATTAATAACAATTAAACATATAATTATTGCCATAAATCTAAAATCTTGACTAAATCAAAAAGATTTTAATCACTAAAAAATAAACAGATTTTACAAACAAATCTCATATTTATCTAATTCTAATCAACTTTATAATAAACACTAAAAAATAATTTCTATCATTTTTACTTACTTTCCTCAAATAAAAATTGTATCAATCTATTTTATATTTTTTAAATTTGTAATATAAATAATTTATTCAATTTATTACTATATAACATAGTCCATAAAATAATTATTTTTCCTTTTATTTAGAATAAAAAGATTTTAATCACTAAAAAATAAATACAGACTTACAAACAAATCTCAAATTTATCTAATTCTAATCAACTTTATAATAAACACTAAAAAATAATTTCTATCATTTTTACTTGCTTTCCTCAAATAAACTTTGTAACAGTCTATTTTATATTTTTTAAATTTGTAATATAAATAATTTATTCAATTTATTACTATAAAATAAAGTCAATAAAATAATTATTATTCCTTTTATTTAAATATTTCTTTTAAAATTAGAAAAAATTTAACAATAATTAATTACTCAAACAAAATATCAAATTAATGTTCCCTTTTTTAAAAACAAAATGAGCATATTTTACTTTTCAAAATTTTAATACTTTACATATTGAAATTAAATTTTTAGAATAGAATTTTAAATTTTTAAGCCATTTTTTTATTTTTTGATTTAAAAAAATGGCATTTTATTTTTGCTTATGTTTTAAAGTTAAAATAAAATTTAAATAGAATCAGCCATTTAAAATAAGAAGATTTCTGATTCATTTTTTTAGCACGCTAGTATAATTAAAATATATCTTATCTTCATGCTTAGGAGGCAAAATTATACTTTTGTTTTATAATTTTAATGGTACAGAGTCATCTTTAAAATATTCACTCTGCAATAACTATATTTATGTAAGCAAAATTAATTTAATTTTTATTTATGTTAAACTATTTACTTATTCAGCAGTAGGTCTATTATCATATTTTAACATTGAATTTAGAAACTCTATTTCTTTTTCAGAAGCTTAACTAAATAAAGTGCTCAAATTTTTTTTTTATTTTTGTTTAAATAAAATTTTTCCATAATCTGGCATCTTAACAATACTAGGCCAATTTTCTTCACATGGATTACCAAGCAAATCAGATATTTTAGCAATTTATTCTATTTCATTATTACCTTTATTATTCAAATTTTATTTATTAATTAATTTACATAGAAGTTTTTTTACCAGAAAATAAAGGATATCCTTATATTATTTCAGCATAAATGCATGCAAAACTCCAAATATCTATTTCGTAATTATACTCCCTAGATCCAAAAAGCTACTCTGGAGACTTATACCATCTTGTGAATCCCTCAATAGAAAATTATTTATCCTTTCTTTACTCTTCTTTAATAGCTGATCCAAAATCACCAATTTTAACAATAAATTAGTTAGTAATTAATATATTTGATGGTTTTAAATCCTTTTTAAAAAAATCAAATTCTTATACTATTTATTTATAATGAAATTTTTTACTCTATGAATAATGCCCTTCGAGTGAATAAATGATAATCCAGTGAGTAATTAAAAGGCTATTCTTTTTATCTTAGAAAAACTAGTCAAATTATTTTCATTATTGATTATTGTTTTATTTTACTTTTGAATGACTAAGAGGATAAACTTAGCTTTCTATAAATTATTTTAAGTCATAATCAATGTATTCCATCACAAGAGAGCATTTGTTGTTAGATATCTAATAATCTATTAATTTTACTATCTACTCATTTCATTTTAATAAGAATTTTCATTTCCAATATGAGTAAATTTACATTTGGATGATCATTTAAATCCTACATAATGGACACCTCTCTTTCAACAATCTACTTAGATCTTTTATTCTGATTAAAAAATAAATCTTTAATAGCAACTATTTATTCTATAAAAATATTTTTAACAAACTAATCATCAACAAATATTCATAAAAATCTACGCGTATTTTATTTGATTGCTTTAAAAACAGAACCAAATGCTCCCTCTGCTACTTTACATTATATTTTATATTCTTATTTAATTGGATCTTATTCTTAGTATTAAAAATAATCCATCTTATCTATTTTATAATTTCAATTTATCATGAATGTAGTGCCTCAAATTTAATTACCTTTTACTTTTAATAGAAAATTGGCGGATTTAGTTTATTTTTGATATAAAATATTTAATAATTTGAAATTTTAATTTAAAAAATAAAGTAAATAAGGTAAATAAATAATATCTTTGTTTAATAATATTTATAGCAAAAATTAGGAAACAACGGCCTAATTCAGATGTAAATGTATGGCTACTAAAATGTATATAATCCTTATATGAGCAACAGTTAATAGCAATATGGATATCCTTAAAATATGAATCCATATAATAACCCACAATATATGACTGAACAGTAGTATCAAAATTAAAATTAGATGAATTATTTAGCAAATGGTGTATACAATAATAATATGAATAGAAGTGTTTAATAGATCCCAAATTAAAATATATTTTAATCTAATAATTAAAATGTAATGAACAGCAATCCCATAAATCCTATAGTTGCAAGTAGAATGAATAGGTAAACAAGTAATCCAGTAGGAGGCAGTGGAAATTAAAACAACTAAATGAATAGAAATATGTACGCAAGCTACAATAATGCTAATCCTATTTTCAACTAAAATTAAGTGAATAATAACAACATGTACTACAATAATAGTAATTAAACTGCAAATTTTGGATAAAATACTTAAGGTTATTACAACAATTAGAACATAAACAATCAAAGTATCTTTAATGGTAATAATAATACTTAAAGAAATTTTAACAATCAAAATTAAAGCATTTTTAATAATAATAACAACAACACAAATAATAATTTGAATATTTTTAGCAATAGTAACAATAATCAAAATGTCTTCAACAATACGAACAATAGCCAAAATATCTTTAAAAACAACAATAATAACAATAATTAAAGTAATTTTAACAATAACAACTCAAGTATATTTAATAATAACAATAATGGCAACAACTAAAATATATTTAGCAAAAACAATAATAATAATTAAAGTATTTTTAATAACAACAATAATAATAATAACAATAATATTTTTAAATCTAGTAATAATAATTAGAATATTTTTAGCAGTAATAACAATAACAACAACAACTCAAGTATTTTTAATAATACAAATTAAAGTATATTAAATAATAATTCAAGTATTTTTAATAATAGCAATAATTAAAGTATTTTTAATAATAGTATGAATAACAACTTAAATGTAAATAGATCAAACAATTAGAGTATATTTAATAACAACAACAATAATAATACTATCTAAAATGTATTTAACTAGCCAAATAGCATCTTAAATTAACCAAATTAAACTTAGAGTATATTTGGTAATGCACCTAATCTATTGGAAGTTATAAATTACATGCCCCCAACAAGCATTTTTGATACTTAAAATTCACTTCTTAAATATACTCCGAAGATTAGATTGGCCAATATGAGTCCATTTAGGACAAATAATTAACCTTATTATGGTTAGGGGAATAATCTAATCCCATAATTTAATAATAAGCTAGTACTACCTCCACCAAAGAGACTACAAGTTAAGAGAGTCGCTAATACATTTATAGGTAAAATATCTTTTTGATTAAATTTTATGAACTTATTATTATTCAAGAAATTTAGTACATATGCTCTCCTTTTATTAAAACAACCTTAGCTATTTAAAATTAATTTTCAATAATAATTAAATTTTAAATTATTCTAGATTAAAAAGGAGATTTGACTTAAGATTAGAAATAATTTTTAAATGATAGACTTATTCGACCATAAAGTACCAAAAGTTTCTTTTCTGAAAAAAAACCTACAGGAATACTCAAGAATTCAAATATGATTATTAATCTAAGAAGAAATAGTGAGGATTTACAGTAAAGTAATAGTGGGAATGCAGCAGAACAAAAGAGCATTCATAATTTAAATAATAGCCTGCTAAATATGGAAGATGAAAAAAAGAAAAAATAATAAATCAAGGAGTTATTTCCTGGTTTGTATAATTAAAACAGATTATGGAATGATTTAAAAAGATAGAGTTTGAATAAGTAAGAATAAAACGTTAAAAAGAAATACCAATTTCTCTATGAAATGGAGTAAGATCCAAATAGTGAATTTTACTTACCTAGAAGAAAAGCTTTAATGGAAGAATAGATGAGACAGAGAGGGATTTAGTTATAGTAAGAAGCTTAAGAAAATGGCAATCATCCTTTTGATAAAGATCGTAAACATATTGAAGAGTTTGAAACAGAAGAAGAAGTTGAATAAGAGAGACAATTTTATAGGGAATATCTAGATTCTCATAATGAGGGCCTTATGGATTTAAACATTTTAGCTAAGTGTACAAAAAAGCTACTCGATTTGGAGAAATGGAAAGAAGAACTTGCAAAATAAAGAAAATATGAAAAGTTTGGATTTGGACTTTTCAAATATGAAATGAAGAGAGAGTTTGCTTTTGTGTCTGTTATTTGCCATGTGACTAATATCTCCACACAAAAAAGTGAAGAAATTGATTAATTATAAAAGGTTTAATTTAAGTTAACAGACACTATTTAATAAATTATTTCTGACCACTATTAAAAACACATTTTAAAAAGTGGATTGATTTGGCATAGAGATTATGATGAACTTATAGGTAAAAATGCTACATATATTGACACTGATGGGAAAATAGTGGCTTTGACACCTATTGAAAAATCGCTCAAGGACTTTAAAGTAACTAATAAAGGTAAAATAATTATAGAAATTTTTGTTAGTGAGGCGCCTGTACTAAAGAATGATAAGTATAAATGCTCACCTTCTGTATATGAAATGAGACATTGGCCAATAGAAGAATTATAAAGTGTCAACTAGTTTATTATTTAGAACCAATACGGGAAAATAGAATTTGAAAATCCAGTAGAGATAACTAGACAGGATCTAGATAAAATAGTTATAATAGAATAACAAAGGGCTATTGTTTATCCTGAGCACTTATATTCTGGTAAATGCCCTAAGGTTGGATGTAAATTAAACTAACAGGCTGTTGTAACATTGTATTGCATTGATAAAAAAGCATTTGAGGAACACAGATAAAAAACTATTGACTATGAGAAATTGGAAAGAAAACTTAAAAAACAGTGTGAAAAGAACAAATGTGAGTATGTAAATTTTGATAGAAAAAAATTCTGGTTCAGTTTTAGAGTATTTGACTGGAGTTGTTGATTAAAATAATTAATTTATTAAATATATTTTTTATATAAAAGTTAATTAATTATATGTATAAAAAAGAAAGAAATTTTTGATAATTAATTAATATAGATTTTCCTTTAATTAATTTTGCGTAAATATATTTATTAAGTCTATAGTATTTAAATGTTTATATTTTTATAACTCATTAATATCTTATAATTCATGCTTTTTCTAATATCTATTTTAATTATTCAATAATTATTTATATTTCAACTTTTACTTCAATTTTTACATCTAAAAATTAAAATCTAAAAGGCATATTGATATACATTAAAAAAATTATACTTACAATATAAACCAGTAAATAAGTAAACAAACAGTGATATTGATTTGTACTATCTTATCTCAATCTTTTGTTTTCTCTGATAATGGCACAAAAAAATTTGCTCTAGGATTAACTATTTTAAAAGTATTTTCTTAAACCAGTCAAAATAGGTTCAGGTCTCTCCTATGCGTCTCCTTTATAATAGGTAAATTTTTTAGGGCCTTTTTTATTCTGATAAAAGAATTAGAAATATTAATAATCAGATTAATTTTATAACATTACTTCATATTTAAAGAGAAAATCAAGAAACACCCTTTTAAAAAATATTATTTATATAGAGGTTAGTAATTAATAAATTGATAAATAAATTAAAAACTTTATAAAAAAGAAAAGAAAATTTAAAGTTTTGCTTAAAACAGCCTCAAGTAACACCCAAAGAAGTAAGAGAAGCAAACAATTTTTCTTTAGAATACTTAAAAAAATAGATTCACTTAATATTTATTGTAAAAAAAATGGATTAAAGATATAATAACCCTCCTTATAGCAATTAATAATAATACTATAATAATAATACAATAAATAGAGTACCAATTACATAACATAATGCTTACAATTACCAAGGAATCAACAATGTTCCTGGCCAATAAAATAGGTATATAAGCATGAATCAATAACCAAGTAGCTAGAATTATCAGCAAAGATAATATTACCAGCAACCAACAGTAAACTAATAATAGATTTAATAATAACAATAAAGATAATAAGCTTTTAGCTAGAAAACAATAAGCTCGGAAGGGTTTAAGAGACTTCTGAAAACAAAATACATAATGGCAAATGAAATTGGTAAAGGTTCATTTGCTAAGGTATTTAAAGGCATAAATAGTGAAACAGGTGAAAAAGTTGCTATAAAAAAGATTGACAAGAATAAATTTGATAAGCAGTATTTAGAATTAATTGATAGTGAGATATCAGTGCTTTCTTAACTTAATAATGAGCATATAATTAAGTTTTTAGATCTCTTCAACGAAGGAGATTATATTTATATTGTTACTGAGTTGTGCGAATTGGGTGATTTGGAAGTTTTCATCAAAAATAATTTTTCGGCTACCAAACTTAGATTGCCTGAAGAATTAGTCAAAGTTTTCGCATATTAAATACTCTTGGCTTTCTTAGGTATAGCAGATATGAATATCATACATCGTGATATGAAACTAGCCAATGTATTAATTACAAAAGATTTTCACTTAAAAGTTGCTGACTTTGGCCTAGCCAAATCCAGCTTTGAAAAAGATAAAGATTAGGTTGGTACTCCTATGACTATGGCTCCAGAAGTATTAAATAATCTAGGATATGATAGCAGATGTGATGTTTGGTCTGTAGGCTGTATGATCTATGAAATGCTTGAAGGCCGTGCTCCTTTTTTGCCTACGAATAATGGAGGTATTGAAGAACTCAAAAGACTGATAAATTAAAGATAGCTTATTTTTAGGTAGAATATTTCTTAGAGTGCATAAAATCTAATAGATTAAATGTTAACTCTCAACCCTAAAAAACGTATTAGCTGGCATGAAATGTTCAACCATGAGTGGTTTGCTGAGTGTATATCCTAAGGTGAGCCTTACATTTAAAAAGTATCAAAAGACTATTCTAATTTTGTTCTTATCGAAGAGTAGCATCTAGACCCAGAATTTGCGTTAGAATTTGGTTTACTTTTAAGAGATTTCGTTAATTATCATGTAGATACTTTTTACATAGAAATAAAAAAATGTAGAGATACCTTATCCACTTTTTATAATGACCCTAAATTCCCTGCAGGTAATAAAGGAGCCAACTAGTAACTTCTTTCAACTGTTTTAAAAAATATAGACATACTAATAGCTCTACTTTACAACCATTAATTTACTTTTAAATTCAAAAATTAAGTTGAAATACTACAAATCACAAAATTCTGCAAGCAAAAAATGCAATTATAATATAAAAAAGACTTATACGAATTCGCAATAAATAATAATATAAAACCAGTAAAATTATAGGAAACAATAGGAAATGAATTATTTTAATTGAGTAATAATGTAATGGAAGGAGATTTTGATTACTTCAAATGCAATTTTACATCTATAATTAATCTAATAAATGTCTTAAGTAATCCAACCAAAGGATTCTTGAAAGAAATAATAATAGATGAGTCACGCCTCACAGAAGAATAAAATAATCGAATTTTATTTATTAATTTTTCAAAAGCTTACTATGAAGAATTCAATTCCCAATAAGAAATAAATAAATAAATTGTTTTCAATAGAACTTTCATCCAAACTTAGTTTTAAGAAAAGGAATAGAATAGATATGACCAAATAGTTTTATTGAGTGAAATAGTATTTGGATATTAACAAGAAGTGATAAGTCATAATAGCTAGATATAATAATAATAATAATATCAATAAGATAAAGGAAATAGAATCAGAGATTATTAATAAAACTATTGAAATTTCTTTATTATTAAATAAATTCATCATAAATTACTCAAAAATAAAATTTAGAATTTTTAACTAAATTTTTTCCCAATCTTTTTTATACATTCATGCAATAAGTACTAGTATCAAAAATCATAATAACCTCTTGGTTGTATGAAAAAATTTAAATTCTTAAATGTACACTAATAAATAAAAAAAGCAAGCAAGCCACCGATTATATTTATTCTCTTTTTTTTTTACTTAAAAAGTATTATTTGTATCTTTTTCTATCGTTTTTATTATTGTAAACAAAAAAATAATTTGATTTATATAATTTAAGAAATAGATATTAGTAGGATTGTAATATAATTAAATAGCCAATTAATTCTTTTGTTTCAATTAAAAATTTTTAAATTTTGAATTGTCTATTCTCAGTGATCTTGAATAAGTAATCATGATATAGTTATTTACATCTTTTATTTTTTAAGTTGAATAATTTAATTATAAATATAAATATTATTAATTGTCCACAAATATATTAACTTATTTAAAATTGTTTCATTAAATCATTTTTAAGTTTTTATAGTTTTTGATTATTAAAAGTAAATACCAAAGAATCATTTTTAAAAATAAGTCTTAATAGAATGGATAATATATGAAAAAAATTTATCAAATAGCTTTAAATAATACAAAAAAGTTTTTAATTTAAATATATTGTGAAAATATCTTTCTCTAAAAATATTAAAATGATAAAAATCTTACTCTACGATAATGTATAGTTAATACAAAATTCAAATCTTAATTAGAATATCTTTATTGATAAAAAATTTTTAACTTTTTTGTAATACTTATTTATACTATGAATCCTCATTAATCAAGACAAAATTGTATTAAGGTTTAAAATTAATTTTAACTAAACTAATTTAGATTTTTGAATTAAAAAATATAATATTTTAATTTATTGAAAATATGAAAAACTTAGTTAACTTAATTTTTATAAAATATTAAGCAGATAAATAAAATGGAAACATATCAACTTTTTAATTATTTATTATCAATTTTTAGCTCAATAGGGCAATGATCTGATCCCAAAATATCATTATTAATTGTAGAATCTTAAATAAAGGGATATAACTTTTCGTTAACTACGAAGTAATCTAATCTCCAACCTTAATTTGTTTTTCTTGCTCCATTCCTTAAATTCCAATAGCTGTATTAGACTTTTGTTGGATATTTTTTTCTGAAAGAATCAATCCAGCCTTAGCCTAAAAATTTAGTGAATTCAGCTCTTTCTTCTTTTGTGAAACCTGCACTCTTTTCATTACCTTTGGGTTTAGCAATATCTATTTCTTAATGGCAAACGTTGAGATCACCACATAATATTACATTTTTCTTAGATTTAAGATCATTTAAGTATTTTTAGAAATCTATATCCCATTCTTTAACTCTGTAATCAAGTCTTTTTAATCCTTATCCTGCATTAGGTACATAACATGCTACTAAATAGAACTTATCGTATTCCAATGTGATTGTTCTTCCTTCTTCATCATGCTTCTTTACTCCAATGTCAAACTAAACACTAATAGGTTCTACTTTACTGAAAATTGCTGTTCCAGCATAACCCTTACTGGTTTTACAGAAATTCCTAATTTAATAAAGTATCAATATTAAACATTTATAATTGAAAATAAATTAGTAGATGTTAAATCACGACTGAATTTTAATTATCTTATTGCTAATTAATGAATTTTTTATTATTTGAGTTGAATAAAAGGATCTCAAAAAAATAACAAAAGTTATTGAAAGATACTTTTTGGTAAATTATGAATATCTTATTCAATCGTAATTATAATAAAGTTTTACCAAAATTATTTATAATCAGAAGGAATCATTTTCATTAATGAAGAATCTTTTTTAAATGCATCTGAGTCAATTTTAGTTTCATTTAAACAAATAACATCTGGATTCAAAGATTTAACATAGTTTTCTAATTCTCCCTTCTTTTAAACTGCACGAATACCATTAACATTCCATGATGAAATGACAATAGTGTCTTTACCAAATTTTCCATTTCCCAAAGATCCTTAATAATTGCCTTCTTTACTATAAGTATCTCCTTTAGAACTTGGTTTTGATTTTGCATCAGTCTTTTCTTCTTCTTCCTAATCAGAGTCGTTTTCTTTATCCTCAACTTCAATTTTTTTATTATTTGCCTTTTTTTTTTGTTCAACTTCAACTTCTTGATCTTCCTCTTCTTCCTCTTCCTCTTTCTTAGGTGCCTTCTTTTGCTTGGAAGCTATCTTATCAGTTAACTGAGAGAATAATTAACAAAAATCTAAAAAGATAAATGATAAACTACCTTTGTTTAAGTTGTTCCTGAATTTTTTGTTTTTTTTGGAGGCATATTTATTAGTGATATTTTACAGAATTTTTGAGTTAATACAAAAAGAAATAATTTATTTATATTTTTTTTAGATTTATGAAGAAATTTTCTGATGATATCTTTATTAATAAATTATTGGCGCTAAAATTTTTATTTTATTCATGTTAAATATTATAAATACCAAATACGAATTATAAATCATGACTTTTAGATTTATTTATTCAATTTTTATAAATTTTTAAATAATTTAGATTTTATAATAATAAAAAGAAAAATTGAAAATAAAGTTTAGTGTAATTTTATTTTTAATTGGGGTTGGGGGTTGGGGTTGG